TTATATATATATATATTTATATTTATGACTGTTATGATGATTCTTATTGTTATCTTTGTGATTATATATTGATTAAAGGTTACATCATCTTGCATCATTCCCTCCATCTCACCCCGAAAGATTTTGAGCCCTGAGCTCTGAGGCTTAAGCCTTCTGGACGTGCGCTGTCAGGTCTTTGCCTGGCCAACAAGGCTGACCCTTCCCAGTTTCGTGATGCGAAATTCGGGGTACGACATTGAGGTCCTTGTTATAAGGGAATCTTTGGGCTGTTCCCCTTCTACTAACAGTCCTGAATAGGGATGATAATAGGGGTACTGTTAAGAACTGTTAGTATAGGGGGGAACATCCCAAGGGAATCCTACAATTTGGGGTCTATATTGGGGGTCCCCTACTTTCCTAAACTCTCCATATAAGAAAAAACCTGTCTCCCTGCAGAGGAGCCTTGCCGCGCGCTCCTGAACAAGTCCTGGCGGCGGGGTCCCTGTTTTCATACGGCCCCTCATAACTCAGGAGCCCTTACCTAAACAAGGACTCACATGGGAGTTTACAAAAAAAGGGACCCCAATATAGTCCCCCAATACTAGGATTCGCTTATCACAAGTACCCCAATAAGGTACTCCTAATATCGCAACCCCACATCTTTGCATCCTCTTGCGAAGCACAACTTAGGGTTGTCCGAAATTAAGGGTACCTGATTGGGGTCCTTATTTTAAGGGAACCCTACTATCTGGAGACTAAATTTGGGGTTCCTTCTGACCCAGGAGTACCCTAGGAATAAAAAGGGTACCCTTCTTGGTTTTGAGGGGATTATAAGGAACCCCAACCCTAAAAACAGGAAAGAAGGGCCTACTCCGGGTCCTAGTTATTTCCGCAAACCCATCCTGGAGGAAGTCTGCGCCGAAGCTCCCAGCCAAGGTCAGCACACTCTCGGCACTCTTTGCCTGGCACCCCTAAACCCTAAACACCCTACATCCTAAACCCTAAACCCTAAACCCTAAACCCTGAACCCTGAACCCTAAATTCGATGGCTGGAAGAAGGCCGCTGGCTCGGGGCTTTTTTGCGGGGGTTGGGCTGCCGGCTGTGCTTGGGCTTTGGGCCTGTGCTTCAGATCCCAAGAGACGCTCATGTGCCCAATCATGCCGGAAAAGGCATCGTCCTCTGGCAAGCCTGGCCATCAAGTTGAGATCTGGGTTTTGGGGCATGAAGCCCGAAATCCCTCAAACATGCACCTGAGGGCTTCTGACCACCCCATCTTCAGCGTTCAGCCAGTACTGTAGGGTTTAGAGGTTGGGGTTTTCATGATCATGATTTCCCGCGGCCATCCCCCTAGCCCTGTCCCGAGTTGCGCCTGGCGGTACGGCACGCGGTGGCGTCGGCGACCGCGGGGGCGTCGCGCCGGTGGCAGTGCGATCCACCTGCCGGTGTGGGGCTGCCGATTCTCACTCCGAACTCCAGGCATCAAAGCCAGTGGATGCTTTTGGGGAGGTGCCATCTTAGAGCGCAGCGAGCTGGCGTACAGAATGTCTGAAAAGCCTCAGCCTCAAGTATGATCATGACCACTTAAGACCCGAAATCATCCGAGACAACTTCATGGACACCGATGCATCGACATGTTCTACCTGACCAGAATCTTGCTTAATAAAGGGGCCTGAATAATTAGAATAGGGTTTTGGGGGTTCTTATAGAAAAAGGGAAAACAATTAGTAATTATTCCGACCCTATATTGCCCAGACTCTGCGATGGCGCACCCGCCGCTCTTCTTGCTGCAGCGCCCAAGGCGGGGCAGGGCCCCGCGGCGTCCCTGAAGCTTCGGTTTATGGGTTTTTGGGCCTGGGGGCTGGGCCGGAGGCACTAGGGTTAGGGTTTAGGGTATAGGGTATAGGGTTTAGAGCTTGCGGTTTAGGGATTAGGGTTTAGGGTTTAGGGCTGCAGCATTGCTTCACTTCTTTGTTTTGCGAGATGCGCCCACACTTCCCCCAAGCTTCTGAGGTGACCACGCGGCGTGGCTGCGTCACCCTCCTGCTCCTGATCTCTCCACGATTTCTAACCCGTCTGCTAGTGCCACAAGCCCATGACAGTCAAAGTTGGGCCTCTTGGCATCCTATATACATATGTACATGTATATATATATATATATATATACACTCACATACCTCTACATCTACATGCACATTTCACATATGCATATGTATATGTTACAGAAAACAACATACATGCGTACATGTTGCATTGCACTTGCATTTGCATTTGGAATTGCATTTGCATGCGCATCTGCATCTGCATCTGCATTGCATGGCCTTGCCTTGCCTTACATGACTTTCCTTACATACATTTAAACAATAGAAATACACATAGACATGAATAGATGTCGATGTTAGTCTGTGTACATACAACTTGTTCATGCAAATATGACGAAAATACATGATTTACAATATCTACATGGGCGGTCCAGCCTATGCCTCAGGCTGGCAGAAACAACATCTGGGTTTGGGATTTCGAGGGTTTACTTAGGGTTCAGGTTTAGGGTTTAGGGTTTAGGGTTGAGGGTTTGGGGGCTTTAGGGGCTTTAGGGTTTTTGGGGCTTAGGAAGTCGGATGATTAGGGCCTAGGGTGTGAGAACTCATACGCGCGCTTAGGGCTTAGGGCTTCTTCTTGTCTTTGTTTAGGGGCTTAGGCGGGTTCAGGGTGCGCAGGCTCCTGCTGCATTCTCGCCAGCAGCGGATGCTCGGAAGAGAGGTCGGCTGCAGCAGCACCGTCATCTTCGCAAGGATCACAGTGCTCCTAAGGCAACAACTAACAGCAGCCAAGGCCCCATTCAAGGTGCTGCGGTTGCCCGCGCAAGCCAAGTGCAACCACAAATGTTCTTGTTCGGCAGCATCGATCCCAGAATTTTCTGGGCGTGGCTTCCGGCTTCAACCATGTGGATTAAACAAACCCTAAGCGAAATCTGAACAAAACCTAAACAAAACCCAAACAAAACATAAACAAAACATAAACAAAACCTAAACAAAACCCAAACAAAACCCAAACAAAATCTAAACCCTCTGACGCATCTTCGCTCACTCAGGCCCTGGCATGGCATCGCCTCACTGGACGACGGGTTTCGGGCGCACGTAAACTCTTCAGCTTCCAAACAGGCTCCATGCAGGGTTTAGGGTTTAGGGTTTAGGGTTTAGGGCTTAGGGTTTGGGGTTTGGGGTTTGGGGTTTGGGGTTTGGGGTTTGGGGTTTGGGGTTTGGGGTTTGGGGTTTGGGGTTTGGGGTTTGGGGTTTGGGGTTTGGGGCATCTGCGTTGTGGGGTCCCTTGTGAGTTACGGCTCTGGCCACAGCCACTTTTGGCATGATGGTGAGATGTGGTTATACCCTAAACCCTAAACCCTAAACCCTAAACCCTGCAGGGTTCTGGGACCTGGCTCTGCCCCCTTTAGCAGCTGCGCCCCCAAGGCATGTGCCCTTAACACTCTTGGAGCCGAAGTTTCGCCTAGGACCCCCACGCAGCCCAATTCACTGATGGCAGTAGCCTAAGCGCAGCCCGAACCACCTTGAGATGCTCTATATGGGTGGCTGTCAAAATTATGGTCCCTTTTTGGATCCCTATTGTAATACGGCACCTAATATTTAGGGTACCCCAAAAGGGATCATAATTTTGACAGCCGCCCATATAGTGATAACATCATGATAATGACAATGATGATAATTGATAATAACAATAACCATCGTAATGATAATAATACTAGAAAATAAAGATAGGATAATACTAATAATCATGAATGTGAAAAATAATAACAATTGAGAACAATACAAAAGTATACAACGTAAGCAAAAAAAACTAACCCAGAACTGCCACCCCAGGCGCTGCAAGCGGCCGCAGCCTGCGCTCAGTGGTTCCAAGCAACAATACGCAACGCATAGATGCCTCACTTAACCCTTGGTAGCCCAGTAACCCTATTACAATAAGGGCACCCTTTTTGAGGTTGGTCATTTTATGAGGGAACCTTGAACCAAAAAAAGGGAAAAGGGTACCCGGGCTACCAAGTACCCTTTCCTTTGTATGATTGTATACGCTACTACGAACCCTCAGTCCACACCCAGTTGCTCTCTCGAAGGTGAGACATGGATGGGACATTCCTCGAGCTCATTGTCCGGACCCGCCTCCCTCTGGCGTTTTGATTCGGTTTGGGGGTCTAGGGTTCAGGGGCTTAAGGGTTTTTGAGGCTCATTTGGGTTTAGGGGCTTAGGGTTAATAGTAGTGTTTAGAGTTTAGGACAACTGGTGGCCAAGACGTATCAAGAGAACTGGGTATTCAGAAGGTCCTGTCTTCGCTTGCCCCAAGAAAAAGAACTCCCGTCACAACCCCACAAGATGACGAAACCCAAGTGCCACATTTCGGAGACAAAGGCGGTTTCGCATTGTCCCTGCAGGCACGAAAACACTAGCGGCCTGCCGAGGGCGAGGTGTCTGCTAAGGCAGTCGAGCAGGTGCCTCAGGGCCCTACATCCCCCCACATTCGGATTCACGGCTAAATGGCACTTTCCTTGCTAATTATTGGGCGCGCTGATGCCGCGCCACACTTGGCTGTGTTTTCAGGAGCATCGGCTTCATTCCCTGGGTGGGAACGCTTCGAACGTGCTGAGCCTCGGGCTACCCATCGCTCAGGTTCACCCGATCAGAGCATGTCGCCAGATCAGCAGACGGGGGGCGTGGGGGTTAGGGGAAGAGGGTTGGCTGAACTGGGTGAAGAGACATCTCGTTAATTGCTTCGTCAAACCAACACACGAACAATGTCTGCAGCAAGTGCGGAATTCTGCCCTGCGGCTATTTGGAGCAACAGCTGGCGGCGTCAACATATGGCAACATTGCTGCCCCCGCAAACCGCGAACCCAGTCTGAGGCGCAGCTGAAGGCTTGAGTACGCTTGAGTGTCTCTGCGTAGCCGGTTGCCGGCTTTCATGAGTGCTCTTTTCCATCCGCACGCGCCACAGGGAAGTGAGCCGGATCCGGTCACCTGTCGTGCAGGCATCGCGCACCTAGGCCTCCGACCCGAATTTGCTCTCAACCTTATCCCGGACCCGAACCCTTGCATGGAGGTGCAAAGACTTCAAGCACACACTCCATGTATCCCTACAAATATATGCGCTCGTCTAACTACTGTGTATTGTGCCAGGCCCCCTTAGACTAGAGAACCTCAACAGAAGTCCTGAAACTCCAACCCCATGAGAGCCCGACGAAGGGGCCCTAACCCTAAACCCTAAACAAGACTTGCAATAAGCTTTTCCGAGCGGGCCCCTGGCCTGGCGAACTGCAAGGACACTTGGACCTCAGTGCTTTGGGGACTTTAGGGTGTAGGGTGTAGGGTTTAGGTTTTAGGTTCAGGGTTTAGGGTTTAGGGTTTAGGGTTTAGAGTTACTGAGTTGCGGAGAAAGGCTTTGGGGTTCGGGGTGTCTCAAACAGCGGTTGAGCTAGCGCATTGGTGCAAGACAGGCCGTGGGGACTTCCGGGGGCTTCGGAGCTTAGCAGAGATAGACTCGGCTGCAGGTCCAAACCCACAAGACCCGCGCCACGCACCCATCTCCCATCTCGACTTCCAGCCGCCGTCGGATGTTCCTGCTGCTTGGGAGTCGTGTGGCTGCTGTGGAGAGGTTGCAAAGTCAAGGTTCCCTTTTGACCCATACTAGATACAAGACCCAAAGAATGACCATAACGACAGAGCAACCCACAGTTCGCGCATCATGGCTTTGATTGGGCCCCTCACAACTCACGTTCGAGGGGTAGGGCCCATGTCCAAAACAGCCCCCGGCCCTCCGACGTACGTGGCCCATAGCCGGGCCCATAAACACAGGAACCCCCCGCCCAGGGTCCTGAAACAGGCATCGACATCGTCGCCGGCTGAGGCGAAGTCGTACTGGTAAGTTGAGGCATCGGCGCCAGGTGTCACCTGGTGCTTTAAAGGGCCAGTAGCCCAAAACATGATCTGCTCTGTATGGGCACTGAGGCCATCAGAATGTAAATCAAATGTAGCCTCTTCCTCGCTTGACACCTCCACGCCAATATCAGGCCAGTTTTTTCCAAACTGGCCCTCACTTGGGGAGCCTGCCGATGGAAAACCGGCATTGGGGCTCGTGCAAGCGCCCGAAGCTGCGTAGGAAGCGGCTGGACCGACCTTGGCTGAAAGTCGAGCCAGGAAGCCATACATGACAAACTAGGAACACACACGAGTTTAGGGTTTAGGGCTTAGGGTTCAGGATGTTCGGTGTCCACAGTCAGTTGGACCGAGCGCCGCGCATCTCTTCGCCGCCTTGGACGACCAGATGGTTGCAATTGAAGAGGAGTTGTTGCCAAAAAAACTGAGCCCAAAACCCTCAACCCCCCGCAAGTTAAGCTTGAGCCCTCAAACAAGAAGCCCCTCAAAGCCCCCAACCACTAAAGCCCCTCATTTGACACGTAAAACCCCGCAAAACCCCCAAGGCATTTCTACCAACAAACCCTTCCAGCACCCCTGGTTAGTTTAGGGTTTAGGGTTTAGTGTTTAGGGGTTAGGGTGTAGGGTTTAGGGTTTAGGTCTTTAGGGTTTAGGGTTTAGGCTTGAGGCTTTCGGGGCTTCCAGCCGGCCTCCATCTGCGGGAGCTGAGGGCTCCTCATCGGCCACCTTGTTGGAGTTTGGGGCCTAGGGTTTAGGGTTTAGGGTGTGTTTGGGGTTCAGGGTTTAGGGTTTAGGGTTTAGGATATAGGGTTTAGGGCACAGGGTTTAGGGGCGATGCAGCTGCAAAGTCAATAGGCCCACCGATAGATCGGTTGACTCCATATAGTACATGCCCTCTGCAGCCACCCGCCGCATGCCTCCTGCAACTTCTTCACCATGTGCCTCGGGCATTCGGGGCTTGCATGAGGCTGCAGGACGCGGGTGGCAAGAGGCTCAGGCCCTGCTGCCTCGTCCTCAGGCTACCTGCTCTAATCATTGATGCCAACCCTCGGCCACAAGATGTTGAAAGTCTGCCCAGGCCCTGGGCACAAAGAACCCCAAACCTCCTGACCTCCTCAATCCCCTGAGTTGGGATGTTGCCCCTTATACTAGCAGTCCTTCATAGGGACTTTAGTACCCCATATATACTCCCTATTAAGGACTCTTAGTACAAGGGAAAACATCCCAACCCTTAAGGCATCAAACCCTGAGCCCGAAAAACTCGGCCGCTTAAGACGTAACCAGCACGGGGGGGGGGGGGGGGGGGACATGAAACAGAAACTGTACAGGCCTCCCCACATTTTGGCCTAGTTCCACAGGTTTCTGAAGCAAAGTTGCTGTGACAACCCCTGGTTCCTGTTACAGCGTTTACTCGGGCTGCGGGCTCCACGGCCAGAGCTGCAGCCTGCAGACTTTAGGCGGGATGGTTCTTGGCACTGGGGGGCATTCACAATGTTCGGCCGGGCAGCAATTTCGAAGCCCCTTAGAATGGGCTCATAGCTTAAACCTTAAACGAGATCTTGAGGGACCGCCCCAGTACGACTTTCCTAAACCCTAAACCCCAAACCCTAAACCCTAAACCCTAAACCCTAAACCCTCAACCCTAAACCCTAAACCCTAAACCCTAACCCTAAGCCCTAAACCCTAGAGGTGAAGCTGCGGCCTCACCACCAGGAGCACCTGCCAGCTATGGGGGCTTTGGAGGCGTTCCCCCGTATGCTAACACTCCAAAAGGGGGGGGGGGGTACTACAATCCCAATTAGGGACTGTTAGTAGAAGGGGGAACATCCCAATGTTTGGTCCAATGTATAAGGCTTCCGTGGCTTGAGGGTTTGGGGTCTTAGAGAGTAGGTGCCTTAGAGCTTTAGAGGCCTGTGGGGGGGGCTGTTTAGGGCATTTTGGGCAGCTGAGGCCCCGAAGGGTCAAAACTCAACCCCTAGAAAAATATCCTCATCGCTCAAATCCTAAGGCCCAAGCACTAGGAAGCCTGTAAGAACACGCCGTCAACGTCCCCCCCCTCAAAGCCTTTTGAACCCGATAAAATATTGTGTACTCGAAGCCCTAAAGCCCTAAAACCCTAAACCCACACTCTAAACCCCAAAATCCTGAACCCTGAACCTAAATGGGGGTTTACGAGAATAGGGGAACCCGAATATAGTCCATTGAATAGTGGGATTCCCCTTAGAATAAGGGCTCCTTACCTGAACTTCGGAAAGCGCCAAATACGGGAGCAAGGCCCCCCGGCCTCTGGCGGCCTGCAGGGCCTCCTTGGCCAATCTCTGCAAGGCCTGGTTTGGGGGGTTTAAGGTTTTAGGGTTTTGGGGTTTATGGGGTTTGTGGAGAGGGGTTTCAGGTTTTAGGGCTTGGGCGTTCGAGGGCGTAGGGTTTTCGGGTTTCGGCCCTTTTTGTTTAAAGGATCTTTGGGTTTAGGGGGATTGAGGGGCTTTAGGGAATTCTAGCATCCGGGGTTTCCGGGCTTTAGGGCTATAGTATAGGGGTTTTCAGGGTTTAGGGGTTTGCGGAACTAGGAGCTCAGGGTTTCTGCAGTACCCGAACACTCTCCAAACCAACTCTCAGCCTAAGACCCTACAGGCCTGTAAAACCTCTTCAACCATCTAAACCCCATACAAGCCCTCCACAAACCCTTCTAGGCCCTATGCATCCTTGGAAACCCCGATTCAACCCCAAAACCTTCAACCCAACTCCAAGGACCCCCCCCCCCCCCCTCCCTAAACCCTGAACCCTAAACCCGAAACCCTGAACCCTAAACCCTAAACCCTAAACCCTGAACCCTGAACCCTGAACCCTGAACCCTAAACCCTGAATCCGAAACCCTGACTTCCCCTGGGAACGCGGGCGGAGGGCCGGCGGGAGGGAAGCGCGGGCTCCGGCGCATCGGGCTCCTCGCGTCGGTTCTGGCTGTTGTTGATTGCTCGTATGTGCTTCTTCTTATTCGTATTTAAATTTTAATTAAATTTCTATGTATATTTATATATGTAAACTTATATTTAGATTTATATTTATATTTATATTTGTATCTATATTTGTATTTATATCTATATCTATATCTATATTTCTATTCATATTTATATTTATATTTATATCTTTTTCTTTTAATTTAGTTACTTTTTATGTCTTGATTTTTTCATTTGTGTAATTTGATTATTAGAAATAAATTATCACTACTACTATTTCTATATATACATATTTACATGTTACTTTCTTCTTTGGGGGGGGAGAGGGGGTGAAGGCTTGAGGGTTGGCATGTGGGGTTCAGGTATCTTCGAGGGCTCGCAGCCCTTGGAGCCAAACAGCCTGTGAGCCCTGAAGCCCTCAAGCCCTAAACCCCAAACCCTAAACCCCAAACCCTAAACCCCAAACTCGAAACCCGAAACCCTGAACCCCAAACCCTACACCCTAAACCCTAAACCCTAAACCCCCCCCTTCCCCGTAGGTCCTGGGCGCCTCCGTGGCTGTCTTCGGCCTCAGCGCCGCCTGCACCATCGCGCCACAGGAAGTCACAGGAGAGGGCAAACCGATGCCGCGCGAGTGTCGGGTTTAGGATGTAGGGTTTAGGGATTTAGGGTTTCGCGTTTAAGGTTTAGGGTTTAGGATTTAGGGTTCAGGATGTAGGGTTTAGGATTCAGGGTCCAGGAATTCCCTGTACTCCCCTGCGGCCCTGACTTGAGCTCAGGGCCCTCCAGGAAGGGAAAAGGTTTAGGGTTTAGGGTGTTTTTTAAGGGTTTAGGGTTTAGGATTTAGGGTTTGGGGTTTCGGGTTTAGGGACATGAGTCGTGTCTTGGGCGGTCCTGAGCATCCCCTGGCCATTAAGGTTTAGGGTTTAGGGTTTAGGGTTCAGGGTTCAGGGTTCAGGGTTTAGGGTTTAGGGTTTAGGGTTTAGGGTTGTTGACCTTCGGGTTCATGGGACATGCATTCGGCACCGAGCCCTGCAGTTATGGACTGGCTATGGACCCTGAACTCAGTAGCGAGATAAGGCCAAGCAGTGGCATTCTTTTTGTTTCGAGGCTTCCAGCTGAAACCAAAAGAAGAAGAAGCAGAATTTAAAAATAATAATCATAATAATAATAATAAATAAGAAGAAGAAGAAGAAAAGAGCCTTAAGACCCTGCCCAAGGATTCTCCGACCTGCCTTGGGCTTCTCCTGCCCCAGTCTCGCTGCCCTTGTCCTCCGCCTTCTTGGCCGCCCCCTGAAGGGGAGGTTCACAAAGGGCCTCCACGGCTTCGGGTGCGAAGTTGAGGGCCAATGACCATGTACGAGAGCAGAACCAAGGCGGCAAAATTTGTCTAGCTCCCCGTTCACCAGAGGAAAGAGGGAGTGAGAGAGAGAGAGGGAGTCAGAGAGAGACAAAGAGCAACCCCACAACTAAAGTCCTACACCCCCTGACGTAGTGCAAGAAATCTACCAACATCACACCAACAGCACGGCACTCTCCAAAAACCCTAGCCCCTAAGCTCCACTTGGTTCCCAAAGACCGTCCTTTCTTTGTTTTTTGTTTTGGGGTGGGATAGGGTTTGGGGACAACACCTAAACCCAAACCCTAAACCCTAGACCCTAAAAACCTGAACCTTGAACCCGTGCAAGCCCTGAAGAAAACCCACGAAGGAACGCCAGGCGACCTTCTCTTCGAGGTTTGCCGCCCTCGCGAGGGCCTGGCAGGGTCAACTCTTCGTCCCCCCCCCACCCCCTCTGACTCTCCCCTCCCCCCCACATTGTCCAAGGCTCCTTTCACTGGAGCCATGCAGACTACCAACTTCGGACTTGGGTAGCTCTCTAAATTAGGGCCTCTTGTGGGGTCCTTATGCTCAGGGCGCCATACTCTGTGTGTGTGTGTGTGTGTGTATATATATATATATATATAACCAGAAAAAGGGGCCCTAACTGAGAGAACTACCCATTTTGGGGACTGGTCGGCATCGGGGTGCCCCCTGGCTTGCCTGTCTTCCGTACCTTTGTGAGACTATCGAATCCAGGGCTCCCGGCCTTGGTTCCGGAATGGCCCCCTTAAACCCTAAACCCTAAACCCTAAACGAAACCCGAAACCCGAAACCCGAAACCCGAAACCCGAAACCCTTTCCCCCCACCCTGATACCCCCACGGTCAGCCGGCGTGCCTGCATCAGCTCGACACTGGGAGTTCCGGATGGGTTTTGCCTGGGTTCTTGAGGCCACCGGCTCTAACTGGGGCTCACCAAGGACAAAAGGGTTGGGAGGGCGGGTTCTCTGAATTAGGGTCCCTTTTTGGGGGTCCCTTATCATGAGGACCCAAAAAAAGGGGCTTCGAGCTGGGGAACTGCACAATATACCTACAAAAGTCAACACTCATCCCCTACAGGCCTTAGGCCCCTAACCACAAAACCCAGAATCCCCACACCTTCATCCCTCGAACCTCCATCCCTCGAACCTTCATCCCACGGGCCTCCTCTTGAACAGTAAGGGCACAAGAGTATTCGATAGTTGGTGCCCAGTAAGGATACCTGATACAGGGATACCCAACACCAGGGCCGTGGTATCGAATTGTGGGTAATTTGTATTACAAAACTATGAGAATTACAGGAAGATTCTTGCTTGTAGCCCAGCCTCGGGAGCTATCACAGGAGTCATGCTGAGATGCCAGCAAGTGGTTCGATAACGCCTGCGCCAGGTCCTGACAAGCAGAATGGAGACTTGGGATTTACGGTTTCGGCATGAGGCCCGTTCAAAAATTGGGCAGAGACTAATGAGTGTAGCCTTAGCAGGGTTTGGGGGTTTCCGGTTTCAGTTTCACCTCTCCTCTGCGCTCATCCCGACCCTTTGTCAGCCTTGGTGCGCCCTGTCTGATGAGAATTCTCCTTCGTGCAAACGCCCGGAACCCGAAACCCGAGTCCTCGTTGGTGCCGCCATTCGAGGGCGGCCCCTTCGGGGGCGCCTGCACAGGTCTTCGGGGCAGGAGGAGGGCAGATCAGGGTGGCATCTACGAGAACTCGCCGAGCATGAGCTCTAAACAACAAAAGTAAACACCGCCGGCGACCGAAAGTAAGTGGAAAGAGGAAGAGTCGAAATGCAAATCGTCGTGGAAGGCGGAGCGCAGCAGCTGCGACAAAGACGGCGCGAGCGGTATCAAAGCACGGCAAAGAACGGAGGGCCACAACGAAACAGCGCGAAACCAGTGAGCCAACCGAGGTCGATCTATTGGGACTATTGCGAGATTGAAGAAATGGGACAACACCCCTGGCAAACCCCTGCTAGAAAAGGGTAAGCACTACTGGAGAACGCGCGGGTAAGGACTTGGAACGGTGAAACCAGAAGGCACAGGAATCTTACTCGTGATGCTTTTATGCTCAGCGAAAATGTTTACAATTTTGCGCTGTTGCGCGGTTCGGTATTTCATATGCAGCGTTTCAATGTCGAGGTAAGACGATAAAGTGTGAAAAGCCAAATGTCTGAGTTACCGTTCTTGAGCTACGCTGTTGCACGTCCACACCAGGATGCAGGGCCGGAACGGCTCAGGATGAATGCAGCAGCAAAAACCGAGAAACGTAATGTACATGTGAACTACGCGCGCTCATGCTTTCACGTGCACTGCGTGTGGGAAGGAAGCCGCAAGGCAAGCCATCGCTGGCAACTGCATTTCGACAACCCCAAGAGCCAGAAACCACCTCCGCAAAATGCTGAAAGTGCTTCACGAACCCTGCACAAGAATAGCCTCAATCTCGCGGGTAAACTTTCGGAAATGCGACGGCCTTGCAAAATGTCGTTGGCTTGCTGACGCCTGCGACACTTGAGATTTCCAACATGGGCGGGCCAAATGAAGCATGCTGCACTGAAAATGCAAAATGCATCCTGGACTGGTAAGATGCATGATACAAGACCCAACACAGGTGTCATCATGCAGGGAAGGTTCACTCATCAAAGCGCAACAGGCATTGTAATAAAACTACCTACGCATCTTGGAAATTGCGGGGCTAGTCTAACAGCTTAGGAGATGTAGGACAACAACGACTGCGACCGTGATAACACAATGTCTCAACGTGGGATGAACAGCTAAGCTTTGACCCAGTGCAACCCTTGCAAAACCGAACCAAAGTTAGACAGTTAGGCTAAGCAAAACAGAGAACCCTGGCCACCCTCCCCGTGTCTGAGACACCTGTGTCTTTGGCCGGTGGCTTGTTCCAAGGCGCGCTGACCCCTGCAGAGCGCAAGGCTTGTGAACACATTCGGGGAAGTCCCTAAGAATAGGAGGTCTTTGGGTGAGAACATGTTTGTGAGACATGCTAGTTTAAACACATGAACACTTGATCAGATTCTGATAGCACATTTGCCACGGCATGCTGCCTCGGGCAGGGCAGTTGGCTGGCTTTGGCCGTCACACCCTTGTCACATCCCCGGCAACACTGCGATCCATCCCAACGGCCGCGACCCCCGGCTGTGCGGTGCATTTGGGACTTTTATCGGAAAGTAATGTAGCCCGGTCGACTTCTTGGCGTGCTGTCTCCCATGAACCCATTCATCTACCATGTTCTATTTATAAGAGCTGGGTGCACATGCTTCGTGCCCTATACCCGAAACCCGGCACGAGTCTTTGTGTGGCCTGTAAGGCTGTAAGGTTGAAGGTTGAGGGCCTAAAGTGGTCTTTAGAAGAGCTTAGGCTCGCATGTCCGAGGACACCGTCCATCAGAGACCCCACGATCCCACCAAACACGCTACCACACCGGCACGTGCATTGCTCCCCTGTTTTGCAAATCAGCGAAAATCCTCATGAATCCCCAAACAACCACCGCACCCCATCCGTCAAGGTTCTGGGAGCTGGGCGCCAGGGAGCTGCCGAAGACTCCCCTGCCAGGGGCGGAGCCTCGAGCCGTCCGGAAGAACGAACGCGTGAACCCAACATTTTGGGGATTCCGGGAGGTGCCAGGGGCTTGAAAAAGTTGAAAACCTTGGGGCGACTTTAGGGTCTGGGATCGCAACTCCCGCATCAACGGTTCGGCTACCCAGGCTGAGGACCCTACTGGCACCTCCCTTTCAACCATGAATTCCTGAACCCCTAACCCATCATAAACCCCAAGAAGCCCTGAACCCCTAACCTCGTAAACACCCAGCTGCCCTGAACCCTAAAGCCCCCAAACCCCCCTAAACCCACAAAACCCGACCCCCAAAAACCCTAAACCCACCCGGCCCCACCAGCCGGAGGGCCCTCCGGCTGGCGACGGAGCTCTCAGTCCCGTGGGCTACGCGAACAACCCATCAATAAAGCGGCGCATCCATCTTTAAGGGGGGGCTGTCCTGGTTTTAGCAGGGTCTCCGGGAGCTGGCCAGCAGGACGGGTAGCGGGGTCTCGGTCTCAGAGCCTCGAGGCTTGTCATGCCTGCAATGCCAAGGAAGCAACCCCAGACAGCCCCCCATGCTCCGTACATCCTCCCTGCAAAACCAGCGGGAGCAGGCGCCAGCCAATCTGCAAAACCTAAACCTTAGATGTTTGGTGTTTCAGTTGCTGCTTCCCGGCCCAAGTCTTCGAAAGGCTTGTAGGGATTTTGAAAGGCTGTCAGAGGCCTCAACAGTCCCCAGAATGATGCACATCATCCCTTGCAACGCCAAGAGGCGAAGGCGCCAACCAACCCTCAACACCAAACCTCAGACACCGAAGGAGCCTCCAATTTTTTCATTTCCGGAACCCGAGGTCTTCCAGGAAGAGCTTCACAAGGATGCGAGGGCGCCACTGTCAACAAGAATGATATAACCCTAAACCCTAAACCCGAAACCCTAAACCCAAAACCCTAAACCCCAAATCAGAAAGCAAGGAAACCCTAAACCCGCAAAGGTCGCCGCGAGGGTGGGGCGCAAGCGGGGGGTGAGGCTCAACAGTCGGGGTGTGCCCTTGGGAGCTGTTTTTGGCCCCAGCGCGCCCCGTCAATTGAGACACTCTAAACCCTGAACCCTGAACCCTAAACCCTAAACCCTAAACCCTAAACCCTAAGCCCTAAACCCTAAACCTTAAACCCTAAACCCTAAACCCACACAAAGTCGAAAGAGGTCTGAGCCTTGGAGGACGGCGGTGCCTCCGCTCTTCTGGGCGTGTGTTTTGAGGCTGGGACTGTGGGTTTGCTTCAGGGTGTTTAAAGGGCCTTTATTAGGGGGTTGTTTTAGGGTTGTTTTAGGGTTGTTTTAGGGGTTTAGGGGTTTAGGGGTTTAGGGTTTAGGGTTTAGGGTTTAGGGTTTGGGGTTTGTTTTCGGGTTGTTTTAGGGTCCTAGGGTTCTTTCTGCTTTTATGGAGCGATGCTTGGGGTTCAGGACGTTCAAGTTCTCCCAAATGCGATCGGAATGTCTGTGTTGGTAGGGCTGGGTCGAGAGCTCCAGCTCTGCAAACTCCCTAAGAATTTTCAGAGGACGATTTACAACAATAGGGAGTACCCTTTTTGGGGGTCCCTGTAAGGGGCTTTTGCTCCACTTGGGGAAACAAAGAGGTACCCCCCTACTTTGGGAAATACCCGACTGAACCTTAGGAGCCCTCGGCCCCAACAAAAGCTTGCAGAGGAGCGTTTACCCTAAACCCTAAACCCTAAACCCTAAACCTTTTGCCCTAAACTTTTGCGGATCCCTCTCTGCCTGCGGCGGAGCGCCGGCTTGGACCGCCTGGTCACCACTTATGGGGTTAAGGAAGAGAAGGAGGGACCCCTAGAAGGGACCCTTGATCTGATTCCCCTATATAACCCTCATATGTATATATATATATATATAACCCTTATATATATATATATGTATAACCCTTATATATATAACCCTTTTATATATATATATATATACCTTTTCTAGTCCTCATATGCCCTTGGTCTGATTCCTCTATGTAACCCTTATTTGTACCTTATAGAGCCCCTACATGCCTAAGTAGGGGATATAACCCTTCTATGTACCCTGTAGAGTCCCTAGATGCCTAAGTGGGGGCTCATTACCCCTAAGGTCCCCTTGATGGGGCTTTAGGATGAGCTCTCTGGATCAAAACACGGTATATCGTGTAGACGCCCTGAGCCTGTTCCAGGAAGCTGATGAGGTCGCTGGGCGAAGAGGGCGGCGCGCCTCCGCAAGGCGCTGACGGCAAGCAGCAAAGGAATTGCGACCTTTGGCACGCTTCGTTGGTGCCTGGAAAGATAAGCCGCAGATGTCAGATAACTCAGGAACCGAGATGAACAGACTTCCCTGAACTTGAAGCTTGACCCAAATAACAGCCGCAAGAAGGTAGCTCGGTCCTGTCTTCGCTGGCCTGCGCAAGCTTTCAGGCTTCCCGTGCTCTAGGGCTCAGGACGGCAGAGGATGTATAGAGGGCTGCAGGGGCCAGTCGGTCAGGGAGGGGGGGTTTGCGGAATACATGAGGAGTTGTTTCCTGCACCATTGAGTAGCGCGTAGGCGTAGTGGCCATGGGATTTATGGGTCCTGTAGGGCAGACTGTGGTTGTTCAGATATGCTCTGCATGACTACTGCTACAAGGACTCTTCTGTGCCAGGGAGCTGCACAGGTGCCTCCGAAACGGATCAAGGTTCAAAGTCAAATTGCCTACAGGACACACTCTACAATGTCCGGGATTGGGGAAACAAGCCAGGAACCGCTTAAATACCAACGTGCGCAGCTCTGCCGACTTGGAAGACCCGAAGCGTAAGCAGTGAGGCTCGCACACGACTCCTGGGCGCAATGGCTGCATCAAGTTCCTTCCGTGAAGGATTTCAGCAGCTAGCGCTGGAAGCTGCAAGCAAGCTCATACTGTGGCCTCACGGGGCTTCGCCCGCTCTTGCTTCAATCTATAGCCATATACATTGTCTAACGGCGTTTCACAGTTGTACAAAACCCATAAAACCCTAAACTCCATAAAAGCCCAAAAAAACCCCCAAAAAAACATGAGAACCCTTAAAGCCCTAAACTCCTTAAAGCCCTTTAAAAAAAAAGTCCAAAACTATGAGAGGTTTGTGAGTTGTGGCTCAAAAGATCCTCGTTGGTTCATGACATCACCCTGGAGCCGGGACAGCCTCTCGCCGATCCGAGGGTTTAGGGTGTAGGGTTTAGGGTTTAGGGTTGAGGGGTTGAGGGGTTGAGGGGTTGAGGGGTTGAGGGGTTGAGGGGTTGAGGGGTTGAGGGGTTGAGGGCTTGAGTGGTTTTATGGTTGAGGGGCTGAGGGGTTGAGGGGTTAAGGGGTTGAGGGGTTGAGGGGTTTTGAGGGGTTTTGAGGGGGTTTTGAGGGGTTTTGAGGGGTTTTGAGGGGTTTTGAGGGGTTTTGAGGGTTTTGAGGGGTTTTGAGGGGTTTTGAGGGGTTTTGAGGGGTTTTGAGGGTTTTGAGGGGTTTTGAGGGGTTTTGAGGGGTTTTGAGGGGTTGAGGGGACGCCGCTGAGGTTTCCTGCTTGAGCTCAACATGCCATCCGCAGATGAGACTCTGAGCTACCCTAAGCCCTTAACCCTAAACCCTAACCCCTAAACCCTAATCCTAAACCCTAAACCCTAAACCCTGGAAGAAAAAGAAGTGTCAAGAAGATTACGCCATCATTGGGGGTTCAGGGGGTTGAGGATACAGCTATGGAAGACTTGTGGCTCGGGGTTCAGGGGGGCTGAGCTCTCATCCTGTGCGCTACCCCTCGAGGTCACCAAGCCCGCGGATCAAGTCGGGGCCAGGCCGCCAGGCTTCTTGCTTTCTTTGTTTGCGGTTTGGGTTTTTCTCTAGTGGTGCTGCTTTTTTCTGGCCGTTTTAAGGGTGGAGGGCTTGAGGGGCTCAATGATCGCTTCTTTCTGTCGCTGCAGAAAGCTAGTGCCGCCAATCATCGGAGGCCACCATCACACTGGCGTCCTGACACATGAACCCTAACCCCATGGTCCGGGTGCCAGGGTGCTGGAGGTTGGCCCCTACAAACCGCACGACGTAGTAACCCTAAACCCTAAACCCAGTTTGCCAGTTTGCGGTCTGGGGACTCGACGGCAGTCGCGGACGAGCCCCCCTTTCTGCATGTTGCTCAAGCTGTGTCCCGCCTCACAGGTGGAGGCTGAAGTTGGCGCCACGCCCTGCTCTTAAAACAGGGGGCCCCAAGACATTGGAGAAGCCAGGTGTCCACATCATCCAGTCGGCCCTTCGGAAAGGGGGCCCAGACCACTGTCATCCTTCCCAGCAAAGTTGAGCTGAAAGGCCTAGCTTCCGTACACTGGAGAGCGCCTCCAGCTTCCCTCAAAATAAAACGAACTTGCCTCGCGAACCATGCTCCAAGCGTAGAGGCCTCCTGCCGGACCGCGGTGATGATCTTGCCAATGGCCTCTGACAAGAAGCGGCGGCTTGAAGCCAGTGTGTCGAACAAAGTCCACAAGCAGCTGGAGCCAGGAGACCCAGACGCAAACTGCTCCGTCTTCCAAAGTGCTGCGCAGCCAGGAAACAACCTTTGTGACGAATGGACCCCCATACAGGCTGGCCGACCTGTGAAGCTGCCCTATGTCCCGGGGGCAGCGCAGAGGAGTCTGTCCTGAAATGACACACGTCTGAACCTGCTCCAAGGGCCGTCTTAACTAAGTACAACAGTGACAGCAATAAAAGTAACCAATCGAGGACGAAAGGCAGAGACCACTCCTACTGCTGACGTAAAGCAAAAACGGTTGAGCAACTTTCCGGACCCAGCGACTCATCGACATTCCTTGGATCTCATCCAGATTCAGCTCATAAACTTCCAGAGATCCAATGCCAATTGCGCTGAAAAGCGGATCCCACTTCATGGCCAAAGTTTTTGTCTCCAAGCAGCTCGCCCCAACATCCAAAGCCTCTGCATAAGTGGTCGCTTCTTGGCATGCTTTCCGGTTCAAACGCTCTGGTTTCTGCTCTCGTGTCGCCACAGTGACATACTTGGCTGAGAAATTCCCAAGCTCGAACAAGTCTCCAAAATACTCGATCGGGGGAGAGTCAACGTCTGCCTGAAGGTTCTCCAGTACATGCAGGCAATGTGAGAAACACTGCATCGTGCAGCCCACCTCGAAGAGGAACACCAAACACGCATCGGTCTCACTTTCATCTCGCTCGAAAGTAAAACCCGGTAGCTGCACGGAGTAGATCCGAAGCTGTCTTTCCAAGGTGTTGCGCGTAAACAGCTTCGTCGCAGGAACAGAGCGATCTCTGTCTGCAGCTGCCGTAAACAACTGAAAAGTCGGTGAAAAAGAGTCCTCCAATTGCCATGAAGCAGGGATCTGGAGAAAAGTCTCCTGAGATCCAGCTTTGCACCGAGATCCGCCAATTTCGGGCCCTCTCTGAAGAACACCACTTGTCGCTTGTGGATGATGAGAGGGAAGCTCCCGGACGGCAGCACAGCGAATCTCAGACAACTGAGTGATGGTGTCAGTTCCTGTCACGTACGTGCCGTCTCCTCCACCAACAAGGTCAGCGACAGGATCCGAAGACGCCTTGATCGTGATCGGGGCTTTTGCCACTCCGAAAATTGCTTTCATTCCTCTCACCCTGACAAGAGAGTGAAACTCAAATCCCGATGCAGCTGTCTTTCTGGGGGTCACCATGCCAAACCACAAATTACATACGGAGCCCTGTACCTCCAAAGAAAAGGGGGCCGTAGATTTCGTGCGAACGTCGGGCTTGTAAACCCCAGCGGGATCATTGTGCACTGCTGCGCCAGGCGTTGCAGGAGATCCATCATCGTTGCATTGCTGGCCCGAACCTGCAGCCGTAGCTTTCTGGATTGAGAGTACTCCATCAAACCCTGTCCTCAACTGGTCAATGCTGTAGTCCCGTGATCCTGAAAGCATGGCCCACAGAACACCCTCGAGTGACCCTACCTCCTTGTTCACAGACAGTAATGTAGCCGCAAACTCGTCCCGAGTAATGCGGCAATCACTGTTCGCATCAAAGCGAAGCGGGTTGTTGATCTGGATCAAACCGGACAAAGTTCCCGAGTAGGCCTTGTAGGATAGAGTATGTGCAGGGCATTCTTCAGCTGTAGCCGTAACTGTAGCGTCTGGCGCTCCTACATGTCCGGAAAGTAGTTCACCATCAACCTCGTACCCAACCAACTGACGACATGTCAAAGGCGTTGCAGATGAAGAAGCATGGAGGGTACCGTCCCTGAGGGTCAGCGTCGCTCCCGAAGACACAGCAAAATCAGCGGTCCTCAGCGGCTGAAGCTCAGGAACAAAGTCTTGAGACGCAATAGACGGCGGAAAAAGAGCTCCAGGAGAACCAGAACTTACTCCAGAAGAAACCACACACCGCGTTCGGAAAAGACTCCCAATGGACCTCATCCGGAAATCAGAGTCGTAAAACACAAGGTCTTGATCTTGAAGTCCTTCCAATCTGTAAGCCAATGGCTCAGCCGCAGATTCATCTAGCGCCCGTACAGAGACGGAGGTCATCAAAACAACACTGATCGCCGCGCGACGCATGACCCTGACCAGGTCTTGAACAGCGTGCCACGACGCACCAGAATGGCCCTGAGACCACAGCCCCAGATGAAACGCTTGAGCCAAAATGGCAACCCCAAACCCCAAACCCGAACCCTAAACCCTGAACCCTAAACCCTAACCACCCCCCACCCCCAAATAAGTAAACAAATAAATGCAAAAATAGAACGCAGACTGAGGGAGCCCCCGCAACCTAAGACATTCTTGTGCGGCATCCCTAGCACTGAGGGTTTAGGGTTTAGGGTTTAGGGTTTAGGGTTTAGGGTTTAGGGTTTAGGGTTTAGGGTTTAGGGTTTTCGCTGCGAGTGCGCTTCGACCCCCTCCATGAAGTGGTTGGGGGTCGGCGCATGAGCTGCAATGCCCCCCCTCACCCAAAATACAAACCTTGGACGGGTTTAGGGTTGTCTACCCCCCTACCCCCCTATCAAGGGGGGATATATATGGTTTGGTGGAGCAGAAGCAGTCTCTTAGCAGCCGTGACAAGAAATGAAATCATGAGAAGATATTTGGCTCCAGCAAGAGCTCGATTCCACTCCGTGGTCCCTCGAAGACTTTTCGAGCCCTCTCAGGATTGGCTGCGGCAAAAGTGGCAGGCTCGACTCGATTCCACTCCGTGGTCCCTCGACACCCTCAAGCCCTTTCAGGATTGGCGACGGCAAAAGCAGCAGGCTCGACTCGATTCCACTCCGTGGTCTTAGCAAACTTTCAAAGCATGTTCAAACCCTTAACCTAAGCCGCCGGGCATATATTTTTCAAGTCCCAAACCCTAAGTTTAATCAGGAAGTCCTCCTTCTTTGTCACCGGGATGAGCAAACTGGCCCTCCCTAAAGTCCCAAACCCTTAATTTAAGCCTCCGGGCCTTAATTTGAGGTTCCCCAACCCGTGATTCAAGCCACCGGGCCGTAATTTTAGGTTCCCAAACCCTTAATTTAAGCCTCCGGGCCTTAAACGTGGGTTCCCAAACTTCCGACCCTTGATTTAGGTTCCCAAACCCTATTTGAAGCCTCCGGGCCTTAATTTTAAATTCCCAAACCCCCTTAATTTAAGCCTCCGGGCCTTAATTTTAAGTTCCCAGACCCTTAATTTAAGCTTCCGGGCCTGAATTTTGAATTCCCAAACCCTTAATTTAAGCCTCCGGGCCTTAATTTTAAGTTCCCAAACCCTTAATTTAAGCCTCCGGGCCTTAATTTTAAGTTCCCAAACCCGTTATTTTAGGCCTCCAGGCCTAATTTTGTCAGGTTCCCAAGCCTTTTATTTAAGCCTCCGGGCCTTAAACGTAGTCCCAAACCCTTAAGTTAAGCCTCCGACCCTTCATTTTAGGTTCCAAAACCCTTAACTTAAGCCTCCGGGCCTTAATTTTAGATTCCCAAGCCCGGAATTTAAGCCTCCGAGCTTTAATTCTAGGTTCCCCAAACCCTTAATCCCAAACCCTTAATTTAAGCCTCCAGGCCTTAATTTTAGGTTCCCAAACCCTTAATTTAAGCCTCCGGGCCTAAATTTTAGGTTCCCAAACCTTTAATTTAGGCTGCCAAGCCTTAATTTTCGGTGCCCAAACCCTTAATTTAAGCCTCCGTCCTTGAAGGTAGGGCCAAAGCCTTAATTTAAGCCTCCGGGCCTTAATTTTAGGTTCCCAAGCCCGTAATTTAAGCCGCCGGGCCTTAATTCTAGGTTCCCAAACCCTTAATTTAAGCCTCCGGGCCTTAATTTTAGGTTCCCAAACCCTTAATTTAAGCCTCCGGGCCCTAATTTTGGGTTCCCTCGGGAGAAGCAAACCTCTCATTCCGGGCCTTAATTTCAAGTCCTCGTCTAGGGGGCGGTTTTCAAGCCTGCCCGGTCGTTTGTGCAGGGTTTAGGGCTATCATTATATAGGCTGACAGAAGCGGCCTATTCGAGCGCCGCGTGGACCTGAGGTCCAGGACCCTACGGCTCGCCTTTCGGCCTTCGCCTACGGGTCCGCAGGCCCCTGCCGGTGGCCTGCTAACGACCGGCCCCTATCGCTGGAAAGGGGGCCGGTCTTCAGTTTAGGGTTTAGGGTTTAGGGTTTAGGGTTTAGGGTTTAGGGTTTAGGGTTTAGGGTTTAGGGTTTAGGGTTTAGGGTTTAGGGTTTAGGGTTTAGGGTTTAGGGTTTAGGGTTTAGGGTTTAGGGCAGTGGTGAAGCGCAGCCGTGGCCCGGCTGTGCCACAACACTCCGTCCCAGGCGACCAAAACGAGTTTAACCTAATCAATTTGGGGTTTAGGGTTTGGGGTTTGGGGTTTAGGGTTTGGGGTTTAGGGTTTCGGGTTTAGGGTTCAGGGTTTTAGTGCCTGCTTCCAAAATACTTCCTCCTTCCACGGTTGAGGGTCCTAAGGCAGGGGGCTTCAAGGGGCCCAGGCCTCAGTCAGGTTTGGAGTAGTTCAGGGTCCCACTGAGGGTCCCAGAAGAGTCGCAGAAAGGGTCCCAGAAGAGGTTTCAAGGTGGTCCCAGGCCGGGCCCTGGGGTTTGGGTGATGGACCTGTACAGGTCCCGAAGAGACCCAAATCTCCAAGTACGGCTTGTCTGGCTTAGCAATGAAAAGTTTCTGAACAACCCCACTCCAAACCCTAAGAGACCCTAAACTCCAAACCCTAAACCCCAAAACCTAAACCCCAAACCCCTAAAACCCCTAAAACCCCTAAACCCCCAAGCCCTACAGCCGAACCCCTGGGCCAAGGATCCCTCAGGGTCTCTTGCAGCCCTAAAACCCCTCAAAACACCCCCTCAAAACAAAACCCCCCCAAAGCCTTCAAAACGCCAGTAAACCCCCAAAACCCGGAAACCCGTAAACCCCAAAACCCCCCTAACAACCCTAACCCTAAAACCCCCCCCCCAAAAAAAAAAAAAAAATCTGAAAACCCAAGGAGGATAGCCAGCAAAGGCCGCCTCAGGCTTTGCTTCAGCTGCGCGGCCAGCGCCTGGCGCATCTGCGCGGCAGCGTTGGCCTCGCTTTGCGGGCTTCTTTTGGGTTTAGGGTTTAGGGTTTAGGGTTTAGGGTTTAGGGTTTAGGGTTTAGGGTTTAGGGTTTAGGGTTTAGGGTTTAGGGTTTAGGGTTTAGGGTTTGATGGGTTTTGGTGCAGCTTTCCAGCGTTTCGGTTCGGCATTTTGGGTCTTGGGGCTTTGGGGGACCAGTTTTGGGATGATATGAGGTCTCCTAAATTCGGGCGCACTCAAGCAAATCCACTCCGGTCATGGGGAACCGGTGAGTGTAGCACCCTCATGCAGAAGTCACGCCCTTAGAAGCCCTCTCAAGAAGCCCTCTCAAACCCCCTAAACCCCTCAACCCTAAACCCCTCAACCCTAAACCCTAAACCCTAAACCCTAAACCCTAAACCCTAAACCTGAACCCTCAACCCAAAAAGTCCCTGGGAAGGGGCCGTCTCTGCCACGGCTTCACCGCCGGCGGAGGGCGCCGTAAGCTCGGCCACCAGGTTCCTCAGTTGAGACTTGAGGATTTTTGGGCCCAAGTTTGCTGTTCGATAGGCTTTAGGGTTTAGGGTTTAGGGTTTAGGGTTTAGGGTTTAGGGTTTAGGGTTTAGGGTTTAGGGTTTAGGGTTTAGGGTTTAGGGTTTAGGCTTTTGCTGTTATAGGCACCTGAGGCTGCCCCGAAAACTGTTCTTGGATCAATCACCCTACAGCCCCTTGCATACCTAGGACAAACATACTTTTGTTATCTGTTGTTCAATATTCTTGATAGGTACCTCCCCCATTAGAATCCCTATTGAGGACGGTTTGCATAAGGGGGAACATCCCAATCAACATTTACGAACCTCACTTGGCTGATTTGGGCTTTGACATGTTCGTCGAGACAAACGCCGCTTACATACCAACCAAAACTGGCAGACTGGAGACGACAGTCGTTTTGCGACGAAGCGCAGAAGGCGCTCGAGTATTCCAGTCCGCCGAAGTGTCGAGGCCGGCGCCGGGGCGCATTCTGCACCCGCCCGGCCGTCGACTGGCGGCTGGCACTCTGGGTCGGTAGTGGGTGGGAAAATCGAAAGCGGCGCGTTTGAGCGAATCGTCGGCTTCGGCGGACGACGCTCAGTTTGTCCCTACGCACACAAGTGTGCTACACGACAAACGCCGCTTACATACTAACCAAAACTGGCAGACTGGAGACGACAGTCGTTTTGCGACGAAGCGCAGAAGGCGCTCGAGTATTCCAGTCCGCCGAAGTGTCGAGGCCGGCGCCGGGGCGCATTCTGCACCCGCCCGGCGCCCCCTGCCCCCATCATGCGCCGGCACTCGGCCAAAAATCCTTAGCAACCCTCACAAGGTCGTCGCCAGCGGCGTCCGTGGCGTAGTCGATGTCGCCGGCCGCTTGGAAGAGGACGGCGAGGATGGCGTCGACGGGAAGGTCAGTCCAGGTCCAGCCCAACTCCGTCGCCTGCGACAAGTCGTCGCGCGAGACGGCGTCGGATATGTCGGCCTTGGAGGGGACACGGCGGAAGTCGGGGTACCAGTTGTACCTCGCCGCCGTGGCCCAAAACGCCGAGAGAAGGCCGTTGACCGCCGGATCCTTCCCATAGCCCTTGAGCAGGGCGCACTGGCCGGCGACGTTGTCGATGTACGCCAACCAGTACTGCGGCAGGCGGTCGCCGAAGGCCAGCAGGGGGAGGAGCTGCGCGACGATCTCGAGGACGTAGATGAACGCCCGCCTGACGGAGGAATGTGTCGGGTATCCGTCCTCGGCTGTAGTACGTCGCCGCCCCGATCCGGAGGACAAACCCCCAGCCGTTGTGCCACCTGTCGCGTGGCGCCGCCTTCGCCGCCGGCGGGACGTGGCCCGCCTTGTGGATCACGTCGCCCTCCTGGAAAAATGCGTCGGCGTAGAGCACCGCCATGTTCTTTTCCGCCGGCGCGAAGGGGACGAATCTGGGGCGGACCTGTTTGAGCATGCCCCGCAGCGCCCGCAGGGCCGCCGCCAGTCCCACTGAGAGGTGGTCGTCGGATGTGCGGGCGACGTCGACTGCCCTGGCGTAGATCGGCTTGATGGCTGCCTTGCCGAGCGCGCCGAAGATCGCCTGGGTGAGAAAGGCGACCCGCCAGCCTGTGGGCGACGGCGGGCGTCAGCGTATTCTCGGCGAGCGTCTGATCGATGATCGCCAGGATCTTGGCTCGGCGCCTCTCCGTCGGGGACAGTTCGATCCCCTCGTCGGTGACCCGAAGGTGGACTCCCTGAACGACGCGCGCCACCTCCGGCGCCTGCGCCTTGGATGCCTTCGTGCGAAGGCCGAGGAGGTCGAACAGCACGGCGAAAGCTTCGAAGGCCGACGCCGTCTCGGCGAATTCGAGGGCGTTGAAGTCGTCGACGTAGTGGCCGCCGAAGACGAGGAGGAGCGCCCGGAGCAAGGCCTGAAGGGCGTCGCCGGCGCGGTTGAAGTTCCAGACCGAGGCTGCGGCGCCGAAGCACATGGCCAGGTGAAACCAAAGGGTCACGCCGTGGTCGGTGGCCAGGAACGTGCCCGAGTGGGCCGGATGTTTCACGGCCCACTGGCGGTACGCCGACCACAGGTCGTGGCCGAAGACGCGGGCGTCACCGCCGGTCTCCACCAGGCACCTCGCCATGTCGACGAAGTCATCGATGAAGTGGTGCGTCGGGACGTCCCTGGCCCTGACTGTGCTGTTGTGGCCAGTCCTCGCCGGCGGAGCTTTTCCTCCCCGTTCTCGTCAAACTGTAGAATGGGGAAGGACGCCGCCACGAAGACGTCCTGCGCCGGCGGCTCCACGAGGTGGTTCATGCAGACCACGTCGGGCAGGGCCACGGTTCGGATTTTCCAGTCTTCGGCGGAGCCTTCGGCGGTTTGGCCATGGCGTCGTAGAAGAGGGCGTGGTTCTCCATGATCTCCTTCGTCGCTTCGGCGAACGACTTGCCGAGGCGGAGATCCATGGCCAGGGTCCACCCGATCGCCGACCAGAAATCGACGACCTGCTCCATCATGCCCGGGCGAGACCGAGCCTTGGCGACGAACCATGGCAGTCGACGAATGTGTCGATCGCGCAATGCCCGATCAGGCCAGGGTCCAAGCCCACTGACCGAGTCGGCTCCGTCGATGACGGCGAGGAGCGTCCTGGGGACCCAGTCCTTCTCCTCAGTCGCCGAGGCAGCACGCCGGATGGCGTAGGGGTTGATCTCGCCGGAGGCCTGGTAAGTACGCCGGGCCAAAATCTCGGAGAGACTGACCGGCGTATAGGACTTGGTCACGGTGTGCTCATGCCACATCCGCGCCAAGACCTCTTCGGCGCCGAGGAGCGCCTGAGTGGGGAAGCGACGGCGTTCGCCGTCGAGCAGGCGAGCGTTGTAGCTCTCCACCTGCGTCTGCCAGGCGGAGAAAGTTTTCGGCGGTTTCTCGTCGACCCTGGCATTGTGGGGCGCCTGGGACGCCGACGCCTGTGCGGGTGGCTGCGCTGCCGCAGCTGGCGGCGCCGGAATCGCCGTGTGTATGGTCCACTGACGACGAGCCTCGGACCACATGTGGATGATGATCGCCCGGGCGACGTCGGCGTGGATCGGGTCGGCCTTGTGGGTGACCCCGGCTATGTCGATGCCGTCGACGTAGTCCTGGATGATGGACTTCTGGAGGGCCTCGACGTCGAGGGCGATGAGGGCCAGCGTCGAGGTCCGGTCGACGCCGCGAGCACGGAGGTAGGCCACAACCGGCGGTGCCGCGCCAGCCTGCGCCGCGAGGTCGTTGAAGTCGACCATCGCCGATGCTGCCGCGGCGATCGCCATGTTCGCCGGGAAGGTAGGCGGGCTTGAGGGGGGGGGGGGGCGCTACACAAGCGAAAAGGCTGCAGACCGTCGCGACATGACCGCCGTGAGGACCCCAAGGGGGGGGAGAGGTGCGGGCCTCCCGACCACTTCGACGATGGCCCTGGTCCCGATCCACGCCCGATGATGCGGCGGAAGGAGACTCGCCGCTGCATGCCAGGTGGGCGGCGGCGGTCAGCAGCTGGCGCTGGTGCCACATGTTGACCCGCTCCCACGGGACGAAGGGTTGGGTCTGTGGCTCGCCGCGGCGCGGAAGGAAAAAGCCGCACGGTCTCGACCACACGTCCGTCGCCGACGGCGGCGTGGGTGTCGGAGTGCTGGAGCCTTCTGCGGTGGAGGCCCACCAGGCGACGTCGCCGCGCCGAGCTGCATCGGCAGCGGCTGCGGCACCGGCGCCGAAGGCCCCCCCAGACCAGGGCGCTGCGTCGGCGGCGGCGGTCGGGATGGGACGACCGAGGCAGGCCGACATTGAGTCCGGAAGAGATCGTCGGCCGTCGCGCCGGCGGCCCAGGCCCACCACAGCTCAGATCGACGTGTCGGAGGCGGCGTCCTGGATGTGGTCTCAGAGATCACGTCGGTGGCGGAGCTGAGCGTTGAGGGGGCCGTCGTGGGAGAGTCGTCGGACGACACCTGCTCGTCGGCGACAGCCCTGTGGAAGTCAGGCTTCGGGACAAAGGCCACGCCGGGCAGCAGGTCGTCCACGTCGACTGGACGGAGCCGAGGGCGGCGGAGACGGCAGCTGCGGTCCGACCGGCTCATCGGTGGTGAGGTCGACTAGCGGCGCCGCGGGCGTGCCCTGATTCCCCACCAGGGCTTGCCGGCGCGGACGGGGCCAGTGCCAGTGGGGCCGACCTGGGTATATGGGAGGATGGCCCAGGACGACCAGCGGCCTAGCAGCTGGACCACCGGCAGAGGGATCCCTCTCGCCGCGAGGAAGGACGCTCCCGCCACCCGTGCCAGATGGCCCTGGAAGCGGAGCCTGCGGCGGCCGAACGGGTCCACGTAGACAAGCAGGCGACAGCCGCATCGACGAAGGAGTGCTTGGAGAACCCGCCGCCGGTAGGACCCGGCACCAAAGGATCGTCCGGGTTGACGACCCCGCGCAGCCGAAGCCTGGCCAGGTGGCGCCGAGCTGCGTGCACAGGGCAGAGTGGGTGCACCTCCGCCACGCAGACGCATCTCAGGGATCGCCGGGTCAGAAGGCGTTCTCCGCCGGTGGCCGTCTTATGCAGCGGTAGCATGAGGGAGACCTCAACATGAACCACGTGGCCAGGATGAGCACGTCGAGGAAGTGCTCCGCCGAGTGGAAGACGAAAGGAGACGGGACCCGCGTCGGGATGGCCGTCGCAAGGGCCTGCAGCGGGAAGGCCTCTTTGAGGTTCGCTGCCGGTAGTCCCCTAGTGATGGAGCGAGAGCAGCGCCGCATCATCCTGATCAGGATCGGCGAGACCGTCGCCGCGTCGAAGTAAAGCTGGGCGGATCTGTACGCCCCAGCCTTGAGAGAGGCGGCCACGGCCCGAATGACCTCGCCGTCGACGGGCCATGGTTCCAAACCCCATGCCTCGCCGCCAGGTCCTGATCCGGGACTCAATCGGTCCCCTGGTGGACGCGAGGATGTCTGCGTCGAGGGCCTTCAAGGCTCTCTTCCTGTTGGCGGGCTCCGCCGCGGTCAGCGCCGCCTGAAGTGAGGCGGACGCCTCTCGCCGTCTCACCGGTACGTCGGATCTCGTCGGCACCACGAGAGACGTCGGTGTCGGCGTGGCAGCATTGGCCTTCCTGGGAAGCGTCGCCAGGATCTCCACAGCGCCTCAGCCGGGACGCCCTCCGCTAGCAGGCGGGGCGCCGCGGCGGGTAACTCATGCACGCTGGTAATGCCCGATCGTGGGCAGGAATTGGCTCAACCCAGCGTCGGAGGCCAGCTGCACCAGTTCGCCGAATGTGCCGGGAGCCGGCGCCTGCATGATGCCCGAGCCCCGCGAAGGGCGACCGGGAAGACTCCGCGAGGAGGCTTGAACCAAAGGAAAAAGAAAAAGGAGTCGAAACGACGGGGCGAAGGGGGAGGAGGGGTCGGGGCAACAAGCAGCAAACAAGCGCCGGAGGACAGACGACGTTTTTCCAAGGAAGATGCCGCCGGTACCGGTCTTCGCCGGGGGCGGGTCTCTGCCGGGCTTTGCCGGGAAAAACGCCGAACTACCCTGCGTGCCAAAATGAAGTCGCCGTCGAGGACCTCGTCGGGCGCGGCGTCGGGGTAGTCGACGGAGGCGAGGACCGTCTTCACGGCGCTGGCGGCGGCTCGTCAATGGCCGCTAGGAGGGCTCGCCGGGCCGTGTGGTGCGAGCGCCGGTGGCAATCGTCGCACTCGTGGGCGTTGTGGCGATTGTCCACGCCGAGCACGATGGGGCGCAAGCACCGGCCATCGCCGTGGCACTCCCGCCGCGTCGGACACGGGCAGGCGCACCAGCCACAGATGTGGCGCCGCCGCTCCGTGTGCGCCGCCGAAATCCTCCCTCCCCTGACGCCGGGCGGGAGGGCGGCGATCACCCAGTAGGATGCGGCGTCGGACGCCGGCATGGGCTGGAGCCGGCTGTCCCGCTCCCTCTCGGCGACGGCGCGGAGGGACGGGACGACGAGCTGGTCCAACGCCGATCCCGCCGGGGCGGAGTGCTCCGTCGTCGCCCCCGGAGCTCCATACGGCGTTTGTACGCCGAGTAGCGCCCATCCGCCGACAGGTCCGCCTCAATCCTCGCCTGCGCCGCTGCATTGGCACGCGCCTCTTCGAGGGCCTGAAACTCAAGCCGCTCGATACGGCGGAGGCGCTCGCCGGCGTCGATGTCAGCAGGCAGGCGGGGCGGCGGGGCCTTCGGCCTGTCGGCGGCTGCAGCCGGCGTCGAGGAAGAGGCGGGCCGTAGGCCTCATAAATCGGGTCGTCGACGGCCCACAAGCGCCGGCCCAGCTCGGCGCCGTCGGTGAAGGTACTGGACGCCGCGACCCGAGCCTCGGCCTCAGATGGGAAGCCCGCCGCATGCCACACCGGCTGTCGACTCAACTGCGTGGACCTCGACGACGAGGGACCTCCACCGGGGGGGCCTTGGTAATGAGCTTGGCCTTCGGCGCCGGGTCGACCGGCGGGAAGGGGCTCTTCGGCGCCGCCTTGACGGGCACAGGCCGGGCCTTGGTAGCCGCCGGGATCACCGTCGACGGCTCGGCGCTGTGGGCGGGCCCCTCGTTCTCCTCCTCGATGGGGTGGCGGTTACGCCGGGCCTCCACGTCGTCAACGCGATCCTCCGGCATTGGCTCAGGGAGGCCGCCGCCGAGGGAGAGGCCGGGTTGGGCCCGAGGGGGAGCCTCCGGCGGTCCAGACGACAGCGGCGGTCCACACTCCAAGTTCACCTCGGCGACGACGTCGGGATGTCCGGGTGGTTCAGGTAGCCCTGGTCCGCCGGCGGCGCCGCCTCCGTCTCCTCCGGGTCGTCGATGATCGGGCCGGAGCCGAAGGAGTCCTCGCCGGATCCGCTCTGCGCCGCTTGGACGCGGATGCCGCCCCAGGATGGTCGACCACCTCCGCCGTGTCGCGGGCGAGCGACGTGAACGGCAGGTTCGGCGGGAGGATATCGCCGAAGCGGTCGTGCGCCAAAAGCGTGGCGTGCGCCGCAACCATCCTCTCCCTCACCGGCATATAGGGATCGCCGCGACGAGGGTAAGGGCGGCATCCGGCGTCGAGGTCGCCAGGACGAGGGCGGTGATCAGCTCATCGACGGTGAAGCCGGACATGGCGTCGGGATCACGGAAGGAGAGCTAAAATCGAAAGCGGCGCGTTTGAGCGAATCGTCGGCTTCGGCGGACGACGCTCAGTTTGTCCCTACGCACACAAGTGTGCTACACTGCTGCCTGCAAGACCTACTGGGCAAGGCTAGCTGTGTCTCTTTCCGGCTACAACAAAAGCTTCCCTCGACACCGCCCCTAAAACCTAAACTCTACACCCTAAACCATGGAGAGGTCACCCTAAACCTCTGGGCCAGGCTTGGGACGCGATCTCCACATAGCTCACCGTATGGCAACATCCTCCTACTTCTGGGAAGGTGCATGAGGGCATCCATAGTCTCCTCTCACATCTACCCAGCAACTGCCAGTCGGCTGGCAGCCCTACACATGGGGGTTTACGACAAAAGGGGGCCCTAGAATGGACGGCCATGTAGTAGAATTCCCTTGTTTAGGACACCAATCAGGTACCCCTTTTTTTCCAGAAATCCCCACATGAGAAGCCCGTCTACAGCCCTTCAATTCACCCACATTCCAGTCACTGGCGCTAGACACTTTTTTCACACTCGGTGAGACCTGGTGAAAGTTGCAAGCGTGGTAAACCCAAACATGGTTCGTGTCCCACATGGGTAAAGTGCCAACGAAGTGCTACCACTGAGCGACACTAAGTACATGAGTGGTAACACGATGCAGAAGGCATCGCACCGCCAACTCTTCCCACGAGCAAAACCTAGCAAAACACAGTGAAACCTTTTAAAACGGACGCTCTGGCATCTCGCCCGAATCGTCACCTATTTACAACGTCAGCTCCACCCAGCCACGTGCCAGCAGTGACACCCTGTGGCATGCCTCCACTTTTCCTTCAAACGCCTCCCGGAGGAAATCTGGCAACGAATGCCCGATGATGAAATCTGCCGCGGCGCATCCTCGCGCATTCCGCAGATTGACCTGTGCTCCTGCGGCTATCAGAGCTGCAGCGCATTCATGGTTGCAGGCGAGTATAGCCACCATCAAGGGGGTTGCTCCTTCCGCATGATACATGATCCTGGAGAAAGGCGTGACCTTGTAAAAGCGGTGTTGTAGGGTCAGCAATGTGTACACGGCTCGCATGAGTGGCTTGCGCCGAAAGTGCTCGTCCGTCTGAATGTTCACATCTGCTCTCATCTCAACTAGCCGATGGACCACCTCGGCGCCCGCCCCGCCCAGGGCGGCACTGTGAAGAGCTTCGGAAGCATTCAGGGCAGTATTCACATGTCGTGGGAGCTCATCGATGGCCTCAGACGATCCGTAATAAGCAGCCATTTGGAGGATCGTCCCACCAAAGGAATTTTGTTCCAGCGGGCTGCACCGAGCCTCCAAGAGAATCCGGATGGATTCTCTGGTGCTCCGAGCCGCTGCGCAATGTAGAGGTCCGTGAATTACAACGTTGCTGGCCACGCTAGCTTTGGTGGATATGAGAAGCTGGACAAGCTCAGTGTTCCTGAACAGGCAAGAGATGCTAAGAGGCAGCATCCCGGTTTCAAAGCCAAAGGCCGGATGAACTTTCTTGGTGCCTTGGTCTGGATCTGCACGAAGCAGGAGCAAATCTTTCACCAGTAATGGATCCCCGTTCACCGCAGCATAGTGGAGAGGCATCCACCCACAGCGGTCAGTGTCCGAGACGTTGCGGAAACCATTCTGGTGGAAGAACTTCATGGCGCGCCATGGGGATTTCAGATCGATCTGATCAAAGCCGATCTGATCAAAGCCCGGGACGGGTTCAAAGGCATCACACTCCAAGCCTCTGAAAAGCGCACGTTGCTGGTTGAGGAATGCACGATAGCCTGGGAAGTCCTGTGTTTCCAGGAGCCTCTTCAACTTCCGCTTCAGCGCCGTCATGAGAACTGGCCCCAGCTTCAAGCGGTCCTCTGGCACGGTGAAAGCACCTTCGCCCACTGGCCCAGACCCAGCCCGAGTGGATGCCACTGCACCTTCATGTTACTGCCCCCCTCTATACTACCCCCTTTAGGTACCCCCTATAGTTAAGGCTATTTAGGGATTCTTAAGCCGAGTTAAGGCTATTTAGCTACTGCACCTGAGATGAGCTCAAGGTCTGAAGGGCTTTTCACAACGATCCAGTCGTGATCTTCGGAGAGCTCACGGCAAGTCCTTTCTAATCTACACCACCCGCGGCCATGCCAGCTCCCGGGAGAAATCACGTTGGTCCCACGTGAGTTCTCCAAGACCGGTACGAGCGCAAAGAAGAAGGAGCACGCGTTCACGAAGGCCGGTATACTGTTGATGGCTAGCTGCAGATAGCTCTTGCTTCGCTCTTCCTTCTGGGGGGCAGAGAAGTAGTCGTACCAGAAAAAGAGCGGCTCAGCCAGAAGCTCAGATGTCGGCAGGGGCCTGCCATGATTTAGAGTCTCGCTCACAACATCCACGGGAATGCTTTGCAAGTTCCCGATGACTGTCCTCAAAGCATCCTGTAGAACCCTCAGCTGAGTACAGTCCGGGTCTGGATGATGAGCTTCAATCCACTGGTGTGAAACAAAAACTGCCTTTCCCATCTTCCTGTGGAACTCGACCAAGAGACCTCTTTCCTTGAGCGCCTCGTGAGGCTCTAAGTGGCTCATCTCCAGTAAGGTGCCTTGGATTTGCGAGAACGGACACTTTAGGGTCTAGGGTTTAGGGTTTAGGATTTAGGGTTTAGGGAAAGACGTTCAAAACAGAAACGATAGAGATTCCCCACATGGCGGATGCACCAGTAGACCAAAAACTCACTCAAAATGGCACTCAGCAGAACCAGGGTGCCTAAAGATACCGTGTACATGGGGAACTCCATGTGCAGCTCCAAGCCATCGAGCTGCACGTTGAGGGATTTTGCGTACTGCGCCAAGGGTGTCAAAGCACGCGCCGCAGTGCTACTGCAGCATGCCATGGGGAGCTACCGACGGCACCCAAAAATGGCCGAGAAGAAACTGCCGACGAGAACAACATCCTTCCATCGCAGTCTTAGAATAGGGGGTACGGCACTCCCGATTAAGGACTGCTATGTTAGTCTTAGGGCAGTCATGAGTCAGGCCCACATCCTCCCCAAGATTTGTGGCTTTAGGCCGAAGGGGTCCCGAACTTCACCTTAGACCCGGCGCCCTAGAAACCCATGGGGCCTGCCTAACAAAGGGGGTATTTGCAGTATGATTCTCAAGGGACCCTAAGGGGATACTGGGATACTACTAGTAATTATTCCGACCTTTACATTCTACATTAGCAGCCAGAGGATTTTGCCCAAAACATCAGCGAGGCTCTTTCCCGTCGCGGAGCCACCGGCAGTGGCCTCACTTTCAAAGCTTGCAGGGCAGGTGTGGCAAGTTCCCCATTTGGGGGTTTCCGAAATTAGGGGTACCTTATTTGGGGCCTTACTATATGGGAATGACTATATTAAGGGTCCCCTATTTTCGTCAACTCCCAGTTTGAGGACAGCATATGAGTCAGGAAAGGGCGGAGTTAAGGGTCTTTAGTGCTCAAATGTCACTGCAAGGAACGGAACTGGTGTTCTACGGAACTGCGCGGAAGCTCTGCGTAGCTGTGTTCAGTGCACCTTCAACGATGGCACAGATCATGGACTGTGCCTCATGTGTCAGGGCCAAGAGTGTTGACAATTGCCGTCCGGATCCTCAAAACATACCAATCCTGTGCACAACTTGATCCCTAAATTCCCTAAACTCCCCAAACCCTAAACCCTTTGCCTTGGCCCTCTGTCAGCCCTTCTCGGCCCTCGACTGCATCCACGGCTTTGGCCACGCGAACATTTCCGCCTCCGCATGGGTTTAGGGTTTTGGGCCTTTGTAGGGGTGACATGAGAGGTTCCTGCAAGAAGGTTTACATTTTAAAAACGAAGAGTGTTATTTAGGTATTCTGCAGGCACGGATTTAGCGAAACTTGGGGGCTTGGGGAAAGATGGTTGGAGAAGGCATCAGGATACGTACCTTTGCCTTTACATGTAGGGCTTAGGGTTGCGGCGGAGGATTGTATCAGGAATGTAGAACTGGGAAATATCCTTGACTTGTCTGGCTCTAGAACTCCAAACGAATCCCGAAAACCCTTCAACCCTTACACCCCGGGGCCCTAGAAATCCCTGCCGGTTCCCCACTGCCTTTGGAAGCCTCCAGCTGCTTTTGCCGTTCCTCCGCTGCCGTGTTGTATGTTAGGGCTCAGGGTTTGGTAGGCAGAGGGGTAACTCGGGCACCGCACCACCACCACCACCCACCAACGGAAAGAAAGCGAGCTGAGAGGTATATCCATACTACAGCATATCGGGGTTTGATGATGAGCTATTCGCGACTCTTTGGGGTAACCTTATACTAAGTTTTCTGGATGATACCTACTAATTAAGTGGTACGTACTGCTAAACTGTAGGTAACTAAAGCCCCAAGTCAACTTTCCCCTAGGCCCTGAGCCCTGAGCCCTCAACCCTAAACCCTAAAACCCTAAGCCCTAAACCCAAAACCCAAAACCCAAAACACTAAACCCTAAGCCCTAAACCCCAAACCCTAAACCCTACACCCTAAACCCTAAACCCTAAACCCTAAATCCTAAATCCTAAACCCTACACCCTAAACCCTAAACCCTAAACCCTGACCTGCCATCCCTGCCTTGCCTTGTTGCGCTTCTCTACGAGGAGCTGCCGCTGCCTCCGATGACGCATGGGGAGGGCGGGGGGGGGGGGTTTAGGGCTTAGGGTTTAGGGTTTTTAGGGTTTAGGGGGGCTTAGGGTTTAGGTTTAGGGCTTAGGGCTTAGGGTTTAGGGTTTAGGGTTTCGGGTGTGGGGTTTGGGGTTTAGGGTTTAGGGTTTGGGGTGGGGGGGGGGAGGGGGAAGGGGGCTCACTAGAGTATTATAGGGGACATACAGGAATAGTATAAGTACTATAGGGGCCATAATAAGGACGCCCAAATAATAGGCTTATGATAAGGACCCCAAGAATGTCTCGGAAAACCCCCCTTGGGTTTTTGGGGGCACGGCTGCCTCTGCAGATGTTCTGCGCGAGCTTTGCGCTCTGCCTGCACAGGGCAGAAGGGTCGGCTCTCGTTCGCGGGAAGCCGTGGTCCCATTCAACTACGCCGAAACGCACGCAGTCTAGGGTTTAGGGTTTAGGGTTTAAGGTGTAGGGTTTAGGGTTAACTTGTAAGGGCCCATGGCCCATGTCTTAGCTCGGGGCACGCAAGCCTGAGTGCGCGACCCTTTTTTCCAGAGACCGTCCGTGACGCATGATCCCGCCTCGCTTGGCTGCGCCTGGGGCGGCGGCGGAGGAGGTAGCGGTGCAGACGCCTCGTCAGCCGGCGCCTGCTGTGCCAGGGCCTTGGACGAGTTTTGTTTCTGACTCAGAGGTCGGCCGGATCAGATCCGGTTACATGGGGAAGAGGCGCCTGCTCAATGAACACCGATTTTGCGGGCTATTTGCGTACCCAATGTGGCGAAGAGGCCTGCGCACCCCCGAGGCTGTACACTTCACAACCGGGTGGGGCAAGTGCCTGACTGGCCATTGGACTGCCTGAGCTTGCAAGAGTGAAATTCTGTAGGCTACTTATGGCTACTTAGTCAGTTTGTGCCAGACGCGATGACTCAATTCCCATCTGTACATCCCCGCCTGGTCTCAGCCAGGCGTGCTGTGCATCATGCAGACTGGCTTGCTTTGCTGCTATGCACATCCACAGGCGAGCAGGATGTGTTAATTCGGCAGGGCCGCTCATGGCAGGAAGTTTGCCTGGGTCACGAACTCAAAGCTGGTGCAAATCCCCGCATCCTGCTCGAGGTCATCCTTGTGGGGGTGATCCTCGGATCTGTGCACCAGCTTGAACCAAGCATCAGCAAAGTCCGCGTCGAACTGGGCATGGTCGGCGGCGTATTCTCGGACGATCTTGTGGTAGGTCTCGTCCGCAACAAGCGAGATATCCGAGGTCAGGCGCATGGTCTTGGCAAACTCGCTCGTGTGGTTGCGGGTGTGCCACTGGTCATTGCCATACCTGAGTCCACACAGGCTTCACAACCCTGCACACGCGCGCTGCAACTCACGTGCATCCCTAAGACCTGCGTGCGGGGCACCGGTACACTCCCGAAAGCTCCCTACAACGCCCTAAACCCTAAACCCTAAAACCCTAAACCCTAAAACCCTAAAACCCTGCCCCCCACTCTGGTAAGAAGTGGAGGCCCAGGCTTGCAGTGGGTGAGAAAACCGGAGGCCGAAGGCAGAGGCTCTTTGCAGGCCGGCGACGGGCTCTTTGCAGGCACCCACTCCTCCGACAGCAGGGCATCGAAGAAGTCGTAGTTCCAGCGCGAGGGGCTGCCTGGGCAGATCATAATCATAATAAAAAACAATCAGAAATTAAGATGAAAAACAAACAATCATCATCATCATCACCATCGTCACCATCGTCATCATCGTCATCATCGTCATCATCATCATCATGATGAAAATAAGCAGAATCAGAATCACATGAATCATAAGATTAATGATTATGACAGCTGCGGCGCCACTCTTCCGTGCTACATGCTATGCATCTCAGCGCTGGAACGCTGGCATCTGCTGAACATGGTTGCGTTGTTTACCACGAGCAAAGAGCCACAATGGAAGGGCCCATACCCCGAACTTTAAGGCCAAGATGGCAAAACCGGCTCTACGGGAGTTGCTATTATTATTATTACTACTATGGTTAATATTCTTGTTTATGATGATGATTATTACCATTAGCCTTACTCTTGTTATTTACTAAATTAGTTAGGTACTAATTCATGGTTTTTATATTGTCATGGGTGTATTACACTGTAGATGGCTCGTGGGCTCCAAGCTACGTGTCCAAGGACCCTCGAAACCCGAGGAGACGGTGTTCTTGCCGAAGCCCGCCTCGGGTTCGCAAAGGGATGCACTACTGCTTCTGCAGCTTACGTTGTTTCATGGGGCTTCAAGGGTTCCGCTGGTTCTCCCAGCGGTCATATGGTAATTAGGCTTTGCGAAGTCTGCCTTCAATGCCAATGCCTGGACCCTCAAACCTGGACCCTCAAACTTGCAACCCTAAGCAAACCCCTAAAACCCCTGAGTAGAAAAAACCACAAATTCTGAACATTTTAACTTCCCCCTTTCCCCCCCCTTCCCCAGCCCCTCAACCCTACACCTAAACCCTCTAGACTCGTTAAACCCGAAACCCTGAACCCTAAACCCTAAAACCCTAAACCCTGAACCCGAAACCCGAAACCCGAAACCCGAAACCCGAAACCCGAAACCCGAAACCCTAACCCACTCCCCCTACCTCAAGCACAAAAGAGACATCGGGGCTAAGCGGCTTCAGGGCCTGTTCCGCAGGTGCCATCCGTGGGTCCCCGGAGGCTTCCTGCCGTGGCCTCGTGAACTTGGTTTAGGGTTTGGGGTTTGGGGTTCAGGGTTTAGGGCATAGGGTTTAGGGTTTTAGGGCTTAGGGTTTAGGGTTGAGGGTTTACGGGGCGAGGGGGGGGGATCAAGGGTTGAGGGTTGAAGGTTGAGGGTTTCGGGTTTAGGGTTTAGGGGTTGAGTTTTGTCGGGGGTTTGTGGGGCTTAGGGCTTCAGGCTTTAGGGGCTCGGACCCTTAAGCCCTCAAGCCTTGAGGGGGGCACCTCAACCTGAGCAGCCGAAATTCCACCCGACGGTTTCTACCAACCCTGCCTCTGAAGACTTCTGCGATCTTTACGAGACCGCAAACTCGCAGATTCCTAACTGTCCCAAGATGCTCGCACAACTGGGAGCCTACCCCAACTCGTCTTGCTAAGCCCACGTGCATGTGCATGCGGAACGTCCGCAGCCTCAAAGTAAGGGCCGACGTTGTTGTACGGAGTCTGCGCCCATTTGGTGCCGGTGAGGTTGCCTCACTCAGTCATTGCTGCACCACGGGCGCGTTCCTGACTCTACTGGGGCACTGCCAAGACTCTGGACAACCTTGGAAACTCGAAAACTCTATCTCGAAACTTCAGCGCAGCTCCATAAAGCATTTGCTTATTGTCATCAGTGACTAAGCAGCTCTAGCTGTGAATAACATCCTACTTTGTGGAGTGGGGCACTTTGATGCAGGGCCCCTGGTGCACATGATGCCCCTCTAATCCTCCAAGTAGCAGTTGCCGTGGGTCCGGCCCAAAGTGTGGCCACCGCCGATGAGGGCGACGGTCTCGCGGTCGGTCCAGCCCATGCGATCCCGGAAGGTGTCCCTCACCTCCTGAGAACCCTGAACCCTAAACCGTTAACCCAAAACCCTAAATCTCGAACTCTTGGAGCTAGAGCACTTTCGTGAGCTTTAGTGATAGCCACTTGGGCAAGAACCATCAGCTTGGCGCTTGCGAGCAATGCGGGCAAGGGGCCAGGGCACTGAGCCTCGGCGAGCGGTTGTGCACCCAGTAGGCCTTGTAGTCCTTGGCGCTGGTCTTGAGCTCCGGGCCCTCGGGGTAGACGTAGATGAGACCCACAGAATGGCTGGCCTGGAGGCGATCGGGCTGCTCGATCTTGCAGCGGGCATGATCCGTGTCGTTCTGCTCCGACCACCGGAAGGTGTTGGGGCACTCGAAGTTGGACTTGCAGAACTTGCTGCCGTAGCACTGGGCCACGCCCTCTACGCCCAGGGGGATGGAACGATCGCCGCTCACGTCGTCCAGGCGCCCAAAGCAGAACTTCTTGGCTGGGCCGCCGCTCGCCTTGATGGCCACGGTGCCTGCGAAGGTCATGAGGTCGGACCAACTCACCCGGTCGCCGAACTGCAGCTTCACTTCGGCCAAGAGCCCACGGGCCTTGTCCAAGTTGGTGTTGTCACGCCATTCGTTCTCTGGCCAATGGCGCTGCCGTGCACCCTCGCAGCCTCCAGCCGCATGCGTGTCGTTGATCATGCGGAAGCTCCCCGAGCAGTGCCAAGCCAGTCTGGCGAAGAGGCCCGCATAGCTGGCCACATCGCCGTCCTGTGGCCCATCCGCAGGCCAGTATGGTTTGGAGGTGGCCATCAATGTTGCGATTGCGCTGTAGAGCTGCTGGATGTCCAAGGCCCTCAGCTGGTGGTGGTAGTCCGCCTTGCTCAGAACCTCGGCAGGGGCAGATGGGCCCATCTTCCGGAAGATCTACCCTAGCTCGTTCATGTTTCATGCAAGCGTTGTGAATGTTAACATCTTCTCCACCATGTGCATGTGCGTATGCTTGACCGATGCCTGCCTGAGAAACTGGGCGCGCACCACGAAGGGAGGCCAGATCCTGCCAGGCCGGGATGGTGCCCAGGTCGTAGTGGGGGAAGTCGTCCGCCCGCATCTCGGCCGTCACGAAGCCGAGCATGGCACAAGCAAGGAGGCGCATGGGGACGTGCAAGGGCGCCATCACGACCTTCCGGCTTGTTCAATCTCACCTGTTCCCTACGTTCTGAGCGCTGGCCGAGACGTCACTCCGGTCAAATCCCACACAAAAAGGCACCCGCTTCGCTCACTCCCTCACTCACTCAGGGCTCAATGTAACTGATCATCTGCAGATTACCCTGCAAGGGCCGAAGCTACGCAACCCTGCAAACGCCGGTTCGCCTTTCCACGTCATCCGGTGCACTGTTGCGTTGACAGGGCTGGGACGAGAACGAGACCGACCTCCCTTTACATCCGCCTGTCCGACCCAGAGCTCAAGATCCCAATCTCAGCTCCTGTGCCTTGCAGCCAAGTTGCCGCAACTTCTGCCCGTGCACGTTCGTGCTCGGGGGAGACGGAGGCAGCCGTCTCACATGCAGGGTTTTTGATTTAGGGTTTAGGGTCTCGTTCATACTGGGCTGGCAGGACAAGACTCAGCAGTTTACGATGCACAACAACTTTCAACTATCCAGTGTAGTCTGGCATCCTGCAAACATGTGGATTTGCACAGGCTAGCTTGGACTCCCACTCCTCCGATTCGCACCCACATGCCACCCTTGCGTATCCGAACAGCAAACCCTCTCTGAGCTCCTTAGGCATCCTCCAGATGGAAAGAAGCCGACACTAAACATCCCAAACAATCCTGAACTCAAACCCTAAACCCTAAACCCTAAACCCTAAACCCTAAACCCTAAACCCTAAACCCTAAACCCTAAACCCTAAACCGCCAACTCCTGGGCCCCCATGCCCCGGGGCGAGAGCCGGTCATAGGCCCCACGCGCATCACGCGCGGCAGGACTGGCCTTCTCACCCCCCAGGCTCTTCAGGGGTCAGGGCTCAGGAATGTTTACAGGGTTTTTCGGGTTTAGGGTTTAGGGTTTAGGGTTTAGGGTTTAGGGGTTCAAGGCTTATGTTAGTAGATCTTATTGGTATTGGGTTCAGGGCTTTTGGGGATGCTTGGCGCCGGGGTGTGCTGTCGCACTTTCGGAGGCATGACATTTATTTATTCATTTATTTATATTTATTTATGTATATATTTATATTTATATTTATATTTGTATTTATCTATATCTAATTGTTATTGATTTATCTATTTATCTATTTATCTATTCATCTATCTATTTATCTGTTTATCTAGTTATCTATTTATCTATTTATCTATTTATCTATTTATCTATTTATCTATTTATCTATTTATCTATTTATCTATTTATCTATTTATCTATTTATCTATTTATCTATTTATCTGTTTATCTATTTATCGATTTATCTATTTATATTTATATTCATATTTATATTTATATCTCTATGTATATGTATATGTATATTCCTATTTATAATTATTGTTTTACTAATTTATTGAACTATTTGTTTGTTGATTTTTACATGTATTCTCTTTTCTATATATGTTTATGTTTATGTTTATATCTATATTTATATCTATATCTATATCTCTTTTTTATGCTTCTGTTGATTTTAATTTGTTCATACTTCGATTTTTATATACAGAGGGAGATAGTCGGATTAAGGTGCGTACCTCATTTCCTGCTTCCCCACTAAGAGCCAGTAGGGTTACCTGCCCCGTTCGAAGCCTCAGCGGGCCCAGGGAGGACGCCGAAAGCTGCGCAGCGGCAGGCACGGCCGCGGACTCCACAGTGGCGGAGGCAGCCTGGAGCGATGGCCCCTTATATGCGGTTTAGGGTTTAGGATTTAGGGTTTAGGGTTTAGGGTTTAGGGTTTAGGGTTTAGGGTTTGGGGTTTGGGGTTTGGGGTTTTTTCCGAAATTAGGGGTACTTTATTGGATGTTCCGAAATTAGGGTACCCTATTCTAAAGGGATCCGGGTCTAGATTAAGGGTCCCTGATTTTCGCAAACCCCCATACGAGGAGGCGCAAGGCTCTAGGTTTATGGGCTTCGGGCATGGGAGTTTTGTCAGGGCCCAGGGCTTTGGGGTGATGGGACTGGTTCGGCCACAGGGTCTGCTGTTGGGATGTTCTCCCTTACACGAACAGTCCTTCATAGGGGTTATAACAGGGGGTACTACAATCCCCGTTCAGGACTGTTAGCATAAGGGGAACATCCCATTTCTGCTTGTTCATTTTAGGAACAGCATGGGGCACTAAACCCTAAACCCTAAACCCTATACCCTATACCCTAAACCCTAAACCCTAAACCCTGAGGCTGATGAGTCGTTCGCATAAGAGTGAAACACTGAAACATCGGACGGCACTTGGGGGAATCCCTGCTTCAGGGCCTGCCCCTGCCCAGCATCTGCACCAAACTACGCTGAACTAAACCCTAAACCCTAAACCCTAAACCCTAAACCCTAAACCCTAAACCCTAAACCCTAAACCCTGAACCCTGAACCCTGAACCCTAAACTTGCAGCAAACCGCAAACCTCACCACGCAACACAGGCCGAGAACCCAACTCTACCCCTAAGAAAGGCCGAAACCCCACCCGTTGACCATCCTTTAACCCCAGCCCTCGCTCGACAACAAACCACATGCTCAACACGGCGCAGCCCGAAAAACAAGGGCAGCCCTACCCCCACAACACCCTGAACCCTACACCCTTTACCCTAAACCCTAAACCCTCAACCCTAAACCCTAAGCCCTTGCCGAAAAAGGCTGCGGGGCCTCCGAAGGGGGAGGTGGCACAGGCGGAGGCGGCACAGACTCCTGCAAAAGAGCACGGTGTACAGCCCCAGGACATCCCGAACAAACGGCAAGCACCTCCTCCATGAGGAGCTGTTTAGGGTTTAGGGCTTAGGGCTTAGGGCTTAGGGCTTAGGGTTTAGGGTTTAGGGTTTAGGGTTTAGGGTTTAGGGTTTAGCGTTTAGGGAGAGGTGTTCCCCTTCAACTTAAGGCAGAGTCGCCCTGTACGAAGACCCAGGAAGCCACCGGGGCCCTCCATTTTTGTCCCGTCATCGCCCAGCACCCCGAATGCCAAACGTGGCAAAAAGGCTGGAACCCCGAACCCGAAAGACCGAAAGGGCTTAATTAGGGCTTGCCCTAAACCCTGGACCCTAAAAACGCCCCAACCCCAAAATCCCTGGAAACCCTAAGAACCCCTAAAAACCCTAAAAACCCCTCAAAACCCTAAAAACCTGAAAACCCTAAAAAACCCTGAAAAACCCTAGAAACCCTAAAGACCCTAAACAGCCGAAAAAACCCTCAAACCCCAAACCGGTTCAGACGAGGGAGCCCCCAGGGTCCTACCATCCCAAAACCCAAAACGGCTGTCTGTTTAGGGTTTAGGGTTTGGGGTTTAGGGTTTCGGGTTTCGGGTTTCGGGTTTCGGGTTTAGGGTTTAGGGTTTAGGGTTTAGGGTTTAGGGTTTAGGGTTTAGGGTTTAGGGTTTAGAGTTTAGGGTTCAGGGTCGACCCTGGCCTGGCCAGCCGTCGAACTCGAGGATGGCGAGGCATGGGCTGCCTTCCCGCTCGCTTCGAGGCTCAACCGGGTTTAGGGTTTCGGGGTTCGGGTTTAGGGTCTAGGGTTTAGGGTTTTTTTTTTTTAGGGTTTAGGGTTTAGGGTCTAGGGTCTAGGGTTTAGGGTTTAGGGTTTAGGGTTTAGGGTTCAGGGTTCAGGGTTCAGGGTTCAGGGTTCAGGGTTCAGGGTTTAGGGTTTAGGGTTTAGGGTTTAGGGTTTAGGGTTTAGGGTTTAGGGTTTAGGGTTTAGGGTTTAGGGTTTAGGGTTTAGGGTTTAGGGTTTAGGGTTTAGGGTTTAGGGTTTAGGGTTTAGGGTTTAGGGTTTAGGGTTTAGGGTTTAGGGTTTAGGGTTTAGGGTTTAGGGTTTAGGGTTTAGGGTTTAGGCCGAAACCCAAAAACCCTTGAGGGATTATCATAGGGGGTACGAGAATCCCTAATAAGGCCTGTTAGTATAAGGGGGAACAGCCCAACCTTGAACCCTACACCCTAAAAGGCCTATTTTGGCTTATAGGGCTTACCTGAAAGGGCTGACTCCAGGGCTTAGGGCCTTGTGTTCAGGGTTCAGGCTCCGGATGGCGCTCAGAATCTCTACTCGCTCAATGGTATCATGATGAGTGATGGTCATTGCCACTCGGCTGCAATTTCACCCTAAACCCTGCGACGACGTAAGGGCCACCCGACACGTGCTGTCAACTCTACTACACTGGAGGAGACCGAATCCCCTCCCTAAACCCGAAACCCTAAACCCGAACAAAGCTTTCAAGAACCCCCAAGACCGAGCCAAACGCCCTGAGAGAACCGCACCTCCCCCGCCAGGGTATGCATCCTCTCCTGCGGGGCTGGACAACCCTTCATTTTGGGACGCCTGGTTCTGCGCATAGGCCGAGACTAGATCGAAGCTCAAAGTATGAAGCAAACTCAGAAAGCCAACCTCCAGAACCAGAATCCCGGACCAACTTGCAAGAACCGCGCGGTGGATGTAAGGTTCAGGAACTTGATCCCTAAACCCTAAACCCTAAACCCTAATCTCCACACGAAAGGCCTCCTCCATCTGCAGCGAGAGCACCAGAGCCCGTTCCAGATCATCCTGGCGAGCTCACCCGGCGTGGAGGAGAAGTGTGAGACTCTGAGGAAAACCAGCTACCAACACGCAGCTCACACCTGCAATGTAGCATGTAATTATATAATACATCACATATTATAATATACAATGTATAAAGTATATATATTTCTACATAATATACTAATAATACTAATAACAACAATAATAACAATAACAATAACAATAACAATAACAATAACAATAACAATAACAATAACAATAACAATAACAATAACAATAACAATAACAATAGCAATAACAAAATCAATAACAATAACAATAACAATAACAATAACAATAGCAATAACAATAACAATAACAATAACAATAACAATAATAATAATAATAATATACATATATATATATATGCTCACCCCCCCCCCCCCAATGGACCCACCGCGTGCCTTGATCTTTGCAAAAGTACCGCAAATACCGATAAAACCTATGCTGTCTGGTGATTTTCCGGTGACCGGATTTTTGACTGTATTCCTTAATTCACTCTCTCACACACACGGATGGTTTTTCTTTCTGTTGGCTTTTGTTTATAATTTAAGACTTAGGCATTTAAACCTAAGCCTGCAAAAAAACCCTTAACCTTTAAACCCTGTAGGGTTGAGGTTTCAAGGTTAAGGGTTTAAGATTTAGGCATTTGAACCTATGCCGGCAATTAAACCCTAAGCCCTTAACCTTTGAATTCTATAGGGTTAAGATTTTTACAGGTTTAGGTTTAAGATGTAGGCATTTAAACCTAAGGCTAAGGTTTAAAGGCTTAGGGTTTAAGATTTAGCCATTTAAACCTGTAGCCAAGCCCTTAACCTTTAAACCCTGTAGGGTTAAGATTTTAAAGGTTTAGGATTTAAGATTTAAGCATGTAAATCTCAGACTTCAATTAATTTTAAACCCTTAACCTTTAAACCCTGTCGGGCTAAGGTTTAAAGGTTTCGGGCAAAACCGATTCCGACAATTAACGCTAAGCCTTTAACCTTAAAACCCTATAGGGTTAAGATATTTAATGGTCTAGGGTTTAAGTTTCAGGTTTAGGTATTTAGACCTATGCCGGCAGTTCATATTGAACCCTTAACCTTAAACCCTATAGGGATAAGATTTAGAGGTTTAGGATTCTTTACTTAGACATTTAAATCTAAGCTTGCAATTAAACCGAAACCCTTAACCTTTAAAACCCTATAGGGTGAAGGTTTAAAGTTTTAGGGTTTAAGATTCAGACATTTAAACCTGAGACGGCAATTAACAATAAACCCTGAACTTTTAAACCCTATAGGGTTAAGGTTTAAAGGTTTGGGGTTTAAGATTTTGGCATTTAAACCTAAGTATGTAATTAATTTGTCACCCTTAACACCCTTAAACTTTGTAGTGTGAAGGTATAAAGGTTTAGGGTTTAAGATTTAGACATTTAAACCTAAGCCCATAGAGTTTAAACCTTAAGGGTTTAAGGTTTAGGCATCTATTCCTTAACCCTAAACCCTCTAGGGTCAGGACCCTAAAGCCCTCGGCAATCAAGCCTAAACCCTTGACCTTCAAACCCCATAGGATGAAGGTTTGAAGGTTTGGGGTTTAAGACTTAGGCATTTAAACCTAGAGGGCATTTAAGCCTTAACCCTAAACCCTTCAGGGTCAGAACCTTAGCACCCTATAGGGATCTAGCACCTGCAGGTATACATCGGTTTTTAAACCATTACACCCTGTAAGAAGGTTTAGGGTCTTTTCGGTGTCTATCTCTAAATTTCTCACGGGGTTAACCCTGCAGGGTTTAAAGTTAAAGGTTTAGGGTTAAAGGTTAAGGCAATACCTATAGGATTAGAACCTTATAACCCTATAGTGCATGAGGCTTAAACCCCTAAAACTTAACCATCTTTTTCTCGAGAAAACCAAAAAAACCAAAAAGCCAAAAAAAACAAAAAAAACAAAAAAACCAAAAAAAACCATCTTTTCCAAAACTATGGGGCTGGGGCCTCCAAAAGATGGTTTTTTTGGTTTTCTCGAGAAAAAGATGGTTTTTTTGGTTCGAAACCATCTTTTTCTCGAGAAAAAGATGGTTTTTGGAGGTCTTCTCCTGGTAAAACCATCTTTTTCACCAGGAGAAGACCTCCAAAAACCATCTTTTTCTCGAGAAAAAGATGGTTCCGAACCAAAAAAACCATCTTTTCCTCGAGAAAACCCAAAAAAAGATCTTTTGGAGGCCCCAGCCCATAGTTTTGGAAAAGATGGTCTTTTTTGGTGTTTTTTTGTTTTTTGGGTTTTTTGGTTTTTTGGTTTTTGTTAGTTTCTTGTTTTGTTGTTTTTTCCCTTGATCTGGCTAGGACTCGGCTGCCACCCGCGGTGGGTCCATTGGGGGGTGAGCATATATATGTATATACATATGTATATATATATATATATATGTTTATCTATTTTGTTTTTTCTTCATTTATCTATTATTATTATTATTATAAGCCAAATGTCCTATTTCCCCCCATTCCTCCGAGGAGCCTCCTCCTTTTGTCGCTGCCGCAACAGCTCGTCGTCTTCCTTCTGAGACTCGTCAAGGGCCTGCCAGAGGGTTCAGGGTTTAGGGTTCAGGGTTCAGGGCTTAGGCTCCTACAACGCCTTTTGGGGCAAAAGGTCTCTCACCTTGGAGGTTGAGTTGGCCGAGCTAGAGACGGCTCAGGCAGGGCTTCGGACCCTCGGGGATTGATATGAACTGCTGGCTGCGACTGTCGACTCACCTGTCGCGCATGAAGTGAACGGGCCAGCCTGGAAGAGTTGATCCTACAGCTTCGGAGCAGGAAACTTGGGGCCTGCGTGTGGTTCGCGGCGACATGAGAATCCAAAACTTTGGCTTTCTCATGCTGAAGTCAAAACACATCGAAGTGATGCGTGAGAGGGATGCATACTAGAAGTATCAGCAAAGTTGTCCGTTCCCTTTCGTTCACAGAGCAGCAAAGCGGCTGAGCCATGATGACCTGGTATCTGAGGCGGGTCCTCATACAGCTTCCACTCATCGGCAACGAGCGAAGCTTCCACCGTCATTTTTCCGAGGTCACCGAGCACCTCCTCCACGGAATGCTGACCAGTGGACTACAAGCTCCGGTGGCCCAAAAGGCCGGAAAACTCCGCGGGCTCCCTTGACCCTAAACCCTAAACCCTAAACCCTAAACCCTAAACTCTAAACCCTAAACCCTAAACCCTAAACCCTAAAGCCTCATGTTCGGGGAGTCCCCTACCTTCATGTCTCCCAGGAGGGCAGACCAAGGCTCTGCTTAAGAGTTCAAGGTCAAGTTCCGAATCGTAACAGCAACACCACTACGAAAAACGATCCAATGTGGCGCTAGTAATAAGAACAATAGTAACACATACCTCAAAAGAGTGGCAACAGTACTGCTCAAGGCTTTCGTGGACGAGGATTTACAGGGTGGGGACCAAAGTAGTCAACTTGGTCCTCCTCGTCATCGACCACGGTCGTCTCCTGGAAATCCTCCTCGCTGAGTGCCACGAGGCTTACTGTGGGCTCCACTGCGTGGGCTCCTACTTCTGCTATAACGGCAGGATACTGGCCAGCCCTGTAGGGGTTCAGGGATTCAGGGTACTGGGTTAGATTGCATCCTCCGACGCACAGACTCCTCGTCGAGCTGGCCAGCGTCCACGCGTCTTTGGGCCTGTAGAGACTGCTGAGCATTGGTTCCTACCAACCCAGTGGTGCCTGAAGAGGGTGAAAGCTTAACGTGAAGCGTAGGGAAAGGCCGGATGATCTGGACAACTCAGAACGCGCAACCTGAGCAGATCCTAGACCAGCCATGCTTTCGGCTACGGTCCATAGTTCTTGCTTATCTGCGTCTTGGGAGGCGAATCAGGACTGCTGGGTTCATCCTCGTGCTCGGAGGCTCTCCGAGACTAGCTGTTGCCACATGGGTTTACGATATTAGGGGTACCTTACCAGGGGTCCTTATTCTCAGGGATCCTACTATTTGGGGGGTCTATACTAGGGGTCCCTTACTGTCCCTTGCTATCGTAAGCCCCCACATCTCACTGTCAAACCTTATGACAGAAAAGCGGAGCTCAAGAGGAATCAAAATTATCAAGCCCTGGCTGCATCGCTCACGCCTCTCGGTACAAATCACCATTCCGCTTCGTCATCATGGCCTTGCAGGCAGGAGAGCAGGGTTTAGGGTTTAGGGTTTAGGGTTTAGGGTTAAGAGAGTTAAGAGAGTTAAGAGGGTTTGCATGAGACTCGGTTGGAGTCTAGGCAGACGACCAAACTCTGAATGTGCGTGCTGCGTGCGCTCTGTGCTCTACGTCCGCTCTGTGCTCTACGTCCCCATCCGCCCGTTCGATTGGGAGGCTCAGACCCAGGAGCCCCCTATGCAAGGAAGGAGTCACCCAGCACACTTCCGACAAGGGGAGGTCTGAGGATCCTATCGGGTTTTTCCGGCCGACGGCCTTGAAGATCAGGAAGTCATCAACGGCCAAGAGCTGCTCCACCAGGACCCGGTGCAGTGTCGAACTCAGGTCTCTCTTCTGTCGAAATGCAGGGGCTTTTTTGTTTAGGGTTTGGGGTTTGGGTTTGGGGTTTAAGGTTTAGGGTTAAGGTATAGGGTGGAAGAGCATTTCTCGACTCCCTGGCTGCGCGCGGATTTGCCGAGCGGCTTCGTGGAAAGCCCGCTCTGGCAGAACTGCTCGAACCTGTGAAGAGAGGCATGGGACGAATGCAGTCATGACTTAAAGCAAAATGAAGCAAACACAAATCCTGGGTGCCCAGGGGAATTCGATGTTCAGGGATGTGTCACGGCAATGCCCGCGCATGCCGCTGAGAATGCTTCTCGCACAATAGGTAGCAGAACATCTCCGTAAGATGCTATTCCAGGCACAAGACGCAATGTGCATGCATTTCTAGAGCATCGAGTTCTTGCAGAAATCAAACAATCCATGGGGTTGGGGCGTAACATTGTCCCCGCGATGGACGCGAATGACACCCGAGAGCATCTGCTTACCATATGCTTCAGCGGGCTTCGCATCAGACCCCCCAAAACTGATTCTGACATCTCAATTCCCTCAAACACCACACATGCCCCTGCCCTCTCCCCCTGCATCTCTCGCCCACTAAACACCCTTGAGCTCGCGGGCTGCTCATTGGTCACGTCCAACTCCAGTAGGTGCGCCGCCAGCAGATTATCTCAGAGATTCGCAGACTCAAGACTTACTGTTGGTTAGCAGGGAATGAGGGAATTAGGGCCCTATATATACCCTTTAAGGGATTATATAGGGTACCTCATTCCCTACTACCCAACAGTAAGAAGGCTCACTGTGCTGAGCTCAGCCCTGGCCACGGCTAGGAGGACTCTCACTTCAGACTTTCACAGAGGACTTCTGGCTCGGAAGGGTTAGGCTTCGGGAACCGAACAAAGAAAAGACCCGAACTATGGCGCCATTGCTATGATCCTTTAAGCAGTTAAGGTCCAGCACCACAAGCCATGCCTTACTGCGGCTGCTGCCAGACATGGGCAGAGGGTCCGGCCGATGAGCTGACGAAACTCGTTGTGGCATTCCGTGTACTCCAGCTTGTTCTCCTCCTGCGCTCACTCTTCACGAAGGCTGTCATCGTTCCAGGATGCTCAAAACACCCCCTTGTCCGGAGCAACGAACCTGCACAGCTGGCAGTGGAAAGCTCCGGCCTCATCCTCAAAGATGATGCACTGCTCGTCCACGAACTGTGCAATGGGCGCCACCCAGGAAGGAGATCTGCCAGGGGAACGGACTTCAGGTTGTAGGGCTGGGCAGTGCCAATCAAATCAGTCCATTGAGGGGTGCTTCAGATGCACAGGAGCCATGTTACAAGCGACACACTGGCCACAAGCACAGGCTTCACTTGCCAGCTTTTTGTCTGCGGGGGCGAGCATGAAAATTGTCAGGTTGGTGCACATTCAACTCTGTTAGACCCAAAGTTGCCGACATCCCTCTCAGCCTCTACAGTGTCAGCAAAGCGCCGGCGCGGCTTCGTTTGAAGACGCCCGACATGGCCGAAAATTTGCCGAAGGCAGAAAATTGAATTGGTGACGAGGGTGCGGCACATCAGTGCCGGCTAAACTCAACACTGGGCATCAAACTCTCCACGGGTCTGTACAAAGGCCACAGGATGGCGCAGCTACGAAAAGCATCGGAATGTCCAGGAGTTGGCTCGGGAATCTGCTTCGTGGCCTTATAAGGGAGTTTCTGAAACTAGGGGTACCTTATTCGGGTCCTTATTACAAGGGGATCCTACTATTAGGGATCTATTTTGGGGTCCCCTATTTTCGTAAACCCCCAGGGCTTGTAGGCTTTAGGGTGCTTGTAGGCTTAGTAGCCCAGTAACCATATTATAATAAGGGCACCCTTTTTTGGCTGGCTTATAAGGGAACCCAGAACCCAAAAAAAGGGTAAAGGGTACCACTGGGCTACCAAGTAGGGCTCAGGGAATTTAGGGTTTAGGGTTTGGGGTTTAGGGTTTAGGGTTTGGGGTTTAGGGTTTAGGGTTTAGGGTTTTGGGGTTTAGGGTCTAGGGTTTAGGGTTTCGGGTTTAGGGTTTAGGGTTCGGAGCCGTGCTCTCATGCTTGCGCTGCCGAGTCGGCAGAGGCCACGTCCTCCCGATGGAGAAAGCATCGGACAGCAGCACATGGAAAGAAACGTTGAAGGGTTTAGGGTTTAGGGTTTGGGGTTTGGGGTTTAGGGTTTAGGGTTTTGGGGTTTAGGGTCTAGGGTTTAGGGTTTCGGGTTTAGGGTTTAGGGTTCGGAGCCGTGCTCTCATGCTTGCGCTGCCGAGTCGGCAGAGGCCACGTCCTCCCGATGGAGAAAGCATCGGACAGCAGCACATGGAAAGAAACGTTGAAGGGTTTAGGGTTTAGGGTTTGGGGTTTGGGGTTTAGGGTTTAGGGTTTTGGGGTTTAGGGTCTAGGGTTTAGGGTTTCGGGTTTAGGGTTTAGGGTTTAGGGTTTGGGGGGGGGGGGGGGGGGTGTTGCAGCAAATTGCCAGAGAGGCCTGAAAGCTTAGCACGCCTCAAGCCCAGACGCTTGACGAAAACAGCCGCCACCCAATGCCCTTTCTCCTGGCCGAAATTGGCGATGCGGTCGTCGGACATCATGTTCCTCGTTCGTGCATGTGTGGGTGACCCTTCAGATGCAGACACAACCTACAGCAGCTCTCAAGATATGCACCCGAGGTTCAAGTCAGGAGCGAGAAGCTTCGTGTAGCGGTCGAAGTACAAGGACTGGCGTCGGCCATGCGCGTGTCATGTACCAAGCCAAGTGATTGAAGAATGCAAGTGCAGCGAAGCTAAGGGCACATAAGAGTTCGTCTTTCAGCCGTGGCAGTTTCAACAAGAGACTCGACAGCTAGCACCTCGGTGTCCCTGTTGCAGCGGGAATAAAGGTTGACTGAGGCGGCTTCTCCTGCTTCCGCCGTTTCCGCGCCTGCTTGATAAGGAGGCCAAACTCCCTGGGCAGCTTGAGGCCGTTGTTTCCGGCCACCTGCAGAGGGTCAGCTTGTGCAAAAACCTGGTTCTCGCACATCTAGTCTTTTGGAGTCGCTGCTACGAGGTGTAGATGTGGCGCGACTACATGAAGTCGACGTGAGGTCAGCACTTAGCACGCATGATGACACTGCGAGGATGAGCGCAACACCAACGCATTGGTGGCCTGGGCAATGTCAAGGACAACATCCTCCGGAAGCAGGAAGTTTGCAGAGTGGTATCCAGAAAATGGCACTATGTTACTATGTGCCCGACGGAAATTATGAAGAAGGTGACACAAATATTCCTGACTGTGAACTGGGCAGGCAAGCATCCCTTGACATCCCTAAATTTTTGTTGGGCTACCATTAAGACATGATTGTGTTTGTTCCTTATTGGGTTTAAGTACTCATAAATGTAGAATGATCTTCAACAATGACCCAGAAAAAGGGGTCCCCCCTTAAGAACCACGCAGCTCAATGGTGGGTTCCTTGGGCTCCTTTGGGAATCCTCCGGGTTTTCACCACTATTTCCCGCTCGAGGTCTAGCAGAACTCCTTCATACTTCTTCAATGACCCTAAAACCCCAAAAACCCGCCAACTTCTGAAGCGTTCCACTGAATGACCTCCTCGGGGTAAGTCGTTGGCCTCTCTTGGCTCGGCTTTACGACTTATCTTGCTGGTTCTTAGTGTGGAATTCGGACAAGGTACCTCCTTCAAAACCCTTTAAGGGAGGATCCTTCTTACCTACGAACAAAACCAACCAGATAACGGATTCAGAGCAAGCCCCACGACCCCGAGTCAGAACAAAAGCGTCTCCCGAAAAACGCATCCTGGATCTTGGACTCATCCACCGCCATGTCAGTGGTGTTGTCCAGAGTGCTCCCTGAGCTTCTATCTATCCGCGTGGGTTGGGCCCAAGGGCGCGGAATTGCGTAGAAAACCCCCTTTACCTTGACGGCCTCAAGCCTCGCAATGGGTTCTTTCAAGCAGCTGCACGCATCGAGGCCCCAGCCCAGTGAGGAGATGAGGTTCTCGATGTCTGCTGCAAAGGCTTCTTCGTCAACCTGTGCGTCGCTGTCGGTGAGTGTACGGCGCTGCTACACAGCCAGGCGCAAACGTCGCTCACAGGTTCTTCTTCTTCTTCTTCTTCTTCTTCTTCTTCTTCTTCTTCTTCTTCTTCTTCTTCTTCTTCTTCTTCTTCTTCTTCTTCTTCTTCTTCTTCTTCTTCTTCTTCTTCTTCTTCTTCCCGAAAGCATGTGGACCAGCGAGGTTCTGTTCCGCAGAACATCTGTATTTGTATGCGACCTTGATGGTTTACTGGTGCAGGGGAACAGCGGCGTTTGCGCACGCCATCTCGCCTACAGGCCTACTGAGGTCCCAGGCTGGCTGACCTTGCGGAATCCAAGAAGTTGAAAGATGTGCGCGTCGCGCACGTTAGCCTAGCCGCAAGATGCTCTCAAACCTTTGGTCTTAGCGAGAAGTTGGGATCCTCAAAAGCTTCGGGGCGTCGATGGGAAAGCGAGGGTTCGCCGCGCTCTCGCGCACATCCCATGCTCGTCATGGCGCACGTTCACGGTCTCCACGCCGATCGCAACGTACATTTGGCGGAACTGCCGATGCTTAAGCCGAGCACTTTCCCAGTGCGTTTGGGACAACTTCTCCATGGCAGCAGCTAAAAAAGGGCTGGGTGCGGCAGCCTTGACAATGTCGGTGACTCACAAGTATCCACACTGTCAGTTCACTGACACTCGCAACAAATAGATCCCAGGAGATTTCGCGGCCTCACCAACTGTTGCTCCCATGGAAATCAGGGCATTTGCCTCGGAAGCGAGGGAGTCCAGTAAGCATTGCGGGCTCGCCCCTGAAACTTGAAGCCTGAAACTTGAAGCCTAATCCCAAAGCCAGAAGCTTGCTGTACGCCAATTGGACAATGCTACTCGGCCTATATCATCTTCCAGTTCGGTTTGGGGTTTAGAGGGTGCGACATACCAGCCAAGCACTCAACCACTCAGAAACTATACACTGTACACATGTGAGCTCGGCAACCTGAAGACCACGCACCACAAATTCCAGAAAGCTTGCATGTGTCGAAGCCCCTTGAACGCCTGCAAAGGCCTAGTTCGTCATCTCTGGCCTCACACTCTAAACCCATCCCTGTGCCCTGCACAGCAACCACAGGCGCCCCGCCATTCCCCTGGCGTCACTGGCCTCGGCGGTACACTTCCCTGACCAGTCCTTTCTTCATGGGTCTTGGGGTCTGGGGTTCAGTTTAGAGCCTATAGGGTTTAGGCCCAATTTTTTGGGAGGATCTCGAAAGAGCCTAGAAAGAAGATCCCCCTTTGAATCCTAAGAATTTGACATATGTACCAAAGTGGAGAGCCCTACTTTCGAGATCCTCCCACGAGGCCCTGAGGTAACCGGCGGCCAGCGCGGTGTTCAGCTTGTCGATGCCCGTCGCCATCTGTGGCGAGAGCCGCCCTGCGGGATATTTGGGGCTTGGGGCTGTTCTTGGGGGTTTTCGAAATTAGGGTACCTTTTTGGGATCCGTATTGTAAGGGGATCCTACTATTTGGGGTACTATACTAGGGGGCCCTTATTTTCGTAAACCCCATGCAGGAAGTTTTCAGAGATGACGAGAGGGCGTTGGGGTTCAGGTTAGGCCCTCTTGTACATGGCACACCGAGCTCAGTGCCAACGATGCCGAAGTCGATGAAGCCGATCCGGCCGTCCTCGCAAACATGCCCATTCTATGGTGACGGGAGTTACGGGTTTGGGGTGCAGGGTTTAGGACTTTGGTTTAGGGTTTTGGGTTTTGGGTTTTGGGTTTTGGGTTTTGGGTTTTGGGGGTAAGCTGCGTCATGCGGTGCCTGATTCTGTACCGCCACTGCAAGAGCAGCAGCTGCCAGAAGAATGCAAACACTCCCAAAGTCCGAAACTACCTGCTACCACGCCCATGATCGAGGGCTTTCGGGGGCAGCCATGGAGGGCTTCGGGGCCTCGAGTACCAGGAGGTTCCCTGCATGGACGTCGGCATGGAAGAACTCGCACTTCTGCACGGAGAGAGCCCAGACCTCGGGGGACTTTTTTCTAGAGGTCCCTAAACCCTAAACCCCAAACCCTAATCCCACACCCTCAACACAAACCCTTAACGCCCTGAGAGAGGGGCCCCTTGGGCCCCCAAGGCCCAAGTACAAACAGGAAAGGCTGGGGTGCCCCCACATTCAGCGCGTTGACCAGCGTCGCTTCCGGATCCGGGGTGTACTTCCTTGGCTGAAACGAGCAAGGGGCAAACTCCATGCCCTCAAAGCCGAATCCCTGAAACCCTAAACCCTCATGAAAGCATAAATGATTTCTGGGCCCCCCCTAGGCCCCGAAACCCCGCCCCCGGAGCCCAAACCCAAGGCCCCGAAACCACCTAACCCACATCTCGGCAGCTCCCCAAGCCCCCAAATGAACCCATATCCTGCAACCCTAAACCCTAAACCCTAAACCCCAAACCCTAAACCCTAAACCCCAAACAATAAACCCTAAACCCTAAACCCTAAACCCTAAACCCTAACCCCTAAACCCCAACCCCCCTAAGCAATCAGTCCTATTAGGCCAAAAGACAACACACCCCGGGCTCCTGGCTTGATGCCCTCCAAGTCCACCAAAGGGACGCCCGCAAGGCGCTCCATGGTCAGCACGCGCCTGGACCTCGGGGAGTGTTTTTACCCTTTTGGGTGTAGGGGTTTAGGGTTTAGGGTTTAGGGTTCAGGGTTTAGGGTTTAGGGTTTAGGGTTTCGGGTTTAGGGTTTAGGGTTTAGGGTTTAGGGTTTAGGGTTTAGGGTTTAGGGTTTAGGGTTTAGGGGTTTAGGGACAAGGTTTAGGGTTTAGGGTTTGGGGTTTGGGGTTTGGGGTTTGGGGTTTGGGGGTTTCGGGTTTAGGGTTTAGGGTTTTAGAGCGTTAGGGTTAGGGGTTTAGGGTTTTCGGGTTTGGGATTTGGGGTTTGGGGGTAAGGGTTAGGGCTTTGGGTTTTTGTTTAGGGTTTGGGGTTAAGGTCTGCGAGCTGTGAAGCCCTCATGGCTTCAGTTTTTGGGTTGAGGGCTTATAGGGCTTGTAGCAGTGTTAGACGGACATTTAGGGCATGCTACAGGAAACACTTCTTCTTCTCCCCTGCACATCGCAGCTGGGGGCGATCACAATGGTGTGCTTCATTGGAGTGCACAAAGTTTGGGATTTGTTCTCAGTCGGCGCGGTGTGCTCCATAAAACGCTCCCGGCAGAACTCCCCAAAGCCTCAAGATCCTAAAGACCCCCAAACCTTCCTTGGGCGCAGGCGAGGCTTCCGGATGAGGCTTCGGCGCGACCTCCGTTCTGCACGATTAGGCAGACAGAGAGGGGGCTGCCAGGAACCCAAGACACACCAAGGCTTTAGGGGCGGGCCTTTGGGGTTTTTTTGTTCGCTGTCAGGTCGAAGCTCATGGCCCGATGAGGGTACTGAGGTTCTGGGAGGTTCCGATGCTCCACAGCCCGAAAGCAGGCACCCGAGCTTCCCACGGCGATGGCCGTCAAGCCGTTCTCCTGCAGGAAGTCGCGGTACACGTCCAGGTTCTTCTGCTCCTCTTGGCCACGGATTGTGCAGGGCCACATGCACATGTTGAACAACTGGAACAACTGGAACTACACAAGCTGGATACAAAAAGCGCGCATGTTCGTGCCATGGCCCCTCTTCGTGAGTGCTGCAAGGCAAACAGGCCGCAGCGCCCTGGCTGAAGCTCTCAATCTTCACCTGCGCTCCTCCCGAAAATCGAGCTCCCCGAGCATTGACTGCCGCAGGTCGGAGGCAATGTCCTGTTCGGGGCCGAAGCTCTTGAAGCTGTTCTCTCTGAAACCTAAAAACCTGGCGCAGGAGAAGAAGGCAAGCCCGAAAAATCAGCTGCCAAAGGTCATCTTGGAAAAAAAGAAACTGAAACTCGCTTGCAGCCAAGCTGCCGCCAATGATCCGCGGATGTTAAGGTCCGGATTGATGAACCTCAGCAGGCATGAAACGAAAAGTCTTGTAACCAGATACGAGGGCGCCATTGCGGAGCAACGTTGCGCTGTCAAGGCATTTATGAAACAAGACTTGCCAGAGAAGATGCAGCTGCAGGTGAGCCTCCGACTCTAAAATACGTGCCGCCAAGTAGACAACGCCTAGGTCAGGCAAAGAGGACGGCGTTCACTGCAGACTGATCACAGTCCTATAATCCCTTGAAGGGTATATATAGCTAACCAACAGCAAGTAAACTCCCCCATAACACCCCAAGTACCTCTCAATGAAAGCATCAGGGTACCTTCCTTGCCTGGGGGTATCCTGGGCAGGATATGCATCAGACAGGGTTGCATAGGGATTTACTAAACACTACAGACTTATTCTGACATCAACCCTAGTTGGGGGGGGAGGCCCTGAACCCTACTTAAACTCCAAAACTCCCTGGACGCCCGAAACTCCAAACCCTAAACCCTGCACCCTAACCCTAAACCCATAACCCTAAAACCCCAAACCCCTAAACCCCTAAACCCTGGACCCTAAACCCCTAAACCCCTAAACCCCTAAACCCTAAACCCTAGACCCTCAACCCTAAACCCTAAACCCTGAATCCTTGATACTCTGCGCCCCCGCGCCAAGGTCTGTCTTGAGCACCTCCTCGATACCCGGCTTCTGGACCTGCGACTCGCAGGTTCGTTTAGGGTTTAGGGTTTAGGGTTTAGGGTTTAGGGTTCAGGGTTCAGGGTTTAGGGTTTAGGGTTTAGGGTTTAGAGTTTAGGGTTAGGGTTAGGGTTTAGGGCTTAGCGCTTCAGCATCTCAAGTCAAAGCATTCACTAGTCCAGCAGCTTGTCGCAGGCAATGGGGACATACGCAGTAGGGTTCAGGGTTCAGGGTTTGGGCTTTGGGTGCTGAGGCTAAAGCACCTTCCAAACCGACCCTGCAAGAACGTTGACAAACTCTTAAAGCTCGCAGGATCGCCTAGCATAGAATTCCTATCATAGAGCTGGGGGTAGTGGATTTCCATAACGGGCTTTTGCATGTGACCAATTCCGACGCCCTTCTCGCAGGCACGCATGCAATAGTTGAGTGTGAGCGTACCCTACTAGCCCAAACCTTAAACCGAACGTCAATGAGGCAGTGAAATCAACCGAGCTTGAGCTGGAGTTCCCAGAGAATTGCGCGTTTCAAGAAGCTCGAAGACTGAGGCCTCTTGGCATCCCAATGCCTCAGGCCCCAAACTCCAAGCCTCACAATCCTCAGCTCGAAGCCTGACATAGGGGCCTTAATAATGAAAAGAGGGTCTTAAGAATCTGATAGTATAACTACAAAGGGAACCCTAAGGGAATACTACTAGTAACTACTCCGACCCCCTATACTCTTCCCCCAAACACCGCGGCCTTGACCACCACCTCGCTACCATCTCGGAGCCGCCCCGTGTGGACCTGCGCGATCGATGCCGAAGCCTGGCGCCAGCGGGGGCGGCTTTGCGGGGAAGGGGCTTCTGACTCCTCAGAGGTTGTTCAGAGCCCTACCTTACAAGACTGCAACACCGTAAACATGCCCGAACCCGAGAACCCAAACCCTAAACCCCTCAACCTCAATACCCCAAAACCCCATGAACCCCAAAACCCCTAAACCTCAATACTAAACCCCTAATCCTCAATACCCCTAGAACCCTAAACCCTGCACCCTAACCCTAAACCCTAATCCTCAATACCCCAAAACCCCAAAACCCCATGAACCCCAAAACCCCTAAACCTCAATACTAAACCCCTAATCCTCAATACCCCTAGAACCCTAAACCCTGCACCCTAACCCTAAACCCTAAACCCTAAACCCGAAACCCTAAACCCTGAACCCTAAACCCTAAACCCTAAACCTCAATACTCAACCCCTAAACCCTAAACCCCCTAGAACCCTAAACCCGAAACCCTAAACCCTAAACCCTAAGCCCTGAACCCTAAACCCTAAACCCTAACCCTAAACCCTAATCCTCAATACCCCAAAACCCAAACACCTGCCGGCGAGGCCAGGGGCGTCGGGTCCACGTAGGCAAAGACGTCTCGCAGCGGCCGTCCAAGCCTCCGTGGCTTGAGGGTTTAGGGTTTAGGGAATAGGGTGTAGGGTTTAGGGTTCTGGGTTTTGGGTTGGGGCTTAGGGGGTCCTACGGCTGGGGTTTGAGGGAGTTTTAACCCTCAACCCTCAACCCTGAAGGGTTTAGGGTTTTGGGGCACCTTGGCTTCTCCTTTGCGCCCGCTCAGCTCGGGACTCCCGCTCAATGATGCGCTTGACCTGTGTGTTGGCAGCTTGGGCAGGGGTTATTAACATTAATGTTACGACCATGTGTCTTATCAGAATACTGTTATCATACTATCAGAATATTACTGTTGCTATACTACTAGTACTGTTACAAAATATTGGTAGCATTGCCCATTCTTGCTACTACTGCTATTACCTATAAATTCCTGTTTCTACCATAGCTAGTATTGTTAACTGTGATTACGAATACTACAAGAATGACCTGTTACTATTATGATTATTGTTTGTACTACGATTATTATGTTTTTCTTCTGATTATGTAAGGCTTCGGGCTTGCGTCTTTACAGTTGGCTTTAGGCTCAAGACTTGTGAAGATGAAGCTTCCGCAAGCACCCACAGCAGTCACCCAGGCTTGCGACCCGCGACTAACCCCCAACGCCCTAAACCCCCCAATCCTAACCTCCCAACACCCGAAGCCCTAGAAGTCCCGTATACCTCCCCTCCGAAAGCATTTCGCCTCCACGAAGCTGACGGTGCTCGTCGAGTCCAGGCCTTAAGCCGCCACGGCCAAAGGCGCTGACAGGGGTTTCTGGATCGAGTTGCTTGGGGCATTGGGGAGAGAGGCAAGGGGCTTCAGGTTTTAGGGTTTAGGGTTGAGGGCTTAGAACAGGTTGCGGGTTTGAGGGCTTGAGATAAGTTCCAATGATGGCCCTCCGACATATGTGTTGAGGGGGGGAAAGTAATCCTCAAAACCTGCAAGCCTTTCAGAGGCCCTTAGACCCTTGAACCCTAAACCCGAAAACCCCGCCCCCAAAAATGGTAAAATCCCGGGGTTCGCGGCAGCTCTGGAACTCCTTGACGTAGGGGGCCGGGAAGACAGTCGGCGAGGAGGCAATAAACTGCCCCAGCCTGATCATGGAATGGGAGCTTAGGCAGGAGTAGTAGGAGTAGTAGTCGTCGTAGTCGTAGTCGTAGTCGTAGTCGTCGTCGTCGTCGTCGTCGTCGTCGTCGTCGTCGTCGTCGTCGTCGTCGTCGTCGTCGTCGTCGTCGTCGTCGTCGTCGTCGTCGTCGCCGTCGTCGTCGTCGTCGTCGTCGTCGTCGTCGTCGTCGTCGTCGTCGTCGTCGTCGTCGTCGTCGTCGTCGTGGCCGTCGTCGTCGTCGTCGTCGTCGTCGTCGTCGTCGTCGTCGTCGTCGTCGTCGTCGTCGTCGTCGTCGTCGTGGCCGTCGTCGTCGTCGTCGTCGTCGTCGTCGTCGTCGTCGTCGTCGTCGTCGTCGTCGTCGTCGTCGTCGTCGTCGTGGTCGTGGTCGTCGTCGTCGTCGTCGTCGTCGTCGTCGTCGTCGTCGTCGTCGTCGTCGTCGTCGTCGTCGTCGTCGTCGTCGGCGTCGTCGTCGTCGGCGTCGTCGTCGTCGTCGTAACAGTCGTGGTCGTAAGAGTCGTGGTCGTAGTAGTCGTAGTCGTAATAGTCGTAGTAGTCGTAGTAGTCGTAGTAGTCGTAGTCGTAGTAGTCGTAGTAGTCGTAGTAGTCGTAGTCGTAGTAGTCGTAGTAGTCGTAGTAGTCGCAGTAAACGTGGTAGTCGTAGCCGTCGTAGTAGTCGTTGTCGTAGAGGTAATCCATACTCTTATTCTTAGTGGTAGTAATACGTGGAGAGATCGGCAGTAGCGATTCTGGTGATCAGGTCACTGTCAGGGCGATCTGCAAAACTATGTTCCATACCCTCTGGACAACTCGCCTTCAACCGTTTCCGAAAGCGAGCCAGGCCGACTTGACGTAGGTCGAACCCAGCCGCTCGAAGAGCTTCCTCAAGACCTGCGCTACCTGAGGTGTAACAGGGCTCTGGATGCAGACGGTGCCGTAGACCTTCAGGGACTCTGAACCTCAACTCCTTGTTCTGAAATCGGATCAGGTTCGGGATCTTTGTCTAGGCAGCAGCGCCTAGAGGCATCGCTGGTGGATTACAAGCTAAAGTGTTCCCTCATCGCTGGTGGATTACAAGTTAAAGCGTTCCTTCTTCAGCAATACCGCGGGAAGGCCGTAAAGCCCAAACATCTAAGAACAGAGATCTTAAGTGCCAAGCGAACGCTTCGTCCAATTCCGCAGGTGGCTTTCGTGCGACCTCGCCCCCCGCCACTCAGGTTGCGCTTGCTCGGACTGTGTGCGGGTAGCTTCAATGAACCGCTCTTGGAGGGTCTTGACTGCCAGCCCTGGCGCACTCGCTTGGCTGGCTATGACCTAGACCGGGCTTTGTAAAGAAAGCACTGGAGGTTCCCACTCTGAAAACCTTCTACATAGAAAGGGTTGATCTGGGGTTCTAGGGTTTCGGGGGTCAAATGCACTAAAACCTTGGCCCAAAAATCCCTGATGTGCCTTAATTGGGTGAGACCGGCCTCAGCAGCGGTGGCTGCAGCAGCCTGTGCGGCCTCCAGGAAGCAAACGATTTGTTGGTCTTAGGGACATCAGGCTTTGGGAATTATTAAGCTCCCAGGATTTCGGGTTTCGATCCCATTTTGGCTCGGAATCCGGCAGGGCTGCAAGGGTGTGGAGGCCCTGGGCCCCATTCCGGTTGAGGAAAGCCAAGGGTGCTCAAACAGGAGGCGTTGACTTGTGGGCCGCTCCGGTCTGCTCCAGAAGAAGAATGCCAAATACTGACAAACTCTTGAGAAGAATGTCGATGTCAACAAGGCACGACCACGCGATAACCTTCCAAGACGAAGATTCAGCACTTTGCCTGTCACGACCTTGAGAGGGGGAGGGGAGGGGGGGGGCTAACTAAATATGCGGTATAGGCTATAGGACCGAACTCGGGTATAAGGTTTGGGTGCCTAAATCCCTAAACCCCTCAACCCCTAAAACCCCCAAAACCCCCCAAAACCCCAAATCCCCCAAAACCCCTAAACCTGAACAAAACCCTCAAACCTGAAGCAATCGGGTGGGGGGGGGGGTGCACCTGTAGTCCTCTCCGCAGGCCCATCTCCATGCCAGTGGAAGCAGCAACTTCGCCGACCTTTTCAAGAGCTTTAGGGCTTCTGGGGCTCTGGGGGCTTTTTAGGGCGTTTAGGGTTTCAGGGCTTTAGGGCTTTATAGGGCTTTACGGTTTCAGGGCTTTTGGGGCTTTTGGGGCTTTGAGGGCTTTTAGGGCTTTGGGGTTGTTAGGGCTCTAGGACTTTAGGGTTTGGGCTTTTAGGGTGTTAGGTTTTAGGGTTGAGGGCTTTGGGCTTAGAGTTCCACTCTCAACACCAAAACCGGGGGAAAATGCCCTTTGAAACCCCTGAAAAGTCTTCCGAAGTAAGATCCTCTGCAACCAGAGAAACACACGTAGCAACTTCAAGGGCCGAAACCCGAAACCCTTTTGCCTCCTGCAGCAGCTTGAGCGCATCTTCCGCCAGCACCTGCCAGCAGCTCCATCGCCCCCTAAACACCCAGAACCAAACTGTACAGCCCTATTCTGGTGACTTCAGGTCCCTTAACAAGAACCTGGCATTTTTTTAGCAACCCGCCCCTGAAGCTTCAGTAGAGCCATCGAACCCTAAACCCTAAACCCTAAACCCAAAACCTGTGAATAGGTGCTTCACGACAATGTCGAGGGGCTGAAGGTGTAGGACCGTACAAGGAGGGACCCCCTAGTGAGAAGTGGAGTTATAAGGACCCTACATCAGAAAATAAGGCTCCCAACTTACCCTGAGTATCGTACGGGGCGGGCCCTTCTTGTAACGGTTTAGGGTTCTGGGTTTAGGGTTTAGGGTTCAGGGTTTAGGGTTTAGGGTTTAGGGTTTAGGGTTTAGGGTTTAGGGCGTGCCAAACGGAAGCGCGCTTTGGGAGCTCGCAGTAGCCTGCAGACCTACCCACCCCAAGACCGCCTTTTACAACTCTCAAGGAGTTAAGACCTTTTATTTTTTCACAAAGCATCACATGAATCAGCACGCACGCCCTTTTGGGGACCTCCACAAGGTGCGTGGACCAGGCACAAAGCTGCAGCAGACGGAAAGGCGAGGCAGGGTCAGCGAAGACAGCTTGGGTTGGCGCGAAGAGGCTATGGCCAGGGATGGGCCAGGAACAGACAAAGGCAGCAAGGCTTGGTTGGCGCGAAGGGGCTAAAGCCAGGGAGGCAGGGCCAGGGAACACAGGCAGTGAACAGCTTGGGTTGGCGCGAAGCGAGTGGGTTGGGCAGAGCGCAGGGTGCCGGGCCAGGGCCAGGCCAGGGCCAGAGCCAGGGCAGAGGGCCAGGGCCAGGGCCACCACAGAGGGGCCGGCAGAGCCTTGCCCCAACAAAAAAACGGCCCCTGCTCCCCGCAGCCAAGCGGACGGGGTCAGGGACCCAAAGGGCCTCCAATGCAGGACCGCACAAAGTGCGCTTGGGGTTTAGGGTAAAACAATTCAAAACAGTGACAACTGCTGACTCGGCCTGTGCCTGCCTAGCGGGTACGCCAGCCTGGAGGCCAGCTCGGTCGCCCGCCTGGGGCTCCCTTGCAGGGTCTCACTGAGCGCTCCGTGCGGGTAGGGTTTAGGGCTTAGGCTGCTGGATTCTGGGGGCCTGAGGTGGCCGGTCCAGGATGGAGCCCTCGGCTGGCCGAGTGGCTGTGGCGGGGCGGTGCACAGCGACTTCTCCTTAGCTCAGGTGAAGAGATAGGGGTTGGAGCATACTATAAGAATATAATGACTATAATTTGATCTATATATATTTATAAACCCCTTTTGGGGTTGAGGGTTTTGGGGATTGAGAATTTAGGTTTCGTCGTTGTTCGGCCGCCATGCGCATCCGAGACTCTTTCCATGTCGATTGAATTTTTCAGGTTGATGCGGGAGGGGGGAAGGAGCGGGGCGGAGGGGAGTACCAGACCGACTCAGGGTTAAATCGATATGGGTTTTAGGGTTTTGGGGTTAGGGCTTATAGAGAAGTTTAGGGTTTTAGGGCAGTTCAGGGTTTTAGGGAAGTTTAGGGTTCAGGGCTTCGGGAAGTTTTAGGGGCATTCCGCGCGTTGGGGTCTGATCCCAATGACAGCAGCTTGAGGCTGGGACGCTGCGGGCGAGCCAGCGCCTGCCTCGCTGCCGAAGCTACGTTTAGGCTCGGGCTCTCCTCTGTGTGTGCATGCATGTACAGGGTCTGATATGTATATGTATACATACATATATATATATATAAACATATATATATATATATACATATATTTTTATTTATTTGTGTATATTTATAATTATCTATGTTTATGTTTTTATTGATTTATTTATTTATTTATTTAAAGCATATATATATATATATGTACGCATATACAGATACTCCAAAGTTTTCTTATCACATTGCATGGTATGATGTTATCTTGTGTGCATGCGCATGTCCTCCGGACAGCTTTCGGGGTTTCGGAGAAACACTCGATTTAAGGAATATGCTTGCAGTGTACAATGAGCATGCAAGGCATATCTGCATCCATATATCTGTATATATGCCTCCTTGTAACACGATACGAGTCGTGGGGTGTCAGATTTATAAGTACAGGGTTTCATGAATCGGCGAGCTCAGACGGAGAACCTACGCGCATTCCACACTTCTTCCTTTGCTGATGTGATTGTGAACGTTGCCAGTGCTACCGCAACAACCAGTCACGATTGCAATCTGCGTGAGTCCAGTATCAGAATCCGTTTTCAGGCAAGAAAGCATGCGCATGTACGACTTCCTTAACCTCAATGCCCTCGAGCCCGCAGGCTCCTTCCCGGGAAACGTTGGCCTGATGTCGTTCCGGGGGCCGCAGAACGCGGCCACGCCTGCAACCTGAGGCAGGATTCTGCAAAGTCTCGGGCCAACAGGGCATTTGGAGCTTGGGAGAATCAAATGCTTTGTGACACGAAAGCAAGCAGCCACAACGCCATCACACGCACCATCAGCTCACCCATAAACACCAACAAATGCCCCGAAAACTGAGGGCCCTTCCCCATACCCCTACCCCGCAGCCCTGACTAAACCTAAGCCCTCAACCCTGAATACGTAACCCGGTTGCCTCCCCCCCCCCCCCCCCCCGCCCCCTGGCCCGTCAGCCTGGAAGCCTTGCATATGCTGCCCACTTTGAACATACCCCCAAATTTCTGCCGAAAACACAATAAAGTTACAATAACAGCGTTTTAAAAATATAGTACAGCTGAGCAAACCCTTAACCCCAAAACCCGAACCACAAAGCCTTCGAGCACTGCTGGGCGCGTGGCTTACAAAACCCTAAAGTCAGGAACCATAAACCCTATTTTGAGTCTCTACGGTCCAAGTTGTGAAGGCTTGCAACTAGAGCATGATCAATACTTTAGACTGGGGGTTTCTGCCGGCCAGGGGGGGAAGCATCACGCACATGCCCAGACATGACCTCCCTGTCTAGGGCACGCTGTGAGATCTTATTGTCATGATAACATCTGTATATGGGGATTTTACGATGTTAGGGGTACCTATTTGGGGTCCTTACTACTTACTGCTTGGGGTCTAATTTAGGGGTCCCCCATTTTCGTGAACCCCCATATTGCTCTGGGCCCAGGCTGCTGAGCCGACGGTGAACGCCAACCTTGGCCGACAGGGCTTTCCTTGTCAGGGGGCCAAGGCTCAGGAGACACCAGCTTGATGGCTTTTGCACTCACCTGACCCACCAGAACCCAGAGTGTCATCGGATGAGCTTCCGGCGCACACAGGGTGCGGGGTCGAAGCTGCGACCAGCGAGTCCTGGACCTAATCCTCTCTGGAGTCGATCCGGCCTCGTTCGGGTTTTGTTCATCGTTGCATGTAGGCAAGACTTGAAGGAGCGTTGGCAGCTTGGCTGCTGGCCTGCATCATTGCGCTTTGGCAGAGCCGTCTGCTTGTGTCTGTTTGCTTGGTGCTAGGAATACTCTAGGTCCACGTAGAGTTCTAAGCTCCTGCAGAAGACAACTTGCGGTCTACATGCTCTGCGCAGGTGACGACAATCGGGAATCTGGGGTCTCCATGCATCAATGACGCCATCCAGCATTACCACTGTCCGGTCGCTCCGGAACAGCTGCGGGCGAGCAACAAAAGTGCTGCAGAAACTGCTCGGGGGCCCTGCCAGCTACCGCCACTACAGCCATTCAACAATGCGTGTAGTGAATTTGCTCTACCCTCTTTTCACTGCTTACAGGGCTAGGCTCAGGGTTTGACACTAAGGTAAGGGGCTTCTGATTGAGGCCCTTCTGTTACATCCATCTTGAGGTGTGGGGTGTTGGAGCTTTGACTCAGAGAACCAGAAAGCAGGCGGGCGCACTTCAGAAAGCACAGGACGTAGTCCGACAACCTGAATGGGCGGGACATTGGGGGCAATGGACCCTGTGCCAGGACTCTGTGCCAGACATCCTGCAACTCCTGCACATCCAGGCAACCTAAGAATAAGACCAACCCCCTGGAACAGAGGTGGTATGTTCATGAAGTCTGGAGGTTCTTAAGAAACCAAGCACATGCTAAATGCAGCCCTCGCGCCACTCCAGGTCCTGGTCGTCGGCCATGGCGCAAATCTGGGACGAGGGCTTCGGGAGCTTAGGACAAGGAACCTGGGTAATCCTACTGAATTGTCGGGGCTGGAAAAGTTCTGCCGGCAGCGGAAACAGACTACACAAAATTCCACCTCGACTTCGACAACGACCGTCAGGGCAGAATTGCGCTGCAAAACCTTCCAAGCCTCTCAAGCCCCAAACCCTCCCAAAGCCCTTCCCTCATACCTAAACCCTAAAGCCCCTAAACCCTAAAGCCTCTAAACCCTGAGCCCTAAACCCTGAACCCTAAACCCTAAACCCTAAACCTAAAGCCCCAAACGCCCTGAATCCCAAGCTTCCGGGCCTCGGCCTTGCCAGAATGCGCCAAGGCACGAAAAAAAGAGGGAATGCCCCGAGGAATCTGAGCCAATATTTTATGGTTCGGGATGCTCCCCCTTTACGTTAACAGTCCTTCATGGGGATTATCTAAAGCCCTAAACCCTAAACCCTAAACCCTAAACCCTAAACCCTAAACCCTAAACCCTATCAAGATCATGCGAGGCTAATTTCAGCACCGAGGGCCTCGGATGCGTGAGCTGCTCCACACAAGATGGGGGGGGGGGGGGGTTCCGCAATTAGGGGTTACCTTATTGGGTCCTTCTAATACAGGAATCCTACTATTTGGGGGCCATTTTAGGGGTCCCCTTTTCGTAAACTCCCATATTTTTCGGTGTACCTTATTGGGGGTTCTTATCATAAGGGAATCCTACTATTTTGGGGGTCTATTTTGGGGGCCTACTGTCGTAAACCCCCAGATATGCGCAGCTTCTACAGCAAGAACGCTTGCCTCTCGCGGCCTTTCGCTCCTCTGCTTGAAGCTCGCTCTGCGATCTGGAGCCCCACTGTGAAACATGGAACGAGTCCCAAGTGCTCTACTTCGCCCGGAGGAACTTCGCATGGACTTGGACCTTGAACACAAAATTCACACACACACACACACTTTTCCTTTTGGGGTTCCCAAGAGCAGTTTAGGGTTTACAAGTAGGGTTTAGGGTTTAGGGTTTAGGGTAATTTCCAAACGTGCGCAGCAAGCTGAAGAACTTCGCCTGGGTTCTTGGAGTCGTGGATTTCACTCCGCAAGCCGCATCTGGAAGCCCTCTTAGCCGCTCGCCTTCTTCGTGGTGTTTTCGGCCTGCGACATCGGTTTCTGGCTTTAGCAAATATGCATATATACAATGTATAAAACAAATACAGAAATAAATTCGCCTCGGCTTCCTGCCGAGAAGCGTTCGGAACAAGCAGACGCGGATCCGGTCTCCTTCCCCCTAACCCAGCCCTTTCCCCTGTTGGCGGCTCCCATACAGGGGGCGCTCCAACCCTCCCCGGCTGCTGAGGCGGCGCGTGCAAGCGTTTACAAGTAGTTTTAAAAAATGAAGCAAGAAAAATAAGGAGGACATGAGGAGAGGGGCTGAACTTCTTGGTGATGGAGCCCCTGACACCACCCAAACTTGCCTGTACCCTCCGGGAACATCTACCCCCTGCTGCTTCGGGTTCTAGTGCTTGAACAAGGAAGCCAGGTACCCCGAAAAGGATAGGGCATCAGCCTCTAGAAGTTTAGGGGCTCTCAGGCTTGAGAGTTTAGGATTTAGGGCTTAGAGTTTAGGGCTTAGGGTTTAGGATTTAGGGTCTAGGGTTAGGGCTCAAAGTTGAGGCTTCGTGTGGTTGAGGATTTAGAGGCGCGACCTGCCGAAGCTGGCGACCTGGCCTGCTGGACTTTGCGGATTTCCGCCTCCAGCTCAGCCACCTCGTGGGGCTTCAGGGGCTGTATTGTTGAGGGTTTAGGGTTTAGGGTTTAGGGTTTAGGATTTAGCGTTTAGGGTTTAGCGTTTAGGGTTTAGGGTTTAGGGTTTAGGGTTTAGGGTTTTAGGGGCTCAGGGCTTCAGAGCTTCAGGGCTTCTGGGCTTCAGGGTTTCAGGGCTTCGGGCCCTCGCGGCGCGCCTGCTCTCGCTCCATGGACTTCTCGTCCGCGATCATCTTCTTGAGCTTGGCAGCCTCAAAGGTGCGTTGAGGATGGTTTAGGGGTTTAGGGTTTGGGGTTTGGGGTTTGGGGTTTGAAATTGAGGGTTTAGGGTTTCGGGTTTAGGTTTAGGGCTAAGGGTTAAGGGTTTAGGGTTTCGGGTTTCGGGTTTAGGGTTTAGGGTTTAGGGTTTAGGGTTTAAGGCCAGAGTTGACATGGACACAACAGCTCGGGCACTGCCCCTGCATGCGCAGAATGTCGTGGGCGCAGCTGCAGGTATATTTAGGCGGCTCTTTCCCCTCCAACCAATCCCCAAACTCGGCCACCCTGATTCTTGAACCCGAAACCCTAAACCAGAACCTCTAAACTCCTGAAACCCTAACTTCCTCGAGGATTAACCCCAAGCCTGGTGCTCGGCCTGACGCTGAAGTGCCGTCTTGCCTGGCGGAGGGGTAAAGGGGCGCAGGCTTCGAGGGAACTATCGAGGTCCTGCTTCTTGGAGCGTGATCGGCTATAAGGCTTCTGGAAGCTTTGCAATTCACTTGGGGGTTTTTAGAGCTTAAAGGGCTAGGGGTGTGTTTGGTGCGAGCTTGGGATGTGGGCTGCCGAGCACCTAAACCCTAAACCTTGACAAGTGCAGGGCGTAAATGGGATTTCAGCAGGGCCTTTGCTGATTCCTGCGCTGAGGGTCCACGGGCTTCGGAGCAGCTTGGGCGGCTGGCTTGGGGCTCAGCACTTCTGATGGTTGGTCCGCGCGAGCCTCGTCGCTCCATCAGGTTCGCCGCCCGGATCTTGGCTTGCAGCCGTGCCTCCTGCACATGTATATGGGGGTTGACGACATTCGGGATGGTCCTTATTCTAAGATCCTACTATTTGGGGTCCATTATAGGGGTCCCATATTTTCGTGAACCCACATCTAGGTGTTTACGGATTCAGTGCCTCAGGAGTTCGACAGCCTTGCGGGCCAGGGCCTTCATGGTCCATCTTCTAGCGCAGCCGCAGTTCCAACGCCCCATCCTGAACCTGAACCCTAAACCCCCTAAACCCCTAAACCCCTAAACCCCTAAACCCCTAAACCCCTAAACCCCAAACCCCAAACCCTAAACCCTAAACCCTAAACCCTAAACCCTAAACCCTAGACCCTAAACCCTAAACCCTAAACCCTAAACCCTAAACCCAAACTCTACTCTTCAAAACGCGGTGCCTTCTGCTGCGCTTGACGTTCGGCCATGTCGGCTCGCTCCTCCATTGACTTGGCCTCTGCGTTTGGGGCATGCTCTCGGAGATTTGGGGGGTTCCGAAAATCAGGGTACCCTTCTGGGTGTTCATGTATACGGACTATTTCGGGGGTGTATTAGGAGGTCGGAGACCCTTAGCACTTTTCGAGAGAGAGAGAGAAAGAGAGGGAGAGGGAGAGAGAGAGAGAGAGAGAGCTGGCGGGTCAGTCCACCCACCGCCCCCGAAGTCCTCAATCCGACAAGCAAAAGAAAACCCTCAACCCTAAGAAGGCCCTAACCCCGAACCCTAAACCCCAAACCCCTAAAACCTAAACCCTAAACCCTAGAGACATCCCTGAACCCTAAACCCTAAACCCTAAACCCTGAACCCTGAACCCTGAACCCTAAACCCTAAACCGAAAGATTCTTGGGCCTCCTTCTCGACGCGGTGGAGCTCGGCCTTCTTACTGGCCAAGGCCTGGCAGCCCCCTCAAAAAATAGGTTTGGGGTTTAGGGTTTGGGGTTTGGGTTCAGGGTTTAGGGTTTAGGGTTTAGGGTTTAGGGTTTAGGGTTTAGGGTTTAGGGTTTGGGGTTTGGGGTTTGGGGTTTAGGGTTTAGGGTTTAGGGTTGAGGATTCGAGTGGGCGATGCACACAAAACTATAGGGACCCTAAGGCCTAGGGCTTGGGGGCGGGGGGCTAAATCTAAGGCTCAGGCTTCGGGTCGGCGTTCTAAGTTTGACGAGAATTTTGTCAGGATTTCGGTGAGGCTTGAAGTAAGCATTGAAGCTGGTCGGGGCCATCAATCTCCCTACCCTCGCGCCTGCTCCTCTTCCACGACCTCCTCCTGTACCTTCTGCAGGTTCTGGTTGGCAGCCTGGACCTTCTCGGCAGACGCCTGGCAGGCTTAGCCAGTTTGGGGTCGGCGGGAAGCTGATGGTTGAACGTTTCCGAAGTGCCACGCCCAACGCCGCGCAGCAGCTTATTGGCCGAAGAGCTTGCAAGACGGACCAGGTCTGCAGAAGCGTCTTGTCGCAGGAACCCCCTAATCCCCGAACCGACAATCTTGAAACCCTAAACCCTAAACCCTAAACCCCAAACCCCAAACCCACCTTCCGCTGCTTCTCGAGGCTGGTCTGGAGGTCCGTCATGTGCTTCTTGGCGGCTCGGGTCCTGTCTTCTTCCACCTGAAGCATCTTGGCAGCTGAGGGACACTAGCGTTGAAGGGTTTAGGGTTTAGGGTTTAGGGTTTAGGGTTTAGGGTTTAGGGTTTAGGGTTTAGGGTTTAGGGGCTTTACAGGACTTGTGAGGCTTTTTCGAATGCGACTTGCCAGGGAACTGTCATGAAGTTACCAGAATACGGGTCTATCTTGAAGAGTCGTATTGCTTCCCTGCAATGGTAACTAAACTTAAGTTCTTCAAGTTCCTTCACACATAGTAGACCAGCAACAATCTTACAATAAGGGTAACCCTTCTTTTGGTTGGCTACTGTGTAAGGGAACCCAGAACCAGAAAAAGGGTGAAGGTACCACTGGGCTACCAAGAACAACAGCAACCCAGATGACAAGCCATGTGAGAAGCAGCGCTGGGGACATGGTCCTTGTTGTTTTGAAGAGGTCTGGGTAAGTTGATCCGAAGTAGTAGGGACCTTTTGTGGGTGCCCTAAGTTTTAAGGAATGCACCAGAACGAGGGCCCCAGGGAACAGTTGATAAATCTACTGCTAGGCCCTAGAAGGACATTTCCTCGAAATAGGGGCTTTAAAAAAAAAACGCAAATCCTTATACGACCCCCAAGAAAACGGTTCAACCCTAGTTGCAGAAAGCTTAAGCGCCCGCCAATCCTTAAAATCCTTACGCGACCCCTCAGGAAACCCTAATTTTCCGGAAACCCCCAGATCTGACCCTAAACCCTAAACCCTAAACCCTAAACGCCCTGCCTCCTTGGTCTTTCGCAGATCGACCCGGAGGGCATCCTCCTTCTTCGCGGCCTGTGCGGCCTCAACCAGCAGATGGGGGGGTTTCCGAAATTTAGGGGGGTACCTTATTGAGGTCCTTAGTATAAGAGGGGATCCTACTATTTGGGGATCTCTATTGGGGATCCCCTACCCTTGTACACCCCCATATGTCTCGAACCCTTTTCTATGCGTCTTATGTGGCTATGTCGAGAGATTCTGGCAGACTTTGGAGTCCTAGAACGCCAGAAGAACGAGCTGCCGAGGAGGGTGACCTGCTCATGCTATCCGACTCGGCCTGCTCCCGGCCGACCTGCTGTTCGTGCGCCAGCTCCTTCTCCAGATGAGAAACCTCGCGAAGTCCCAAAGTTGTAGGGAATTGGGTCTTCAGGTTGTCTTTCCAAGATGCCCAATAGTGAATGCTACATAATAGGGTGATGGCAAAGTCATGTGCCACAAGTCGGAAACAAGGGGGCGTGGGTCAGGAAATCAGCGGGCAGAAGTCAGGAGACTGCCCGGTCAGTGCAGAAAAGCATCAGATCAGAGTGAGTATAACCGGTTTAGGCTTTCGGGTGCAGGGTAGTGCGTTGTCGGCATGTGCAAGAAAGGGCTGATTGCTTGTGGCCAGTCAATACCCATCCGAATTCTGTGCTGCTGCGTTTCCCCAATGTTACAACACTGCAGAATGAAGCCCCCCTTGTGCTGCGACAGGCCTTGTCCTACGATGCACACCCATGGTTCTTGACGCCTGCCCTCTTTGCTTCAAGCTCCCAGACTCGGCCCCGGGGTCGTCTTATTCCCGACTCATGGTTCCTGAAAACACTGGTTCCGGCCTCTGACTGCGCCCCCAATCTACTAGAGTATCCCTTATATGCCCCTTGTATACCCCGTAACACCCAAGGGCCCACACTTCAGCACCCTTTAAAGAAGGTAAGGCATACAAATATACTATGGCTTGATTGTTGAGGTTGACTGGGAGGAGAGTCAAGAACTCAGATGTTTGAGAACTTGAGATCTGTTACCCTAGTGTAGGGCCCATGTTCGGGCCCCATACTGAACACGGCACCCTCTAATGAGGACCCAAAGAAGGGGACCCAGACTTAGAGAACCCAGCTGATGTTCGGCTCCGGCCTCCTCCATGATTTGCCCTTTCTCGATTTCAACCTGGCGGTTAACGCATAGCTCAACTTCTTAAGCGAAGGGCCATGGAAAGAGAGAGCTCGGCCCTCTCTGGCCTTTGGCAGCTTCAAAGGGAAGCACCCCAATTCCCTCGCGCCCGACTTGAGACAGGGGGCCTGATGCTCGATCTTGTGCTTCTGCTCCTGGACCTGCGAGGAGGGTTTCGGGTTTCGGGTTTTGGGTTTAGGTTTTAGGGCTTTGGGGTTAGGGCTTAGGGCTTAGGGTTTAGGGTTTAGGGTTTGGGGTTTAGGCTTAGGGTTTAGGGTTTAGGGTTGAGAGTTTAGGGTTTAGGGGATGTTTTATGTGAGTGCGGCGTTGAGAGGGGGTGCTATTTGGGGAGAATTTTAGGGCTTCGGATGTTGAGGATGTTTGGGAGGGAGGGCCCCTGCCTCCTTCAGGTGCTTCTGCTCCACATGCTTGACCTGCGGAGACCCCCCCCCCCCATTCCCAAACTACCGAAACGCTGTGAATTATACCCTATAAAGCCTAAACCCTAAACCCTAAACCCTAAACCCTAAACCCTAAACCCTAAACCCTAAACCCTAAACTCTATACCAAGCCCTAAGCCCTAAGCCCTAAGCCCTAAGCCCTAAGCCCTAAAGCCCTCAGCGTAGGTTGCAGCATAAGTAGGTAGACAGCCGTGGCCAGCCGCTGGCCTCCTCGGCAAAGCTCTCCTTGGCCATCTTGGCCTCTCATCGGCAGAGGCGATTCCGGAAAGCCCAGGAGCCACAAGCTGAACTCTTCATTCACTTTCGGATGTTCCCCCTTAGTCTAACAGTCCTTAAATAGGGATTATACTAAATTCTACAATGCCTGTTAATAATAGTTTGTTTAAGGAGAAACATCCTAACATTCACTCTTCACGCCTTGTGCCTCCCTGACGTCCCTAAAGACCCTAGCAGCAACCCTCCAATGCCCTACTGCTCCAACCGGAAACGCCAAACTCGTAAAACCCCACGCCTCCTTCTGCAGCATCTGCTGCACCCTCTGCAGCTCTGCAGCATCGTCCCGAGCCTGCGCCCGAGGTTTGCGGAGCTTGGGCTTTTCAGGTCTTGAGGGTTGGGGGTGGGTTTTGAGTGAGGGGTGTTGTGGATTTGGGAAATTGATTCGGGCCCTGACGCTTCCTTCCTAAACAGTGCATGTGCGATGTAGGATTGTAGACCTCTCGTGTCCGGCATAGGGCTGCGAGCCCCGAACAGTGCTGTGACACTATCCCCACCCACCATGCCTGAAATGGCACAAACTCAACCCGACAGAAAGCCTCGATTTGGCTTGATTTTGGGGCATGGGGGAATGCTTAGGAAGCCATAATTCAACAGCACTTGGAAAAACTCCGAATCGTACCACCCTGACACAAGGCCCTCAAACAGAAAACCCAAACTCAAGCCTCCCGCCTGGGCTTCAGCCTTCTCCTTCTCGCGCTCAAGCTGCTTTTGGGCCTCCTGCTCCTCGCACAGGGAGTTGAGGGTTTGGGGTTTAGGGTTTAGGTCTAATTAGGGTTTAGGAGTTGAGGGTTTGAGGACTTTGGGTTTTGAGGTTCGTGCTTTGAAGGTTCGGGCTTTGAACCTGAACCCGGTACCCGAAATGAATGAAACGAATGAAGCTTTATTTAGTTAATTATACAAGGAACCGCATGACGCGTGAATCCTAAACCCTTAACCCTAAACCCTAAACCCTTAAACCCTCAACCCTAAACTCTACACCCGGGACTTTGGTTTGTCGGGAGGTGTCCTGCTCCTTGGCCTTCGTTTGCTCCTTCTCGAGCAGGCGCTTGGCAGCCCGGGCCTGCGAGACATGGGCTCGAAATCTCGCAATCTGCCTTTGAGGGTTGAGGGTTTAGGGCTTAGGGTTTCGGGCTTCGGGTTTAGGGTTGAGGGTTGAGGGTTGAGGGTTGAGGGTTGAGGGTTGAGGGTTGAGGGTTGAGGGTTGAGGGTTTGGTGCTCAGGGTGGAGGTTCTGGAGTTTAGGTTTGGGATTGTGAGGGGGAGGGGGGGGGAGATTCAGGCGTGAGATCTGAATTTGGAGCTGGCCACCTGCGAGGGCAATGTCATCGAAAGGTTAGGCTCTTCTCATTTTCCGGGGGCTGCAGCGCCTTCCGCAACACCCTCGAAGCCGTAAGGGCTAAGGAAGCCCAGTCCCCCACTCCCTTCACCAAGCCCAGGCTGCAAAATGCCCCCCCCCCCCCCGGCCTTGCGCTGAAGCTTGATGTACTGGGCTTCCAACGAGGATGCCGCCTGGCAGGGTTGGGATGTGAGGGCCTTGAGGACCGGGATTGTGCAGGGTTCAACCCAGGGGACATCGAGTTTTCGAACGGGTCTTGCAGTCTCTTGTCGTCGATCCTGCGCACGAATCGCTGTTTCCCCTGTCACAGCGGCCAAGCCCCAACACGCACTCACAAGCCCTAACACATAGCAAAAACCTACTGCCACGCGACCCAAACACTTAACACCACCACCCCCCCGCCCCCCCACTTGGCCCCGACCCATGCCTTGCTTTTGGCGGCGAGCTCCGTGGTGAGCCCCTCGATCTGCTGCTCCCGGATGGCCTTGTCCTTCAGCTCCTCAGGGCCAAGGGGGTTTCTGTGTCAAAGCCGCAGGAGCATGCCGGATCTACTTGCAGGGTCACATGGTAATGTAGTCCTACTAAACCTAGTAGGGTTACATAGAAGAAGACACCCTAACAGGGCGCCAACTTCGAGCAAACTCTGAACCCCGCACACCCAAACCCTAAACCGTCCTGCTGGTAGCGGGCCTGCTCCTTTTGCAGCTCGCTCTTCATCTTCTCCTCCTTTGGGGGTCGATGCCCTGAACCCCTCCGTCCCATAAACCCTTGAGGCCCATAAGGCCCTAAACCTTCTAAACACCTAAACCTAGAAGTCCTTCAACCCTGAGGTGTCAGAGACCGGATCATCCTTCACTGCAACCCCTGAAGCCTGAAGAACTAAACCGCCAAACCTCTAGATCCTTAAACCCTCAACTACCCGAAGAAGCCACTTAAGCCCTTAATTGCTGGGTCGCTCTTGGGACGGTCCTTTGACTGCTGGGCCTGAATCTGGCCGTTGAGCTTGGAGATCTCCTGAGCTGCGAATATATATATATATATATATATATATATATGTATATATATATATATAAGCCTAAGCTTACGGACCCATGGAGGGGTCTCTATTCTAGTGCAGTCGCTCTCGCTGAGTCATGGAGATCGGGCCCCAAAGTTGCATTTAGGGTTTAGGGCTTAGAGAACTTCGGGCTTCGAGGTGGTGTGTAGAGAGTGGAGGGTTTGGGGATTTGGGGTGTTTATCTTTGGGGGGGGCCGTCAGTAACTCCCGAAAAACTCCCAGCTAAGCCTTGAGACAAGCCTCAGAAGCCTCTTCGGGTTTAGGCTGTAGGGTTCTAGGGCGAACCCCCCACCCCCTCCCCAAACCCTAAACCCCAAACCCTAAACCCTAAACCCTAAACCCCAAACCCTAAACCCTAACCCCTAAACCCCAAACCCCTGCCTGCTTCACGTCCCGGAGCTCCGTGTTGGCCTGCTCCACCTCCATGGCCACGGCGCGGGCCTCCTGGGCCTCACAGGCTATGGGGATCATGGTTTGGAGGTTTAGGGTTTAGGGTTTAGGGTTTCGGGTTTCGGGTTTAGGGTTTAGGGTTTAGGGTTTCGGGTTTCGGGTTTCGGGTTTCGGGTTTCGGGTTTAGGGTTTAGGGTTTAGGGTTTAGGGTAGGGTGGGCCTAAGGGTTTGGGGCTGAGGCTCCATGGGCTATTGGGCTTTAAGGGTTAAAGGGATTAAGGAGCCACTCATGAGTAGGGATCTTCAGCTCGGCAGGCACCCTCGGCGTCCGGAAATCTTGGGACCATCGGGTTTAGGAAATTTCAGGTTCAAGGTTTAGGGTGCAGGGCTTCGCAACCTGGTTCTTCGCACGCTGCTCTTCCTTCTGCCGCTCCGCGTTCAGCTGCGCAATCTCAGCATCAAGGCAGGGCTAAGACAGGTCGCTTGCTTCAAAGGCTGCAAAGTTGGTTTACAGGGGCTCTTTGCAAGGCCCAGAGGAACTTGATCCTCGTCCTAACTAGGCAAGGTACTGCCAGTCACCTTCATTCCATCTCCCTCAGGTTATGAAGCCCAAAAAATGGACCCATGCCAAATGCCCGTGCCCAGCTTCCTCCTGCACGCTCTGGATGGCTGCTAAGCTAGACGTTTGCAAGGTAAATGCTATGGCTTCCTGACAGGGCTGCTATCTGGCCCGCACACACCCTGAACTTAAAATTATGTGTGCATGTGTGTACGTATGTATATGTATACATATATATATAGAGAGAGAGAGACAGAAAATGACCGAAACATAGACAGAAACATTAGGTTAAGTGTATATGCATGTTTATCGGCCCTCCATCCTAAATCGTGGAGTTGGGCTCCCCACACGTGCATCGAGGTCGGTTTTCTTCTCACGGGCCTTCTGGATCTCCTGCAAACGCAGATCTGCGGCTGGGGCTTTGGGCCGGGTGCTGCGAGATGAGTCTCCCATCCCTCCAAAAACCGAGCCTTGGCTGCCCTGTACCCCGATCCTTAAGGTTTCATGGGTGGTATCAGGCACCCCGAAGCCTGCGCACTTGAAGAACCCCCCCACCTTGTTCATGGAGGCGAAGAAGGACTGGATGCGCTCAGACTCCTGCGTTGCCTTCTGAATTTGAACGGCATCGGCCTGGCAAAAGCTTTCTTGGAGTCAGGGGAAGAGCTTCCTCCAGAGTACATGGTAGCTCTGAAATCCTGGCCTTTGTGGGAATGTCTTGTGGCATAAAACCCTAAGTAAAGAAGTGTTTGTTTTTGAAGGAAAGAAGGCGAAACCTGCCTGGTCCATGTTTGTCATCATCTCCTCAAGATTCTGGCTCCTCTCCTTGAGCTGCGCCACCTTGGTGCGTTGAAGGGTTTAGGGTTTAGGGTTTAGGGGAGAGCTCCGAGAGCGCAGCGAGGAGGACTTCGGCTCTTCAGGGACAAGCGCAAGCGACGTTTGAACCCCAAAGCATCCGAACAACCTTCAATGAAGACCGTGCGTTTCAACGGCTTTCAATGGCGCCAGAGTCCGAGTTGCAGCTGCTGCGACCAGACCTCCTCCTCGCATTCTCTTCGCCGAGCCTGTTGAGCCTCGGACGTTCTGTGAATGCTGCTTGATCTCAAAGTTGACCTTGTCCAAGGCCTGCCGACAAAGAGCGTTTTGGGTCCAGTGGTTAGGTGTCAGAGCGGTCAATTTAGGCCCAGGCCCTAGGCGTCAGATCGACTAACGCACGACCATGGACACAACAACAGCTTTGAGCAGTCATCGTATCACATGCTGTCATTCCCCTCCACGCTCCTGCTCCAACGATTTCGTGCACGAAAAGCCCCCCAAGCCGCCTCCTGCTGGGAGGTAAGCTTCGCCAGAAGCTCGGCACGGTCCATCTTCAGGCGCTGGACCTCCTTGCGGGTCGCCTCGGGATCAAGGGCCTTCGAGTCCTGGGGGCTCAGTATCCTCAGCCTTGTAATGGAGCAAGGGCCCCTTGAAGACAACAAACTTGGGATGCTCCCCCTTATACGAACAGTCCTTAAGAGGGATTCTAAGAGGGGGATACTGTACTCCTATTCACGACTGTTGGTAGAAGGGGGAACATCCCAACCAACAAACCCTAGACCAAAACCCTGAAGAGCCCTAAGCCCGAACCCTGATGAAACAAAGCGAGGGTTTAGGGTTTAGGGTTTAGGGCTTAGGGTTTAGGGTTTAGGGCTTAGGGTTTAGGGTTTAGGGGTTTAGAGGTCTCTGAAGTGATGGCCCCAGAGTCCTCCGAAACGTTCTGTGTTCTGGGGGCGTGGCACCGATCTTCTTGGCCAGGGCCTCTGCAGCATGTATGTATGTATGTATGTATGTATGTATGTATGTATGTATGTATGTATGTATGTATGTATGTATGTATGTCTGCATGTATGTATGTATAGCATAACATGCATGCATATATATATATATGTGTGTATAAATATATATGTAGATGTATACATGTAGATGTATACATATACGCTATACACATATATCTACAGAAATTATGTATATCGTATATACACATACACATCACAGAGCCTTGCCAGGTTCTTTGACTGCCATCCCTAAACTCCGACATGCGTGATTCCCCTCTCCCCTAAACCCTAAACCTAAACGGCCTAAACCCTAAACCCTCGTTTGCAATGGTGAACGGAGAAATGCCCGCGGCCTTGTTCTTTCCTGCGCCGTGCGTGCCTCTGTCAAGCGAAGGGCTGGAGACTAGGGTTCGGGCTCCGGGTAGTCTATCCTGTAACAATATGGGAACTTCTCTAACTTGTGGTCCCTTTTAAGGTCCTTATTATAAGGCGTGGCCTAGTATTTAGGGTACCCAAAAGGGGACCATAATTTAGGGAACTGACCATGTGGGGATGGTAAGAGGATAACAATGGTTGGGGGGCTTCCAATCCTCCTATATGTTATTTGGGGATTGAAAGGGGGAACCTCATCTTTAGCAACTCCCGCTTCGGGCGCAGGGCCGGGCTTATTGGACTTGAAGGGGGCGAGGGCGGGTTTACAGGGTTTAATGGGTTTAGAAAGCTTCGGCCTGAGGGTTTAGGACTTGTTGCGTTTTTTTCGCGCTTACCTGAGTTTTGAGAGCTCAGGGCTGCTAGGGTAGGATGTCGAAGCCTCTTCAGCTGGGGGCTGCGGGATTTGGCCCGGGGCGTTCGTCGGAAGCCGAATGGGGCACTTAGGATCGGCTGTATTGCAATCCCGGTTACATTAGGTAGGCATTATCCGGGACTGGCACTGACAATTGCCTAGGCTTTTTTCCGGGTGGTCGGGAGTTGATGGCCCAGGGTTCAGGATGCTAGAGGTTAGGGCTTAGGAAAAACGTCGAGCAAGCTGAGCCGCAAGGCCATGAATTTGGAGGACCTTCCTATATCCCAAGAGTTCTCACTTCCTTGATCTAGGAATCCTTCTCTACCCTGAACCCTAATCCTTGAACCCTTGAACCCCTGAACCCCTGAAGCCCCGAATCCCCGAACCCCTGAACCCCTGAACCCCTGAACCCCTGAACCCCTGAACCCGAAAGAAACCTCTAGCCTGAACCCTAACCCGTGAACCCGGAACCCCTGAACCCCTGAACCCCTGAACCCTTAGGAAAGTAATATTCAAGTTGTGTGGCCAAGCCGAGGATCTACGGTAGAAGGCCATCCTTGAACTCTGGAAGCCAGAAAGCTTGCCAACCCTGAACTCTGAGCACCTCACCCTAAACCCGAAACCCTAAACCCTAAACCCGAAACCCTAAACTCTAAACCCGAAACCCGAAACCCTAAACCCGAAACCCGAAACCCGAAACCCTAAACCCGAAGCACTGGAGCTCCGGAAGCCGAACCGCGAAGGCCTCCTTGGGCCGCCAGGGCCACCGTCGAAGGTCCGGCCTGCAGCCCCGCTTTTGGTAGTACAGGGTTTAGGGTTTAGGGTCTAGGGTCTAGGGTTTAGGGTTTAGGGTTTAGGGTTTAGGGTTTAGGGTTCAGGGTTCGGGTTTCGGGTTTCGGGTTTGCGGTTTCGGGTTCAGGGTTTAGGGTTCAGGGTTTAGGGTTTAGGGGTTTAGGGGTTTAGGGGCTTGGGGGTTTCGGGCTATGAAGCCTAAACCTCTGAAATAGGGTTTCCCGCCCGCCCCGCCCCCCCCCCCCAAACAAAAAAAAAACTCCAAAACCCTAGCCCTGAACCCCAAGTCAGCATGGTGTACCCGCGAGGCCTCCGAAGCACCGCCGAGCTTCATCTGTGCCTTGAGGAGCCTCAACGACTCAAGGTCGGGATGAAAGGGCGCTCACTGACTCGCTGGTTCGTTGTAGGGAGTTAGGTACCCCATATAACTTAAGGCTTGCAGATGTTTAGGTTTCAGGTTTAGGGCTCAGGTTTAGGGCTTGCCCTCAACCGGGCCCTCTGAACCCTCAAACCCACACATGTCAATCCAACGCCAAGCATAGGAGCTCTGTGTCGCTTCGCTTTGCTGCTTTCTCCTGGCTGGGCCCAGGAGAGCAATCCGCGCCCCCTCCCCCCTAGAACGTCAGAGCCTTGATTTTTTGTTCAAAAGCCGTCCGTTCATCTCAGGTGTCGATGGAGAGGGTCATGCCAGCTTCTCTACTTTGGGAGTCCGAGAGCTTCGCTTTCCTCAACCCTACACCCTGAACCCCTTCAAACACCGAGCATGAACACGCGAAGAGCTCCAAAGCCAAGAAAAAGTGCAGGGGCGGCCAGGCGGTGGTTCTGCTCCCGAACGCGGCTCAGCTCCCTTTGGGCCGCCTGGGGATTGGGATGGGGGCTTGGACACCAGTTTCGAGGGCTGCTAGTTCCATCTGGGGTGCCACACACTCCCTTGCAAGGGTTCTTTCCGACTTCTGATGACTCATGATATTTATTGAAGGTTTAGGGTTTAGGGTTTAGGGTTTAGGGGTTAGGGATTAGGGTTTAATGGTTACTACGTGAGCACCTCAGACCAGGGCCCGCGCAAGCAGAGTCCGGGACTCCTTGGCGAGCTGCTGGTTCGCGTCGCGGCCGCTCTGCTGCCTCCGGGGTCCGGAACAGGCCAAAGCATCAAAGACGAATAAGGATAATAACAATAACGATGACAACAATAGCAATAACCACAATGATATTATTAATCACAAAAACACAAGTTGTAATATCAATTAAGCATCATACTACGAAGAATACTCATGCCCTATTTCCAAACTGCGCCTTGATGCCAAACATCTGGGCACCGGCACTAATGCAACAAAATAGCGAACCCCCGAATGGCACAACCCTGAGCTCTACATCCCTGAAATTGCCGGCGATGTTGCCCCAGGAACGCTTTGAATCACGATGATGGTTGGGGATCCAAGTCCTTCTCGTCTATGGGCTTCCGAAAAATTGCTAAGAGACTGGCGCGGCTCGAATCTGCGACTTGACCTCTGCCTGGCGCCGTATGATGCAAGCTGGGAAAGTGAAGGGACTGAATGGGCGGCCCTAGGCCGAACATGGCCGAACGTCCTAAGAGCGCACGAATGCACAAACAGCACAAGTGCGGAGGCTTGATCTGCGCAAGGGTGGCTTGGCAAAGCCTATCCAGTCTAGCACCCAGCTGGCGCGATTTGTGCGTAACTTCATGTTTTTCCCTTCTCCCTCTTCCAGTCTCTATCCCCACTTTGTCACTTGTCAAAACGGGAGGCGACTCCGGGCTTCTGGTGTCAGCCAAGGATAGCCAGGGCAGCCAGGGCACTGAGCTCCTTTTTCCTCCCAAACATCCGAGCTTTTTCCGAAGATAGGCTTGGCTCTGCTGCAGGACAGATGCCGAACTGCTCCAAGCCTGAGCGCATCTCCTTGGCAGTTGCTCGCAAAGGAACACTTACCTGTGTGTCGCTTGAACAAAAGCAAAAGGTCTTATTGTCCTAAAACACGAGCAAGGAACTTTCGTGAACAGCGACCATTCGTGGAAGGTGACACCAGGTCCCACGGCCTTCGTTCATCAGTTCTCTGTGAACCATAAGTTTTCGCAAATCAAGACTTTTCCAAACTATCAATGGTACCCTGGGCCTACTTGGAATCCCTTGCGATCCTTTCCGGGCTCTCAAAACCACACATCACAACGACACCGTTGCTCTGGGGCCTGCGTACGGATCCGATCCGCGGCTTCGTGCAGCTTCCAGAGCTCAGCCGGCGCGGCAAATGGGGCGCGGAAGGCCCGGGGCCGCTGCAGCGTGCTTATGGACATCCAATCTTCTGCGGGCATCGCCTCAGTGGCTCTGGATCTCAGGGGGACATGCGAACGCATGTGAATACCCATCACGGAGAGAAATTACATCGCGATGTAGCGACAGGGGTTTTCAGTAAGTGGCACTGACGTGTTCAAAGGTGGCACGTCTTTGCTTCGGCACTTGTTAATAACGACTTTCCATTATCTAGGCATATGACAACTCATGATAAAACGCATTCTCCTTTTATGTTCCATTCTGATCACATGTTTTGTTCAACTTTGTTATTCTCCAAACCCAGATACTTTCAAGAAAACATCGCCACTCTCGCGCCTGTCAGTACTTCGCGCGCAGTGCTTCAAAATTTTGACTCCAACGTGACGACAGCCACGAGGATGGTGATTTTTTGACATGTAGGCGCTACGAGGCTGGCCATGCTGCGGTAGGTTCAAAGCAACCTAGACCCAGCGGAGGGTTCAGGGTGGGTTAGGAGCATGGGCCTCTTTCAATGCATCAGTGGCTCAATCGGCAGAGGAGTTGATGGGTGGATGGGCTGGGGAGTTGAGGGACTCCAAAAGCTGGCCCTGGCGCCGCTGGCATTTTCATCATGCAACGAGTCCTGTGGCTCCTGCAGTACCGAATCACCTTTCGCAGGGTCTTCCTGTCTAGCCTTGGGCGCTGCCTTCGTCACAAGCGGAACGTCGCTTTCTGTTGCTTCTTCCCTCGATCGCTTGGGGTGTGCAATGCTACACCAACTTGGAGCTGCTCAGCCAAACACCCAGTCACCTTCACAAACAGTGGCATGCTTTTTTTGGCTTGAGCACAGAATCTCACGTGAAAGATTGTCACACCGCGACATGCACTACGATCCCCGTGGCTGCAGCGCTTTTCAGAAATGGAACTCCCAACTCCAAAAAAGGGTGGTCACAGTGATCAAGCCCCCCAGACCTCTCACATGGACCCCTCGCTATACTTCGGGAATCCAAGAAAAAAGGGGCCCAGACCAGAAAATTTGCCGCGTGGCGAATTCCTGCAGCTCCACTATCTCCGTGAAGCCGTCGCCTCGTTTCATGGCCTCCGCCAACAGGTAGAGGAAGATCGGTGCACCAGGCTTCAGCACGTTGTCCTCTGGCTTTGATTCACAAGTCGCCTGAACTTTGGCCTCAATACCCCTAAGCCCCGCCATTCTACATTCCACATCCTACCAACGCTTCAAGAGCCCTGTCCGCCACCACCACGGCGCCATCACAGAGGAGATCCTGGTCAGCCAGCAGCTGTAAGTCCTCGGGTTGGCGTGGGATGTCTGGGGTCCCCATGATGCGCTCAGCAGCCCCAAACACCTTTTTTCCAAAATCTCCCCCCCGTTTTAAGCCAGGGTGCAAGGTCTTTTTGGGGTTCAGGGCTCCGAGGCTTCGACTTTTCTTAGCTCTTTCAGGGGCACAGACTTGGGACAGCACCGGCCTCGTGGAAGCGTGAGCCCTTCTGGTCCATGAAGACCTGAGGTTCCCAACTCCTAGGGCCCAGAAAGAATTCGCGGAGTCTCCCTTTTTTGCTGCTCGTGGAGTTGCTGGTTCGAGAAGGAGCCGAAGCAAAAGTAGGGTGGACAAAGGGTCCCGCGCTCTGCAGGTCCGAGAGGCGAAGGCAAACTTCTTCCCAGCGAGTCGAGGGAGAAGGTCTTTGCTGTGCCCAATCCTCAAGGGCTTTCTGATGCACTTTCTGACTTACTGTTGGTTAGTAGGGAATGCAGGAATAAGGTACCCTATATCCCCCTATGTATACCCTTAAAGGGATTATGTAGGGTACCTCATTCCTTCATTCCCTGCTAACCAACAGTAAGCTGAGAGCTTAGATTGGGATCAGCTGAGACAACGGACTTGGTGCCTTTGAGAGTCTTGGGCAAAGGGTTTAGGGTTTAGGGTTTAGGGTATAGGGTTTAGGGTTTAGGGTTTAGGGTTTAGGGTTTAGGGTTTAGGGTTTCGGGTTTATGGTAAGGGTTCTGTGGGCGTTAAGGGGCCCTACGGCAAAGGGCCTTACATCGACGAGGTGGTCAAGGCCGGCCATCATCACGATGTTCCTGCGCCGAGGAGCACCAGTTTCCATTTTAGGCAAGGTCAGGGCCCAGGGTTTAGGGTTTAGGGTTCAGGGGCATGGAGTTAAGACGGTTTCCTGAACAGGGGTCTGCAAAAACTCTGAAAAGTGGTGGCCACTCCATTTTTGAGTAAGAAGTTTACAAGGGAACCGAGACACCTCTTGGAAGGGAATATATGGCCCACTCCAAGCCCTAGTTGAGCTTCTGATTTGGGGACCATGGCTTCTGTTGCAGCTTGTGAATCTTGGCTTCCGAAGCGGACATCGGTTTCTGAATCCAGGAGTTCCAGGAAAGTTTTACGGGATACCGGACCGACTTTGGGAGAAGAACCCCGATGTTTCGGGGGCTACACCGGATAATGTTCATAGCCTATAGGGGTTTCCGGGGTTGCGGGGTAGTGTACGCCTAAACCCTAAGCCCCCAAAATCCCTGAGAGCCCACCTTGCGATCACAGCGTGGATGGGGTCCGTCTCCAGGCTGACCACCGCACGCCCCGCCAGCGCCAGGCGGAGGGCCGAGTAGCCGCAGTACGTTCCGATCTCGAGGGCCGGGCCTCAGAGACTTGGGGGTTTACGAAACTAGGGGTACCCTTTTTGGGGGGTTCCTATAATGATAAGGCTATCTTAAGGGTTCCCCCTATTTGTGGACATGCCTATTTGGGTTTTGGAGTTTCGGGGTGCAGGCTTGAAGGCAGGCTTGAAGGGTGTAGGGCTGAGTTCGGGTCTTGGGTAAGATTGAAGGGTGCATAGGGTTTAGGATACCTCTTGAACGCATATTGTAAATATACTGCGGGGTGGAGAGATCCGATCCCGTGCTACCTTCACGTGCAAAACTCCCTACTTCTTGCGCCAGGAACCTTCCCGACCTTTCCCCCTAAACCCTAACCCTAAACCCTAAACCCTAAACTCTAAACCCTAAACCCTAAACCCTAAACCCTAAACCCACAAGCCTGCCGGAGCCCGCTGGGCCGCCGCCACCAGCAGCCCACCCTTCGCCTTGCTTAACGGGCTGGGTTCCATATGTGCGCTACACGGTTGTCCATATGAGGCAGGGTTTATATTTCTTGTACTGCGGACTCGAGGTCGTGAATCATATCAAGGTGAGACCGCTTAGATTTGTACTAAGCACGGTTAGCAAGCACACAATGATCAATGGTTAAGGAGACAGAATATTTCTGGTACCCCCAAAAGGACACCCAATGTATACACTCGCCAATATTAACAAGGAACCTTATATACACCTCACCAATAACAGTCATGTAAACCCTGTTTCGTATGACTCCCGTGACCCCAAACCTCGCCGCGGAGAAAGGACGACGTGATGCTTTTAAATACGGAGCAGCCCAGCCACGCCGGCGGCCAACTTCAGCCACTGCCCCTGCTGTGACCTTTGGCTCACGTTCTCCAAGTGCAGAGGATTCGTTTGATGCAGTTACGTCTTGAGACTTGTTGCGTCTGAGTGAAGTTGCTCCAAGATCCAGTAAGGCCGTGGCAAGCGGTGGCCGAAGTCCTCCATGGCCTCCGTGCAGGCAAATGAGCAAATACAACTGCAGCTAGGGCATCGGCCCAAACTCAATCCTGAACCTGAGATAGCCTTTGGGAGGGTACTCTTCACACACAGGGCTCAGGGTGGTGCTTCGGGCTTAGGGACTTGCTTGGAGTCATGCCTTTGCCTCGCAAACGGACCACGCATCGCCCGCGGAAGCCGAGGCAAAGACGTGCCGGCACAAGCGCAGCTCCTTGGCCCGGCCGGCCCGAAGTCCTTCGCGGAATCCTTCTTTTGGGAGTCTCTGCCGTCCTCTGTGGCTGTGGAGTTCAGGGCTGGAGATGCTTTGGGCATTGTGGGCCCTGAGCCACAAGCCCTCTGCCACAGCATTCCAGTGCCCTGGCCCCGTGGCGTCCAGTCGGCGCAGGAACTCCATGCAGCCAGCTGTGTCTCCGGAGAGGAGACACCTCTGTGCAGCCACTTGCAGCACGAGCAGCGACACATCCTCCCGAGTGGCGGAAGTGCCCGAAGATGTCCCGACGCAAGCCAGCCGCAAAGAAGCCTCCAAGGCATCGGGCAATGCCAAGAGCAGGGCACACTCGGCCTGGACCAGGGCGCGCAGCTCGCACTCCATCAACAGCAACGCACAGGTGGCCAGCTGCGGCATGACCTGCCGCTCCATCATGTCCGTGAGAAGTGAGAAGGCTGCTGCCCACTCCATGGGCCGGGCAGAGAGGGTGGCCAAGATCGCGGCCCCATAGGAGGTGCTGTCTGGCTCCAGCCGACCATTTGCCCTGAGCTCTCCCAGCAGTACCAGAGCCCTCTGCCACTCCGAGGCTTTCCCACAGGCGCTGAGCGTGGAGTTGTACGTGATGACCGTGGGCCTTCAACAGAGCCGCGGGGCAAACCCCGAGGACCCAAAATCGTAAGCTGAATGCTTGGCACCCTCATCGGCTACTAGGAGACTATTTGAGAATGTCCTTTACGGGGTTCCTCTTCTCTGGATGTAACCCCTAAACCCGAAGCCCTAACCCCTAAACCTTCTCTGAGGGCCTCAGATCCTTCTTGGAGAGTCTCAGCAGCTCCAGCGCCCAGGGCCACTGGTGGCCGGCTTCGGCCGCTGAAATCGCTGCGTTCACCAAGACCTGCAAACAATCCGGCATCTTCAGGGCCCCAGCTGATTGGGTTCATGTGACAAACCTGCCATGAACCAGGAGGCCAGCACTCGAGGCTGTCGCAACCATCGCAAAAAATGCCTACATGTCACCGGGTCTTGAATATGCTGCATAGCTCGCCTGGCCATGGTTGCTGTGTTACAGGCTCAAGCGAAGCGGCAGCTTGTCCGCTGACAGCGCGAAGAATGCTGACGGAAAGCCAAGACTGAACCCTATTGCCAAGCTCCAGACCCCACTTCCCCTAAATCCACCAAGCCTGGTTCGGCCGTAGGCTGTGCACGGGCAGGCATTGCAGAAGGTCCCGAGCCCGATGCCACTGCTGCCCCTGACTCGGTGAAGGATGCAAGCAGAACGTAGCAGGCACATCTGGGCTGGATACCACTCACTTCATGGCAGGCCTTGCTTTAAAACCCTAAACCCTCCCAACCCAAAGCCTTGCCATCAAAAGGCTCTAAAAGTTTTAAACCCTAAGCCCTGAACCCTGAACCCTAATCTCTAAAAGTTTTAAACCCTCGAACCCTAAACCCCGAACCCTAAACCCTCAACGCCCCCAGCCTTGGCCAACGCGGAGACGCCTGAGGTGATGGTGGTTGGATCGGGCTGCGACTGCTCCAGCACCTGGGTACCCCTATCTTGGAGGTTCATGGCACTTATGAACCAATTGCAACTCTGCTTATGACCCACTTAGAAGCCCTCTATGTGCCCTAATGTGGTTACAAGCACAATTACAAGTACTGTTAACCATGAACCTTGTTTTAGGGAGTATCGGGAACAACCCTGTCTGTGGCATCAGCAACCTGTACTTGGGGTCTTCTCGCAGACCAAAGTCCAGGGTGACCTTACAAGTATACTATGGTAAGCATACGTATCATCCATTAGGTTTAAGGGGGGGGGGGGTATTGGAATAAAACAAACAGCCCGAGATCTCTAGTTCATTCCTTGTGGTTTAGGCTTTGGGTTTGGGGGCTACCGTAGACCCTGACCCCTAGACCATCGTCAAAGGTTCAGATGCGGAACATGAACCACAAACCTGGGAAGCTCTGCTTGTTGGAGACCGGTTCAGGGTTTAGGGTTTAGGGTTCAGGGTTCAGGGTTTAGGGTTTAGGGTTTAGTGTTTAGGGTTTAAGGTTTAGGAGGCTGCCATCAAGACCTAATCATCGCAAGGGCACTCTCTGGAACAGGGTGAGGGCTGCCTGCCACTGCGCCGCCGTGGCAGCAGCCGCCAGGCAAGTGTTGAAGGAGATCCTCAGTTTGTAGGGTTTAGTGGGGTTGAGTTTAGTAGGGTTTAGTAGGGATTTAATAGGGTTTTGGGTGGGTTTCGTAGGGTTTAGTAGGATTTAGTAGGGTTTAGTAGCTCAGTAGGGTTTAGTGGGGTAAGCTTTGTGTTTAGGGAGAAGGAGGATGGCTTTGAGAACGGCTGCATTCAATGGCTTGAACCCTCCGCCTTAAGTTTGCAACCTCCCCCAAAAGGAAAGAGTCCCAGATTTTGCTGGAAGTATACCTAGAAGTAAGGTCCTCATTGTTTTTCAGGGCTGAGTGCTTTTGCTTCGAGTGTCCCTGAGCTCTAAGCCCCTGTAGAGACCCCAGGGCGTGCAACTGCAATCCGACTTTGCCCTCACTAGAAACTTCTGGGAGCACACCCCAATGCCAACGACGCCTACACCCTCTACCCTTAAGGTATCTCAAGGTTTAAGGGCTTAGGGTCTATTGCCTGAATTGATGCCCAGGGGTGAACGCTGCTTGCACTTTTTTGCAGCAAGGCGTCAGCCCAGCAATCCGCGAGCTGCACATGCTGTGCAGCAGATCCAGGGCCGCCATCCAGCTACCTGGCTGCTTTGGGGCTTCGAGTCTTGGGGCCTGGGGTTGAACCCTCATGATGCAGGGTTTAGGGTTTGGGGGTGGGGCTAAGGGGCAAAATCTGGAACAGCCTGTCATGGCACTGATGGCTGCAGCACAGCTGCCCGCATGCTCGCAGGAAGCCAGCACGATGTTGAAGAGTGTCCTCGCCGAGGGAACTGCTGACAGCTCCCCACTCAACATTTTCTTCGGACCTTGCGCTCCATATACAACGCCAACCTCGAACCAAATCCTCAACCCTAAACCCTAAACCCCAAACCCTAAACCCTAAACCCTCCCTTAGGCAGCGGAGTGTCTGTGTGGGTCGAAGCCTCGATTCGTGAGCGCGCAGTAGCACCTGCCAGCACCAGAGACAAGGCGATGTGGCGAGCTTCGAATTGCATGTACCGACCCCCATTCTTAATCGTCACCTCCCAAAAAGCAATACCTCAACCGTGTACCCAAGACTCGAAAACTACACCATAGAGGCTACCTACCTACTCAGTAAGTATGTGTGCTGCCTCTCCTCCCTCCCTCCCTCCCCTCCTCCTCTTTGTGATCGAAACCGTCGCAAGCAATGTCAACTGCTGCCAAGAATCTAAACCCTAAACCCTAAAGCCCACTGATTTAAGGCCTGGGCCTGGGCAGCCCTCTACCACCCTGCTCTTCAGCACCAAGTGGCCTGAAGCGACTCTGCCCAGTGCCGCCCTCGGCCGACAGCTGAGGCCTCGACAGCCACCCCCCCAACCCCACAAACTCAAACGCCAAACCCAAGGTGCCCCACATACGGTACCTTGTTGGGGTCCTTCTTAATTATAAGGGAGCCCTACTATTTGTGGGTCTAGAATAGGGGTCCCTTATTATCGTAACCCCCACATAATCAACTTGGATGGCCTTAAGGCCCAATTTGGGTTTTGGGCTTGGTAGGTTTTTGGGTTGTTGGGCTTGTTCGGGCTTCTGTTTGGGGGTCGTGGGTTTAAGGCGTTACACTAACAACAGCAAGAGGCCGCTCTCTTGACCCGAATCCGAAGGCCCCAATCAAAACCCTAAGCCTCCACCTCTTCTAACACCCCGGTCAGCTTCTTGCTGTTACTGGTGATCGTCTGCTAGCTTTGGGGCTCTGCGGCCTCTCGCACAACGGTGGGGGAAGTGTGGGTACCCGCTGCCTCCACACCGTAGGAGGTGAGGTCAAAGCGTCTTGGGGCCTCGCCGAGGCCTCGGGCCGATTTGGGGGGTGAGGTTGAGGGGGCTTTCGGGTTCGGATACGTCCGCTGTACTGATTGTACTTGCAACTCAACGATCTAGGGAAACATGCTCCAAGCTTGGGTGCGGGGCTGTAGGCACTATAGAATGAGCCGTCCAATCCAGAATCGGGTTTGAAGCCCCGCCCTGCGAGCAGGCGACCCCCATACAACAGCAGGAGCGCCCGCTGCCATGCGGAGCTTCGTTCACATGCGCTTGCGGCCGCATTGACCTCACATCTGGCGATCGCTATCTCTCTTCCCTCCCTCCCTCCCTGCCTGGCTCCCTGCCTCCCTCCCTTCCTGCCTTTCTGCCTTCCTTGCCTTTCTGGTAGCTGAGACCTCCCTCTCTCTTCTTTTTCCTGTGGCTGTGAGGGGTCGGGCGCTCCGGCTGTGTTAGCCATCTCCCCCTGTCGGCGTGACACTAGTCCGGCATTGGCTTTCCCTGCAAAGCTCACCACACAACATTAGAGGCACCATCATCAAGCAGGGTTGCCAAACCCAGCCGGCACTGTCCACCTGTCTACGACTACGAGGATGGCTCGTAGCCCCCGCGCAACATGTCCCAGAACTCCCCTGACCCCCAACCCCACAAGCCTCACTCAACCTTTCCCCGGAGACCTCCCCAACTCCCCCCTCATGCTCCGACTGCATCAGGTCCGGCACATCCTACACGAAACCTTTGCCTGGCCAAGGTTTCAGGCCCCAAACCCAGCGGACAGCGCAAGGCCAAGTAGTTAATGGGTGCGGGTCTTTGCAAAAGCCGTATTCGCCGTAGCTGAGACACCGGGTGACACTGAAAACGAAGAGAAGAATGAGGCTAGTGCATGGTCCGTTGCAGTGGCCTTGCGCTGTAATGTTCACGCCACTGCTAGGAGGCCAGACCTCTTGCTGGCCCTTCCCGAGCGGTGCACTGACGCCTTCGAATCAAACCGCTGCCGCACGCAACGTGGGCTCCAACGACCCAGTGCCTGGGCGCTTGTAGACCACAGGCTTGCGAAGCGACGCATCCTCATCCTGATTGTTGGGGGAGTAGCTGACCGGCGGCGACGGTGACGTGGTTGCGCTGAGCACGGAGGTCTTCGCCGGAGATGGGGTCGAGAAGGCGCTCATGCTGAGACCAGACAGCATGCCCAAGCCCGTCGTCGCTGTCCCGAAGCCTATGCTCGGAGCTGGACTTTTCTTCGTGGCAGTGAGGCCATCAACTTTCCCGAGCAGCTCGGATAAAGCCGAGTTGGCTCCCGGCACCCGGAGGGTCGCTGCCGATGTCGGATCTGATGTGCTCCAGGGGCTGGCCGGCCCCGGCAATGCCTTGAGGTCTCGCTCAGTCAGCTGCCGGTTCAGGTACTCGATCACCTCCCGATTGGACTTCATGACATCATGAGCTTCGGCCAACTTTCGCTTCAGGTCCTCGATGTCCTGTTGCAGCTTCTCCTCGCGAGCCTTTCCCCTTGAGAGCTCGTGGCCCTTCTCCTCGAGGGCGTGCTTCTTCAACTCCTCGGCTTTCTCTAGCTCCAACCTAGTCTTCTCATGCTGCATGAGCTCCGAAGCTTTGAGACGCAGCTTGGCCTTCGCCTCCTTCGACGTCTGGTGCAGGTTCTGGATGATTCGGTTGCCTTTGGCAATCTCCTGGGCTGAGAGGTTGAACTTCTCCTCCAGGCTTTGCGCCTGCTTCTTGACGGTGGCCAGGCTTTCCTCCAGCATCCTCCGCTCCCTCACGGCCTCATCGATCTGGGCTGCCTGGCTGGAGGCGTGCTGCTCACGCACAGCCAGCTGCTCCTTCACTGAGGCCAGCTGAACCTGCAGGCCGCTGAGGTCTCGCTCGTGCCGGAACTTCAGCTCTTCCAGCTGCTTTAGCTGCTTCCGAAGCTCGCTCGTCTCTTGCGAGGCCTCCATCACCTGGCGCTCGGCCACCTCCAGACGTTCGCGACAGCCTTGTCCTGTCGCTGCAAGCGACTGCCGTGTTCGCTGGAGCTCCTCAACCGAGCCCTCCGCACTTTGCGCGCGGTCCAGTGCAGCCCGCAGCTCCTGCTTGTGCTCAGATTCCAGTTGGGCCCTCTCCTCTGTGAGGGAGCGCTGCAGCTCAGCGATCGCTCGGACATGCTCTTCCTTCGATTCACGGAGTTCCCGCTGATGGGTGGTCCGCAGCGACTCTTCCAAGCGCACCCGCTCGTCAGCGACGACGCGTGCGCTGGCTGTCAGCTCGTTCACCTGCTTCTGGCTCTGCATCAAAGCCTCGCTGGTTGTGGCAAGGCGCTGGCCGAGACTTGCAGCCTCTGCGCGGGCAGCACGGAGCTTCTGCGCAAGATGCTTCTTCACCACCTCATCCGAACCCTGTCGGAGCTGAAGCGCAATGTGAGTCAGCTCCCGAAAGTGGTTGGACTCGACGATGCTGAAGTTGCTCACACCAGCAGGACCGCAGTCGAGGACTGCCAGCATCTTCGACCCCGACGACAGCGATGGCAGCCCCTGAACCTCCGTACCGCAGCATCTTCGCAGGAAGACTGCCAGCTGTTCCGGGAAGGACTGGAAATCGACCAGAAGGCGCTGCTCGGCCCTCAGAGAATGGTAATCTCCTTCTCCCAGCATCAAGCTGTGGTAGAAGAGTAAATCGTTCTCATCCGTGAGCTCGAGCAGCAAGTTGCGCGGGTGGGCCGGGTTGTCCGGCCGCAGGCACACCGTCAGCTGGGCAACAAACTCGTCTCGGCCGTGGGGCTTGATGTGCACGGAGACTGCTTCAGCAAATATCTGCACGGAGTCCTCTTCATCAATCTCCCGCGGCGCAGAGCGCATGCCAGCGAGCCTCGTGCTGCGAGGTCACGCCAGCGCCATAGCGTGTGAAACACCTACTGAGTTCCTACTCACAAAGTTGCTCAAATGTTGGTGCAAATCGAACTTCTGCCATGGTTGCTGCCAAAGCTCAGAGTGGCCACACTCCACAAGGTAAGATGAGCACGTTTTTCTTGAGCCAAAATGGCACTCTTGGATCTCTTGGGAGCTAAACCTGCCAACCCATCCCTGACTAGACCCCTGGCGTACAATCTAGGCTCATTGTGCAACTGGAGTCCAAGAGAGTCCAAGGCACACTCACAATGTCTGGCTGGTAGCGACGCCAGCACATATCGCGCAGCCTTGGCGGTGGATGTCACTACTTACTATTCGTGTGTACCATGGCAGTACTACACTACGCAGTACTGCGGGAATCTGCTAGTAATGTGCTTGTCGCTACGAAGCTCATACAGAACACAATGCGAACTGGACCAGAATCCCTGAGGCCCCTGAAAGCAGACGAAGCAACAAAGTCAGAGCCTGCACCCACCTGGCCGTCTTCGACAAGGCAGAAAGCGAGGCGTTGAAGGCCACCACGTCTGGGAACAGCTCCCCTTCAGCGCGGCTGCCCTCGGCCGTTCTCGGTTGGCTATTCGGCACATGGAGAGGCATGTGACCAAGTGGTTCACTCTGCTGGTGTGACGAGTCATACCATGTACCTCATACTGCAGATACTGCCTCCAGCTGCTCCTAGACATGATTCTAAGATTCTGGATGCTGCACCAGGCCGCGCCTCCATGCAGCTTTCCAGCAAGTCCAGGCACCGTGTCCATGCGTGTCCGTGTGCGAGCGCGCTGATCGACGCATTAGTGCTGATCCTCCACCTGCTCAGATCAGAGCCTCTACCAGAGATGTGTTCCAGCAACTGCATCGACACGGTCCAACATGAACTCTTGCCACATGCGCTGATCGCAGCAGAGGCCACAAAGTCATTGATGTCCAAGGTGTTCCGGTCCATGCGCCCGAAGAGTTGCAAAGCCAAGGGCCACTGCAATCCGCGGTCGCAGGCTGTGAGGGCGATGCAGAAGGCCACCTGATCCCAGGAGTCTTCCGGCAAGCTGCGGAGAATGTCCAGGGACCCTTGCCACGACAGGCATCGAAGGCTGGCAGTGGCGGTCGCAGTAGACGCCACCGTCAGCGCACAGGGCTCTGAGCCTGGCTCTTCCAAGCTCCGCAGCTGCGGCAGCAGGGAAAGTGCTCCTTGCCATTGGCGCTGCTTCGCGAGGTGCGCAACGCGAGCAGCAAGACGCGAGGCCATGCACCGCGGCCGTCATCATTGCAAGATCCAGTGCACAAGTATGAACCCGGACCCTCCTTGACACGCTACCCCAGCCAACAAAAACGCCTCCTAGTCCTACGATGCTCTGCAATGGTCTGTGCCGCTCGGCGCTGTTGTGCGCTGTCCAGCCCTGCCCGGCCCAAGCACATACGTCTTCCGAGGCCGGAAACAGAGTTTTACTATCGTGATGCCCCCCAGCAAAGACTGATTCTGGGTGAAAGTGTCACAGCTGCGGTTGAAGGCCGAGCAGGCGATTGTCTCATCATCAGCTTTAATCGTACGTTTTTTAGTAGTACTAATAAAATTCATAAAAACAATAATAAGAATACTAATGATGATACAGCCCCAGGCAAACGAAGGCAAATGCACTTCGGACATGTTGGCTTAGGCGCACCCTTGAACAAGGTGCCGAAAGATCCGACCTGGCTTGAGGCAACTCTGTCGGGAGTGCCAGCTCCTTCTGCATCGCTGCGAGATCATCCTCCTGCCATCCGTGAGGTTCTGCCACACCTCTGCCGTTTTAAGCTCATTCGGAGATTGGAAAGCCAGAGCCCTCAACCTAAAGCCGTAAACTGCGACGGCAAGGCAGACTCCAGCTGCAGGAAGGACAGCGCCCTGGGACAGCTCAAGCTCTCGCATATGCTTTCGCAGCGCGCACGTGAAGAGCTTCAACTCCAAGGCTTCTTCAAGTTTCTCTGGGCATGTCAGAGAGTCTGGTGAATTTGGGAGTTTACAAAAATAGGGGATCCCTAAAATAGGTCCCCAACTGCCCTAATTTCGCAAGAGTGTGCAATAAGGGGGGAAAAGAAGCCCCAAAGCCCGAACTCTCGCACCCTCTCGACCCCAGTGCTATGGTGCCCTCTCCAGAGACCCGCGGGCCCCCTTCGCAAGGGTCCCGGCGTGTGGCTCGTCTGAGCCTGGAAGGTTGGAGGCTTCAAGAAGTTTTTTGCGCCGTGGGCCAGGAAGGAGCCCTCTAAGCTTTTGTGGGATGCATGCTGGGATGCTACATATGGGTGCAAGAGGACTGGCCTCCAGGGTCTTTCGGCGCGACACCTCCTTGCAAGGAGTCGAGGGGGGGGGGGGGGGGGGGGGGGGTGGGGGGGCTTGGGCTAGTGTATGAAGACTTTGGAGTGGCTGGTTCTTGCAGAAGACTTTGGAGTGGCTGGTATGGAGGGAGGGGGGAGAGGAGGGAGGGAAGAGAGAGAGAGAGAAAAAAAAAAAAAAAGAGTAACAATGATAATGACCATGACGACAATGATAACAATAGCAATCGGAGCAATCAGAGCAATAAGAACAATAAGAGCATTCGAACAACAATCAACAAAAACAGGAAGCATCATTAGAATCACAGTCGTAGTCGTACATAAGAACATAACCATAACCACAGTATCACGAGCCAAAACAGCAACGAAAAACAACAATGACAGCAGCAGAACAGTAATGATGATAACAATCAACCATTCTCCGAATCATAATCCTAAACGCAAAAGAACGAGCGTGGTCAGGTACAAATCTGCAACTAATCATTTATGACTTCGGCAAGTGGCATGATCTCTTGTCATGGGCCCATGCGGCCCGCACTTGGCAACTTTGGTACTTGGGACCTAGAGGACCGAGAGCCCAAAATCAAGGGCAAAAAGATTGGCAGCGGCAGGATCCCATCTCGATGGATGGACATGAACACTTGGGGCTCGTGGTAGATGCGGCCGGGCATGCGCCTGCTCAAGTTGCTTCTCCAGGTCCTTCACATGCTCCTGGCAGGTTGTCAGATGTCGACCGCTCCCTCAACCTTCAAGCCCAAGAAGCCGGAAATCCCAACAAAAACTCAGGCCACAGCCCAACAAAAAAACGCAATCGACCCCCGATCTCTGCCCAGCGCCGAGGCCTCCGAGACCTCCAGCTCGCCCTCAGTCTCAGCCTCCCGAGGCTCGCGCTTGGAATGGGGCTTGGGGACAAGCCGTTTTTCTGGCACCCGACTCCTCAGACCCCACAGAAACAGACCCACAAGGCCTCCTTCTCCTCGGCAAAGACGAGCCTCGGTTTCCGGGGCGGCTGACGGCTGAAGGGCTGACGGGCGCAGTGGAGCTGTTGCTTTCGGCAGCTCCGTAGCCGTAAGCTCCGTATTCATGCTTCGACCATCCTCTAGTTCTGGCAGTGCCCTGCCCCTATGCACACATGAGAACGCACGCAGGTTTCGCGGATGTGCCTGCGGGCATCCTAAGAAGACGAGCCCGGGCGCTGTCATGAGGACAGCTCTGTCCACTTGTATCTACGGGTCATCTACGGGTCATGAAGTTTCCAGGACTCCTGACACCCCCTGCTTGAGGCAGCGGCTGCTCTTTGAGGCTGACGAGGGTGGCCTGGTGTTAAGCTCCCTCAATGCAATAGGGTCTCTGAAAGCCTAGGGATGCCCCTCAAAAAGGGCTGCTCTGTGCTGTATGAAATGCTTCGAGGGCGTGAAGGCTGTGTTGGACATCCGGCCTTCGTTTCGGCTGCCTGCACGGCTGCCATGTTCCTCATGGAGGTCCTCGGCAGTTGGCAGCGGTTGCCCCCGATCTTGGGAATGCTTTTTGCTTTTCTGTTGCTACAACAGGGCTTGTGGACTGCATCTTCGCGGGATGGCGATTGCTTCAACAACAACTGGAGAAGGCTCCATTCAAGCACCTGACATGACAAGACGAGACGAGACTCCCAAGCAGATAGCCACGAGACGGAGGCTACACGCCGGACTCCAAATCGTGGCAGCGGGCTGTGGTACAGGAGTCTGCTGTCCCTCAGGCGCATCCCTAAACTCTCAAAGCCCTGCATGCCTGAAATTTGACTTGCAGCCCTAGACTCCTGAAACCGTATCCCCTGAACCTTTCAACAGCCCTTAAACTTCCGAAACCGTAAACCCTAAACCCAAACTCCTTAACGCCCTGCACTGATGGGCCCCGACAGTTCTGCTTCGAGGTCGGACACTGTGCGCGCCCTGCCGGAGGCCTCATGGGACTTCAGATCTTTAGGTTAGTGTTCAGGGTTTTGGGTTTTGGGTTTAGGGTTTAGGGTTTAAGGTTTAGGGTTTAGGGTTTAGGGTTTAGGGTTTAGGGTTTAGGGTTTAGGGTTTAGGGTTTAGGTTTAGTTTTTAAATTTGGGCGTTTAGGGCTCGCCTTGGAAAACCTTAAACAAAGGAGGGGCACGTAAACCCGGCCACGGGATGCCCTCTTCGTTACCACTAAGGAACGTTAAGTGGAAGACCACACAGGGGACCACGATAGCTTCTCTGCATGTAAATCCATAGAACATATTTATCGCCATGAACTTTTAAGTTCGTTAACAGCAACCCAGCTTTCACACATGGGCCTGAGCCTAGACCATCGGTCCTTTTGTTAGAGTTAACCACGTCCATGTGTGCCAAGTACTCGTGGAGAATGCTCGAAGCACTCTTGCAAGGTCGACCGTATAGCGCCACCGACTAGCCCTGGTCGTCATGGGTGTTTAGACCCAGGCGACTCCTCATGGGTTGGTGTCACCTTAACATGGCGCAACCTTGAGAGGGCCACCCCTGATCTCAAGAACCCATAGAGGTTTTTCTGGTTTTGTCTGGCCTTCTGCCTAGAGGCGCCGGGGCGCACATTGCATTCAGCTTAAGGATGCTAGGCCACCCTGCCTTGTCCACCTCATGGTGGACCGCCTCCAACACCAG